TTTCAACTTCGAATCTGTTAAATATTGAACAAATCAAAGTTACAAGAAAGCGGATAGTGCATACTGACCGCGTTCAACAGAACAACCTACCTGAGCACTGGTAGGATGCAGCTCTGGGCCCATCAAGCCTCTCTTCCCTCTGGGGTCGGGAAATTGGCACCAGGCTGGTCTAGAAGAAATTGACTATTTACAAACCAGGCGGGAACGCCCCAGCACGGCTATCTCAGGATTTCACGAAGGATCGACTCGACCAGCATTCAACGGCATTCGTGACAAGGGCGAAAAAATACTCAAGGAGCAGCCGAGTCCACACTTAGAAACTTTAAAGACCCGTATATAATGCTGAGATATTTGCAAAACTCCGGACTGCAGGTGTATGCGGTGGGGAACGAACGCGCTATTGTCTTTACCGGGGCGTAGCGCACTTCACCACCACACCATCCGGGTCCTTCGTTTTGCCTGTCTCTCAGCTAGTTCTATTGAACTTCTGCCATCAGCAATCATCTGTCAACGGGATTGATCTGGGGAGCCCAAATCGGCATTGAATCTAGTTAAGCTGAGGCTTAGTTATAATCACAATCTTAACCCTTTTATTTACTGCCTTTTTCTTTTTAATGGTAGGGTATGTTGCGAAATATAACTCGTATATAATGCTAAGATATAATGCAGTCCGGAGTTTTGCAAATATCTCAGCATTATATACGACTTATATTCCACAACATACCCTGCCATTAAAAAGAAAAAGGCAGTAAATAAAAGGGTTAAGACATTGAAGACCATTGTGGATGGTGACTGGGAAGAAATGAATGGAATGCAGGAAGTGCTTGAATCCGCATAGTGTGATAAATGTGATATCGGGTCACGTAATAAAAGATCAAAAGTGTTGCAAAATTCGAAACGAGATTTGAAGTCCCACTGCAAACGCAGACGATACATTAAAAAAAAATTGTGTCCTATTGGATAGAATTCCGCTTGCTCAGTTGCGTTCGTGCTCGAAAAAGGAGCATTGGAGCATAAAAGTGTGAATCATTGGCTCAGAATTTCGAAATCAGAATTTCATATCCGTAAAATAATAGTGCTTCTATCTCGTATGCAGGACATTTAGAAATTTTTCAACTGATTTTTTCCCAACAAATAGAATCTTCTAGGATCTGAAATATATTATTTCAAAGTCGAAATAGACGACCAAATCGGATTATGCGACAGATGGAACAATGGAACAACGTCCTGTGAAGCGGACATCCAGTAGAACAGTAAATACGTTTTTTGCAGTTTCTTCAGCATATGGTCATATCTTGCTCCACTAGCTGTTGACTTCACTATGTACACCTAGACTGTGCGATCGATGACGCTGATCAAGACATGATTAATGGATCGATTAGCCATAAAAGCAGCTCGCTTTTATGCCGAGATTCCTTTGCTCATAAGAGCAAAAAATTCGCGACATGTGGTTATCATGTTACCGAACATTAAAAACACTTTAGCTCCTCCTGAATTCAGCTTATTTCGCAACAAAGTTGGCTACGAATTGTTAAAATTTCAATCACAGGCTAGTCGTCACAGCCATTTGTTGCAGAGAAACAAACCTTGCTATTAATGTGTTTTGTTTTACAGCTTTCAAAAGAAATTTTGCACAAAGAAGAAAATGATAATAGCAAATACTAGCAAGTAAATAGTCCAAATGAACCTTTTTCATTAGCTTCACCTCAGACCTGTAAAAATAAACTGTGAAGACAGTCTCAAGACCAAAGTGAAAAACAGGGTCAGTGAGAAGTAAAACAACAATTATAGTGCTGAGATTATTTGCAAAACTAGCTGAGAGACAGGCGAAACGAAGAACCCGCATGGTGTGGTGGTGAACGCGTTACTCCCCGGAAAGGACAATAGCGAGTTCGTTCCCCACCGCAGACACCTGCGGTCCGGTGTTTTGCAAATATCTCAGCATTATAGAAGTTATATTTCGCAACATACCTTGCCGTTAAAAAGAATAGGCAGTAAAATAAAAAGGTTAAGATTGTGAAACAACAATCTTTTCACGTTAAAGTCGCAGATTTCTCGTTGCCAAATATATATTGGCAAGAAATTAAAATGATACATCTTAAGACTACTATTTAATTAACTCTCAATCCTGTTCTTTTAATGGTTCTAATGTTCTTACCTTGCCTTCATGTCAGTGCTCCTTTCATAGCACAACAGGAAAGCGCTAAAAATATCTACAAAATCGTCTCAGATCTCCTCTGGAGACCAGGCCAAAAGTAGTACAGCGACTTTGTGACTCCTTTAATGAAATTTAATCCGCCGCCGAGCGGACTGACCTAATTATATATCTAGATGGGTTTAGTATGTGAGAAACATAGAGTATTTCGAGAAACACCTACTGTAGTTTCGAGTTAATCAGTTTTGTAAATGTCTTCCCTCTTTACCTATCTTGTACTTTGCTGTTAAGCTCTAGTATAACCGCTAAAGACCTGACTTATCGTTGACGGAGCACAAATGAAATTTAGTAGAAAGAAAGCAACTTGACAATATTTTCAAGTGATTTCCCTAATATTCTTATAAATGCGGCACGTGAGTAAAGCAACGTGGCACTTGACAATATCTTCGCAATGCTTATAGTAAGCATAAAAATATCTATCCTTGTCGCTCTCGAGAGGAAGATTTTTCGATGTTTCCCACTAGGAGTGTAGTACTAAAGGAATCGAGCAGAACATATTGAACTAAAATGATCATTGGAAAAAACCAAGCAATATCACCAAAAATGGAGAATTGATCAAATTTCATAGTTTGAAGGATGAAAAGACAGCTTCACCAAAGGTTTAAGCAAAGCCAGTGCTTGACTTACATTAGACTCTCAGAACACTATGCCATACACTAAAAATGTAAGTTAGACTGGTGAAATTTATCCCCTGCCCATTTGCTCAATTCTCAACTCCCACTAAAATACAAGCTCCCAGGTCTTGAATTTGTAGAATAAAGTCTATGGAAGCACAAAAAAGAAACAAGGTGCCACTGATACACCAATTAATCTCATCCTGTATGAAAAACCATGTCAGTTACCCTGTTCATGCTTTGATGCTTTGTTCGCCAATCAGTTATATCACGTGAAACGAACGGAACCTTGAATAATTTGCATATTACTACTCTCGAAAAAGACCAACTCAATCACTCAGTATTCAGCACAGACGGAACGATGACATCAAATTAAAAACTGTAATACTATAACCAAGGTATTAATACACGAAGGGAAATTCGTATAGAGCATGATGTCCAACTAGATAACCTCGAATCGCAATCCCTGCTTGTACAGTAGACTGCTCATATGGGAATTTGCAACAGGAATACGGAGCACTAAATAAAGCAAGGTATTAGTCACTACTATTAAAACGCGATAAAATTGCAAAACCAAACCACTGAAAACAGCAAAACATCTTAAACGACGCCCTAGACGAATATGCTAAGCAGCCGACCTAAAGTCAATTTTAAAAAAAACTGAATAAAACTTTGGATACGGTACAAATCAGAGTGTTACTTAATGTGCAGGAAGCACTTGGCATGTTTAACCTTGCACCTTGGGCGCAGAATCATTTAAGATAACATATTATTGCAACGTAGGCTTCAAAAGTTTCGGGCTGAAAAGATAGCTTCGGAAATGAAGGTCAAAATCGACAACAACATTTCGAGACATGTGTTCAGATTCCCACGACCGACTTTCTTTTAACCTCGGCATTGATTGATAATTCGATGTTTTTCTTCAATAAGCAGACACGAGGTTGTTATTGTGCTCAGATTGTTGACCTCATATGAGATTGTCACATAACTTTTATTCGCCTAACATTTCAACGACTTCGTCCTAAACGGAGTTTCGAGTTGATGTCCACAACCGTTCATTTTCTCGATGTAGCAAATAACTATGGACCGTCGTTTCGGATCAATGGATCTGATAAAGACAAAAACGTCGAAATTCTAGACGAATAAAAATCATGAGAAACCTAGCGTAGGGTCAAAAATTTAAACACACGCTGATTAGCCACACCGAGCCAAAAGGAAGGTCGGTTTTTGAAGTATATTTCGAGAGTTCCCGAGCAATCTAACACACAGCAACCAATATATCAGTATTGTTTTGATATAGAGTACTACCTATTCACGAATCCCATGCTTAAACTGTTCTAATTCAAGCAATAAAACACCCTTTTAGGACAAGAAAACTTGGAATGCTACTTTTACTAGTGGAAATCAAACATCTGAAGCATCGAACTTTACCAGATAACTGCTTTAAACTGTGACCTACTATGGTATTTTCTTACACGACTCAATTAGGGTTTAGTTGAACACATTGTACTATAAAGAATTAAAGGCAAAAGCTTTGCATATCACATGAAATGAATGATATCTTGAACAACATGCAGCTCAACCACTCTGAACAGAACAATATAATCACTCTATAAAAACGGAATAAATAAACCACATCAAGCGTAATAAGCATGGTATTAAGACAAAAAGAAAATAAGTATAGAACACAACGTTTAAATGAGATAACCTTGAAGTCAATGATCCCAATCTCGGCTTGCACAGACTGCAAATAGCATTACAGAAGAATTCACAACAGTAACGCAGATTATTAAAAGGAGCAAATTGCTAGCTATTAATTAAAACGCGGTAAAATCGTAAAACCGAACTGCGACAACCAGCAAGACACCTTCAACTACACCCTATACGATTACGATAGCAACCCAACTGGCCTGTAATTATTACACTAAACGAAGTTTGGAGAAAGACTGAAAACAATTCCGAATTCAAAAAAAGAGTACAAAAAAGTATAGTTGGGTGAAACCGTAACCACAAGGAGAGTAAGGTTCACAGAATCGTGTAGTAAATAAGAATTGACTTATTAGTACAGCTAATCGTGCTAGGAATGGTAATGTGAATATGCCAAATGTCATTCATCCCAGTTGGCAAAACCATCGTATCCAATAGTAGCGATAAATGCTTTAGCCATAGTATCAGCACCAGCAAGAACCTTCGTCAGTAACGATCTGGCGTTGCTTGATCGGGTCCATATTCACGATTGTGGCTAAATGAGAATTATTAACGAAAACCACTATTTATGATCCCGACTGGGTTTTAAGCGTTACGATTAGACTTGTATAGCGTAAAAGCATAAAATTCAGAGTCAAAAATTAGCATCTGAATGAAAAATGAATGAGGCGAATAATGGAACTACTGCTCTTCTCATTAGCACTACATGTTCTCAATGAAATGCACTTTTTCAAAAATCCCGGTCTACTAAAACATTTAAAGTATTGTAAAAGGGCTTCAAAAATACTGAATATGAAATAAGGTTGTAACTTTTTGACTAGCAGTAAATCTAGACCAGTCGCAATAAAAATCCATTATTGAGGGAGTAAAAGAGGAATACTGACAAATTGCCAACAATCTCAAATGCTTTGAAATCAAAAAAGAGGTGAAATGTATTTAAGAAATCATGCTAAACTGGAAACAACAGAAATGGATGCTCTTAGCTATATAAAAGTAGTAAACTTATTTTTTTCTCTTAGCCGAACGATAAAAGCTATAAAGGATAAAGCTCTCGGCGTTTATCAATCTCTTAGAGATTCGCCATGCATTCGACTTCATCAAACATCGTTTGGAGGTGAATGAATGCATGCCTGACCTTTACAATGAATAGCGGTGGCCAACCGATGTATCGATCCAGTGCTGCTATCCTACCAGACAAGTCTGGTACCAATTTGCCAACCCCAGATGAATGGAAGGCTTGGTTAGCCAGAGGCACGGGGATCAATCCCATGTGTATGGTGCAGTGTGCCACCGACCACTGCGCAACATGCGCCCCCTTGAACGATGGTTAAGAAGAGAAATTGATACAATAGATTCAAATGTTTATGTGTACTAAGAGTAATCTCTTAGCAAAATCAATAAAAACATTTACAATAGTCATGATACACACCAACACCTGACATTCTATTATCGCCGTAGTTTGACAATGAAAGGCGAATTCTAGAAAGGGCGATCGAAATGTATTTCTACCTAAACGTGTGTGTTCCAAAAAGAAATTGATGGTTTTTGAAGACTAGATACCAACTGAAATTCGAGAATCGACGACTGAGCTTTGTGTCAAATATGGAGTGTCTGAATTAAAATGAAACATACTATTATCTGTGCGGTCATCTTCCTTTATGATACCCGGCAAAGCACCCGCAATACGACGGAAGAGCTAAAATGTAAAAATCAAATGTCGGATGGCAAGGACTGTTTCAGAGACAGAACTTGGAAGTATCAAAAAAAGAATCTGTGCATCAAAAACTGTATCAAAACGTCTCATTTGTTAATTTTTTTAGAAGTTTATTCACTTCTACGATAACATATGGAAGAAAATAAGAGTGACTACGAAACTTAAATGTGAAATAAAGGGCCACGATACAGTACTTCACCTTGAAAATCAAAAAGAACAATAAAAATAGGACTGACTGAACCTGTTTCACATTGTAACCCGCTTTCGCAGACGTTTCTATGAACATGACGTTGAGTTCCTTAGCTTTTCCTTGGCCTTCTTCAGTAGAGACTTGTCTAAAATCACTCAAAAACATCCACATGTCCTACTAATAAAAAGCAACAAACACTAGTCATCGGCTGAATGCCTGCGGTGGATTGTCTTCTCTACCTTTTATCTCCTAAATCGGTTTTGTTTCCGACTAACATGATGATAACGTCACTGCCTCTTTCGGTACGAACGTCGTCTATCCATTTTGACGTTTGATGGAACGAGTTCGCATCTAATTGCATAAATTTATAACCAATTCAAGAGTAGCCCTTAATAACAACAGAAACAAAAAGGAAAAAATGTTGACTGAACGCGAATCTTATGGCATGCTTTTATCACAATCTCAAAGGTAAGTAAAGCACAAATGTTGTAAAATTGGATGATACAAGTACAGCTTGGGCTTCTTCAGGCATCACTACCAACTTCTGTACCCTTAGATAACTAACTTACGTGTCCAAAAATAATTATGCAATGAAAAGCGAAGAAACAAAAAAGGCTGCGAAAATGGCTGTTGTGAGCGAACAGCAAACGTATCAACACGTCTCGGTGGTGGCACCATTTTTTTTAGTCCTCTCATTAAAACACATTAACATATTTAGTTTTGATATCTTTAACTCATTAACACGCAACAACCACGTAGGTTTTTAGGGAAATGTGAAATTACTTCGATCTCCAGAGCGACTGAGAACAAAAAAAACCTTACATTCAAAAAACACTTTGCTCAATCGCTCCACTTTAAATTTTAGAAGTACAGGTTTCGAAAAATTGAAAACAAAACTTAAACTATTGGGATTTCCCACTCAGGTACTGTAGATGCAAACGAAAACCGTACAATGGAGAACAAAATCGTGTCCTAGTGGATTAAATGTCGCTTGTTCAATTGCTACTATGGAAGCTGTAAATAGGGAAAGCTGTCGGTGGATGCATACATCGAGATTGCAGATCTACGTAAGGTTCTTCTTCTACCGGGTCATGTGAATGTTTGGTGAAGCTTGGATAATGTGTAGTGCCTGCGTGCCTTAGTCGTCACTGAATGATTGGAGAATGGACCTATATTTCCGTCACACTGGAAACGAAAGTGCTTTCACGTCACTAACCTACCACTTCCTATACAAGGAAGTTGTATACATGTATAAATAGTTGATAGAGCGTCGGTCACAGAAAAGCGGCGGTACCGTTCAAAACGAGCAAGGGCCTGGTCTGACGTCGGCTTGGATCAACCACGGTCCGCGTGCTTCAGGGCTGGGAAATTGATACCCGACGCATGGGTACAGATCCATTCTTTTAATCAACAAAAGCTAGTGGATGTATGCGATAAAGATTTGGGACCCCTCTTGCACAGCTACCTCAGGATTCCAGGCAGAATCGACTATTAATCTAGCATTCAACGACATTCATGACAAAGAGCAAAAGAACTTCAAGATGAACCCATAAGCATATCTCAAGATTTACGTGTATTATGGATACGAAAAACGAAACGAAAGCGATGAGTGTTGGAATGCGTACAACGTACGATGACAGGTCATGTAAATTAAAATAAAACAACAGTTTTTTTTCGCAAGACCCGTCTTTCACACCTACTGTGGTGATCCCAGCACTTCTCGCACTCGATTTCTTTTCTCACATCGATCATCCACGAAGATTTTCCAACTTTTTACGTGTGGCTTTGAACGCTGCGTGAGGATTTTCCTTTCATCATGGATGTCGCAAAATACTGGTCGAGCCGATTCTCCCTAAAGTGTGGTGATAGGCATGCTACAGCATTAAATTTTCCGACCCCAGAGGGATAACTGGGTTGGTGTGACCGAGGTGGGATCGAACCAAAACCGTGGTCGTGATGAACGGCATCACTACCACTGTGCTACCCGCCCACCAATGTGAATTGCAAGCTGTAAAATTAGCCTTGAACACAACGCTTAAAGCGCTAATGAAAAATTGTGGCAATAACGCTGTACTGAAGCCATTGAGGACCGCATACTCGATGAAGATCGAGTCAAACTAACAAGCCTCCAGCCTCTTCCATTATTCGTTATCTTGCGATGGTGAAGAGCTTCTCCTAAGTGTCGAACCTGAGTACTAAAGTGGTGACATTCTTGACCATTTTTCAGCGGCAACTGTCTGTATGAAGGATAATCATTTCAACACCAACAGTCTCCTCGAGATAAATTCATCAAAGAAAGTCTTTTATAAAGCATTAAATTTAAGGACTAGCTTTTAAGGGAACACGCCCTATGCAACATTTATATTGGATAATTAATCGAATGAATACAAAAAATTCAACAAACAAGTTCTAAGGAGTGGAATATACCACTGAAAAGCCAATGACTCGATCGTAAAACACTTCGACCACCTCGTGTGAAACTGCAGAAGTTCAGACCACCTTACGAGTTTGACCAAATATTACCCATGGAGCAAAGAAAACCTAGACCTAATGTGACAAACATTAGAGTGCCAGTTAAAATTATTCGTGTCGACGAACACGAAGGCAGACTCTAAACTTAGGGTTTACCCTTTACTCCTGATGACAGTCAAGTCATGACAGCCCGGTACAGAAATTATCACAGAAAATCTTTGCACTAAACCTTCTTCATACTCTATATTTGGATACAGAAATACTAACGCAGACTAGTAACACATCATTATAACATCAATGGAGACATTTTACACGCACGATGTATGTTAATTTAACACATATGGCATGAAGGAAGAATTTTTGAGACGATGAATAGTAGGCCAAACCGCCTTTAGTCCTTTGAAGGTTGTCAGCTCCTAACATATGCTCCCAAGCCGAGGACATTTAAAAAAATGGCCTTATTAACAAAACATGAAGAGTGGGGCACTTGCGACGACCAATAAAAAAAAGAAGCAGATAAATGCTTGAAGACCTAAAGGGTGAGCTCCATTCGTAATAATACTTCATACAAGTCGAGGTATGACTCGGTTTGTCATCATATCCGACTTTGTCCACCATCTGACAAATGGAAAATGTACCTAGCATTTACGACTATTCCAAATGCCCAACAAGTCAAAAAAATGTTTACTAAAAGAAGGAAACGCCAAGAAAAAATCAACTCGAAAGGGCACCCGTAGAGAGCTCTTATCCCACTACCACAGACAAACACGCTGAATTCAGTAGGACTGTTCACTTCATAAGGAAATTATAATCTCAGGGAAAAATAACAAAGAGGTATCCAGTCCCGTCGACTATGAAACTCCTGGTACGGTGCATTTTTCTTCGCTCTATCTAGTTCTGAGACTATTACGTGTGCTCATTACATACTTATTCTTCAGTAAACTCCACTCTCAACAACTACGTCAAGCGGTACATGGAGCACACATGGGGAAAATGTCAACGCACATCACAATGGTTAAGCAATCAAATGAAATACAAGCAAGCTGGATTACAAGTCAGTACTTGAAATTTGTAACTATGGGAAGAAATTTCAGTGAAAAGGCTCACTTGTGATGTCGTACACCACTACAGCCACTGTTGAATCTCGGATGTATGAAGGAATAAGCGATCGAAATCGCTCTTGGCCAGCAGTATCCCAAAGTTGAAGGCGGACCTTAATATGTTGAAGTCTGTACAAGGACACAGCCTACCACCACTACAAAAAAAAGAGGTAGAGAGAAAAGTGCAAACCGTTCTGTCCTCCAAATACATTGTTTTGCTCAGAAAATCAATACCGATAGTTGCCTGGTAGGTGTTGTCAAACGAATCGTACATAAATCGAGTGATGAGCGATGTTTTGCCCACTGAAAAGAATGAGAATCACAAGGTCCAAACCGGCAACAGGAAAAGGATCCTACCACTCTGCTCTCCAAGGAAGACTAGTTTGAATTTCTTGAGCGGATTACCGAAATCGGAAGACATAGCGATGACGATAAACTGCTAAAAATAAAGGCAACACATTTAAGAGGCATGACGATAGAACTCCTAAAAGTAACTGAAACGAACGACACATCAACTCATGAGCAGTTCTTTGATAATAAACCAAAAAAATCAGTAGTACGTCCCTCGAAAACGTAACCGCAGGTCATTATTCTTAAATCATGGAGTTCGAGGAAATAACTGAACCTTCTCGCTACTTCAGTGCACTTATTGACTGGTCAACTCGCCAAACAACGAAACGGAGAGGTTATAAGCAAACTTGTAATGAATAACGATCGCTTGAAATATGTAAGAGATACTAACACTAAACTTTTCCAATAATTCAAACACTGCACTCGAAAAGACCCTTCGCTCTAATGTTTGCTTTCGTTGGCAGCATCGTGGCAAATGCTACCGTAGGACTAACGCTTACAGGTTAATCGTTGTGGGACCTTATGTTTATCCTGGATTTCAAGTGCGATTTCATAACGTGTTGTTTAGCTATACTGTAGCATCCGCATTGATATTTTAGGTAAATAAAAGTTAAAGTTTTCAAGACTTTTATATAGTGTGTATAGTCGAATTAGATAATAGGATGAGTGGTTCATTTTTTCCAGTGACGTACTTTGTACCCTTGTGGCCTAGTGTCATCCTGAGTAGCGTCCGGAAAGGGCAACCCTGCTGCATTGTGGTACTGCTTTTGTCCTGTTCACTGTCAGCATCTTCTTAAATCAACCGCTTCTCAAAGTAATAGTACGTACTTTGTTACCAATACTGTCGTATTACGGAGACTGTAGACTTCGAACTGTTTTAGGATGTTGGGACGGAACTCTCAAAAACTGAAAACTGTTGTAACCAATGTCCAACAGGCACTCCAAACTCGGTTGCTGGGTGGTAATGGCCTCAGTTTTGGTATGTGGTGCATCTTTATCGCAGTGTATATCATCTGACCGCCCGAAGTTCCTAGAGTTCACTCCGGAACAGCTGCAGTTGCGGGATGCTGTGCGCAAGTTCACGACGGAGGAGATCATCCCCGTTGCCCACGACTACGACAGAACAATGGAGTATCCATGGGACGTCATCAAGAAAGCCCATGCTTGCGGATTTGTGAACACCGACATTCCAGAGGAATACGGTGCTTGCTCTCATCTTTCGAAAGTGCGCTAAGAGAATGTCGAAAGGGAGAACATCCAGAGTCCGTCCACTGCAGGACAGTAAATTTTCATTATATTGAGCAGCATTTAGGAGGACTTGGTATGGATATGGTATCAAGTGTTGTTATCAGCGAGGAAATTGCATACGGTTGTTCGGGCATTGGAACTGCAATAATGGGCAACGACCTTGCCGAAACCCCAATAATCCTATGTGGAAGTGATGACGTTAAGAAGCGATTTCTCCCTCGTATGGTGGAAGAGCCTCTCATGGCGGTGGGTTTGCTATTGTCTCGCTTACACTAGAGCTTTCAAGCATCTGCTTTTTTTTACTCCTGAAGTCTGAGTTGTTTTCTGTGGAAATGGCTTATCCTTTTTATGTCAGTAAGGCTGCATTCATTCTAAGTCTATCACGAGTTCTCAAGTGCTCCGGTTGTAGGCACGTGTGCATCGTTGTGAATGTGCTAGTAAATTCTATTTCAGGCGTATGCCGTAACGGAATCAATTGCGGGTTCCGATCTTGCTGGGACGAAGACAAAATGTGAAAAGAAGGGCGACGAATACATACTAAATGGCTCGAAAATGTGGATAACGAATGGTGGACATGCCAATTGGTAAGTGTAATGCCGTCGTCTTGTTCTGTCTCAAGTCATTTCGCGGTGGTATTCTGTTCTTAATATTAAATTGAGGTTCTTTGTCTTGGCACGTTCTGATCAAGATCCGAAAGCACCAGCAGGGAAGGCGTTTACTGCATTTGCAGTGGAAGGAGACACTCCTGGGATAATCCGTGGGAAAAAGGTTTTCTTGATTCCTCTTTCGTGCTCAGGTTTCCTTCTTGATCCTGCGAACCCTTGGGGGATAGAGTAATTTTCAGGAAATAAATCTTGGCCAACGCTGTTCAGATACCCGTGGTATCATATTTGAAGATGTTTGTGTGCCAGCAGCCAACGTGGTTGGTGTTCCAGGTGAAGGGTTCAAGGTGACGTCTTTTGTTTATTTGTATGACATAGCTTAATATACTGCGACGATCGCAGCTCTTCTTTCATTCGGCTCATTGCCTTGCATCTGTCATACCCTAAGGTGTTCGGATTTGCGAGCGGGTTGGTTTTTCCTGTAATTCTGGGATCTCTCTAAAAGAGTGTTCCTAGTTCCTAGGTCTTCATCCCATTCAACGCCTGTCTTTGTGGGTCAAAAGGAGCCTTTCCTAGGCAAATGTAGTACTATTTTGCCGAGCCCAGGTTAGTGGAAGACTTAGTTGGCTCAGTGAGTGGACGATCCAGCAACCATTTATTGCACAACATCTCTAACTACTTCGCTCGTCCCACGTGAAATTTTCTATGTTTACTATCCCTTCGTTTCTATGATGGTCGTATGTGGCGCATTGGTCTGAGGAGCCCTGCAACACACACATGGGATCAATCCCGGTATTCATGGTCCACCAAGCCTTCCATCTCTCCGGAATCGGCAGATTGGTACCAGACTTGGCTGGGAAGATAGCAGTACTGGTTCGATACATCGGTATGCCACCGCAGGTCATTGTAAAGGCCAGATATGCATTCAATTACCTCCAACGACACTCAGGGAAGTCGAATGCATGGCGCACCCTTCAGGGATTGATCAACGCTGAGAGTTTTATCCTTTATCCTTTATCGTTTCTTTGACATTTCGAAGTAGTCATCAGTTCAGGTGGCAATGAAAACGTTTGACAAAACTCGTCCCCTCGTAGCAGCACTAGCGACGGGTCTCGCAGCACGGTGTCTCGACGAAGCCACAAAGTACTCTTTGGAAAGAAAGACGTTCGGCACACAAATTGCTAATGTTGGTAAAAATCTTTATTGATCATAGCTTCTTTATTCTCACTTTAAACAGAATGGGCAGCGAACAACTTGTTGCTTATAAAATTTGAATCACCCGTAATGGTTTGTTGCCTTCTTGGGAAAAGTGCATTGGATGTCGTAATGTGATATGCAACAGAGAACCAGTTCATTTTTGGCAGTGGCGTTCACGTTGTATAGTTCGATATTTCCATCTACAATCACAAACAGGGTACAACTATGACTGTCATCCTAGAAGTCTGCTCGTATAGCAGCAAACTTTACACCGATTATCAGAAGTCGTCTATTTCGGAATTCTGTGGCAAAAAGCTTTTGTATCCAGCAAGATTTCTATAAAATGGAAGTTGCTGATGCTGGCGCGAGTTGTGAAGTCGAGCTTCTACCTACACAAGTCCGTATTCTATAGACCTCTGAGGTCGTGATAATTTTCTGTCGATTTTCTTAGAGGTTTGATCACTACCATAATTAGCTCGCGTGAATTATTTCAGCATCAAGCCATCCAATTTATTCTCGCAGACATGGCTGCAAATGTTGAGCTGGCACGGCTGATGACGTACAGAAGTGCTTATGAAGTAAGTTTTTTTTACTCACTCTTCTGATGCTTTGGAACACATTATGAGTGGTACTACTCTGATGAAACATTTGGGAAAGAGAAAGTTACTATAGAAGGAAGTTCCTATAAAATATGTGAGCACTTCGGTTATATATCTAGTGTGACTTTATCGTACGAATGTTTCCATGTGTACGATTAGGTTACTATTTTCGTTTTTACCGTCCTACCAGCTATACATTCATGCAGACAGAATAGTTTAATTTTCTGGCTTGCTTTAGTTTTGAGAAAAGTTTAAATGAAATGAATTAAATGAGCCATTGTGATAGGAGTGATGCTGTTTTCAGTCGAAAAACACTAAAGGAAGCTTCTCGGTTGCGTTGCGTTAGAATACTCACACGGCGTTGCTACAAAAGTTCTTATTGGGGCTAAAGTTTAGGCTCCTTCGACTTCCTCAGGTCAGGAAAAATTCGGCTCGTATCTCCACATATTTTTTTCGACAGTGGGGTAACCCTTGCTTGCTAGGCAACTTTTCATTTTCATGAGTTGTTATATGCAATACCACTACTTGGATATTTGAGCGGTCCTACTTCACGACTAGTGAGAACGCTCGCACTTTTTTCATTCGTTTCATTGCCTCTTGATCGTTTTCCACGGTGGTGTTCTGTTTTGAATACAGTAACGCGTGCGAGAATTACACCGTTATCTGTGTAACTTTTGCAGCTAGGACTGTGGCTAATGAATTTCAAATAGTTGAAAGCACGCCCACCTATCTCACAGGTGGTTATCCCATGGGACGCTTGCATTTTCCTGAAGTCCGCTCTAAACTTCTTTTCTTCAATTGTCGCTGTTATTTGAGCGATCCATCTATGTTTCGCAATCGGTGTGTAATATTAAGATTCTCGAAGATGAGATAGATTTAATTGACCCGAATTATGCATTCTAACTAAATCTTATGCCTGCCAACTATAGTTCAGAGAGCCCTTAGCTTTCTCTCAATGATTCACACAATTTTCAATTTGATTGAAGTATCAATCTGTTTCTCTGCGACATAACAGAGCGCTAGAAGGACAGCATTTCGTCGGGTATTCCTCAACCTACCAGTCATGTGGTGGTTTTCATTACCTCGTAGAAAAGAGTAATTTCAGAAAACGTCTTCATCCATACTAGGGAGTTTATTTGTGGTTGATTTATTGCACAGCTTTTCGTTTTGAAATCTTGAAGTATTCGGGAAAGTATTTTGCCATCTATCTTTTCTTCTATTTTTTCCTTTGGGAATGTTTTATACGTTGAGAGAGTCAAGAAACTTTTTAAGAGTCGTGTAGTTTGATTGAAGAGATCATATTTACCGATGTAAGTTATCATACTATTGTAGTCGAAGTGAAAGACCATCGTTTTTAACGGAGTGAGATGCTTTCCTTTTCGTTACTTGTCTTGCCATTTCTTGAAATTTTTGATCAACGTGGTGCTGTTTGTCGTTTGTTCATAGTATTGCTATGCAAACTAGCCTACTTGAAATAACATTTGTTGGCATCAGGAAGGTATATAAGGATAAGGATGAAGCCCTCGGCGTCGATCAGTTCCTTCGGGATGCGCCAAACATTGACATATCTGGCCTTTACAATAACTCGCGTTGGTTTACCAATGTATCGAGCCACTGCTACTATCCCGCAGGAAAGTTCAGTACCAATTTTCCGACCCTGGATGGGATGGGAGGCTTGGTGAGCCACGGACGCACGGACCGATCCCACGTGGATATCGCAGGGCGCCTGCGACCACTGCGCCACACGTGCCATCCGATAATCTATATCGTACTTAATTTACAGGAACGTCTGGAAGAATAGTCTGTATTGTACTTAATTTGGTATACTAAATTATGGTGATTATGCTGAATTTGCCAAAAAACGCAATTGGAGTTCTGTTGTATCACCTAACCATGGGAAGTTCTGTCTAGATTGGCAGAAGTTCTTTTTTGTAATGAATTAGGTTTTTTGCAAAATATGACTTGAAATATAGTTGCTGTTCTAGTACTTGTTTGTTCATGTTCTGAAATTTTAGGTGCAGGAGAAGCGGCCTGGATCATATTATTCTTCAATTGCCAAGTTATTCGCTAGCGACTCAGCTAATCAAGCAGCTACGAACGCTGTACAGGTTGCTACTAAGTACATTTTAAGTTTCCTATGTCCTATGTAACAATTAATTGTTCGTATTATACAGATTTTTGGAGGCGCTGGATTTAACACAGAATACCCAGTTGAAAAATTAATGAGAGATGCGAAGATTTTCCAAATATATGAGGGAACAAGTCAGGTAAAGTGTAGGAAAAGACAACTTGATTAATATATGCATTCTACTCTCGCAGCTCAGACACCATAATTTGGTCATTGTGATCCCAATTTGAAATATTTTTTAAATGTAGTTGCATTTGCTTAGATTCAACGTATCGTCATAGCACGCCAGCTTCTATCTCGCATCAAAACCAGCGGCGGATACTAATATTTTTTTGGTTCTTCACCCTAGATTTTGTTGTTTTTGCGAAGATGTCTACCATTGGTGTCATTTGAATTAAAAGTTTTCTGATATATGGGACTGTATTTTCTTATAACAGTTAGTTCTGCTCGGTATTTCTCAATTCGTTCGTTGATTCCACCTTCACCCACCTCTTTCCAATCTTATATCTGTCCTTTGTTTAGACTCAGCGATGTTAAACAGGGCCACAATCCGATTTCTTCGTGCCTGTTCTCAATCGTACATTCCCAGCAACTTCATGAGTTTTGGTATTTCATTTTCATATAGATATATGTGCTGGTCAATTTATTTGCCACACGAAAGTATCCGAGGTTTTTCTACTTTTTAAAATCTCCTTTCAAGACCTAAACGCCACACAAAAGGAGATCCAAGGTATTGCATTAAAATTTGCCAAAGAAGAAATTCTTCCTGTGGCTGCTAAATACGATGAAAGTGGAGATTTTCCTTGGGATATCGTCAAGAAAGCGCATTCTCTGGGCCTTATGAATCCTCAGATTCCTGAGCGATATGGTACGTTATGTTACTACACACTTTCATGTTTTATTGACATTTATGCGTTTGTTTGTGAAGGTGGACCTGGAATGTCATCATTGGAGACAGCCCTTATTGTGGAAGCATTGTCGTATGGATGTACGGGTATACAACTGGCAATCATGGGACCATCTTTAGGGTTAGCTCCAGTTTACATCGCCGGAAATGAAGAGCAAAAGAAGAAGTATCTTGGTTAGTTGGCGGCATTCTTTTTTATTTCTTATTTTTATGTTATCGAGAAAGATATAACTCCTTTAAATTTAAGCTAGTAAAGTTAATGATTCCATAAAGTCGAGTACATCTGCGTAGTGCTCTCGTGTTGTTAAGTTGTGTGACTTAGTTTTGCGCAATAACGCCATTATGGAAGTATTCTTTATTCATTTCTTTCATGGTAACAGTCAGACATGTGAGATGAAAAAGAAACGAACAGGATACTGGCCCTTTCCCATGGAAATTGGCACCTGTATTTTCTATTTCGCGAGGAAAATTGGTGGTAATGTCTTTTCGTTTACCGCATTCTGAACCAATTATGACAAAGAGCCTCCGATAGTCGTTTACATAAGCTTGATGGAGAAAATTGTAATGTCTTGTTGCGCTATGATGATTCCACGTTTCATTTTGTCGAATGTCTCGAAAGTATTCCGTTAGAAATTCCTTCCTTTGATTTCCACATCACATGTTTTCAAGGGTGGTTGGCATCGGAACCAATTTTGGCTTCCTATTGTGTAACAGAACCTGGTGCCGGGTCTGATGTGAGTAGCATCAAAACAAAAGTAAGCCATAATTGAGTTACAATTGCATCTACTGGGCAACTTATTTTTCTGGAGCTATTTCTAGGCTGAGAAAAAAGGCGACGAATATGTAATCAATGGCCAAAAAGCATGGATCACCGGTGGAGGGTACGCTAAATGGTATTACTTATTCTTACCTGTGAAAGTTTATTTTTTTTTTCGTCTGTTCTTTCTTTTTTCATCTTTTTTTGTCGTTTTTTTGTGCTTGTAGTTTACCCACAGATAGGTATGTTTTCCCTGTAGATAAGCTATTTTTTAAGGTTCTTCACTCTGGCTCGTTCTGATCCTGATCCGAAAGCACCTGCAGGGAAAGCATTCACAGCATTTATTATCGATGGTGATACCCCAGGAATTGTAAGGGGTAAGAAGGTGCGCTGATCGTTCAGCATGGGTTGATACATTGCTTTTAAAGTTTAATATTTATGGGTTTAGATTAAATTGTCACTTATTTTTTATAGTAGGATATATCCCATAGATTTTACTGTAGGACATTTTATCAAAGGTTTTACTTCTCATTGTGACTGAGAGTGTTTTGACTACTGAACTGTGATGTGAGGTGGGGTTCTTCACCCAGCATTTTTACAAGTCGAAAACGCGTTCACCATTTTCATGAGGGAGCTCAGCGAAGAGTAAACTTATGCTAAGAATCACCACTGATAGCAACCAAGTTGCAAGGGAGCAGTTCAGTCTCCGATCCGTAGCGGCAAGCGACTGCTTTTGGTGACGACTTGAAAAAGTCCTGATACGACTAGTTAAGAACTCAAGGAAAATCAGATTTTATCCGATATGAAGGTTAGTAGTAAAATAGAAATTTTGCTTTTACTTAACACTTATCTTTGTCTTAAAATGCGACTGGAGGGTATGATAAATCCCTAAACGATAGAGAGTATAAGATCTTACTTATGGTTTTTGACAAACAGACAAGAGAAGGATGTGTTGTGAGAGACGACATGTGTTGAGGAGTTGGAAAGATTTATCGATTTCTCTCCAAAGAAGAGAACTCATGCACTGCCGCAGTAGAGGAAAGATAAGAGTTCCAGTTCTCCTCTTGCATGTCATGCTGCTACACCTCATATTATCACAGGGGTTAGATTTGAATGCTTATTGGCTAGACTACACTTTACCGAAGTCATTTATGCCCGATAAAACGGTTTGTGCAACATTAAAGCACTAATCGAGTTTGTAAATGGGGAAACATCAAAGAGTTGGAAATACGTGTGTGCTGTGGGCTCCCTCATGTCATTTTTATAAGTAGAATCGCCTTCGGACACCCACTAATGGTGGAAGTGGTTAAAAAAAATCCGATGCATAGTGATAAGTATTTCTATGGAGCTTAGCTGTGGCGCATTTTGTAGTGGTGAGGCTTGTCTACGGTTTACTGGATAAAGTAAAGTGAGGAATTAATGCTGAGAAGGATCCATCTTATCGACATATCACCATGGGAAGAAAGGAAAAGAAATTTCCAAGCTGGTCATCCGCCTGAAGCTAGAGAAAGAACAGTAGACTGCAATACAGAATCGGAGCAGTACAATGGTGTTAAAGGTGTTGAGATGGAAAAATAGAAGAGACGTTGCTGTGGTGTTCACAGTTCATGCCGCAACCGTTTATCCAGCTCATCAAGTCCGCCGATTGTTGAAAACAATAGCCCGAGGAATGTATTCATGGGCAAAACTTATCAGGTAGGGACTTTACCTACTCTCTTCTTCTACCCGAACACTCGACTTGTCTGGTTGACGTTCTGAAGATTATAATGAACACATGGGGAAAACCTCATTGAATGACTTTTAAATGAGCACCTACTTGCGTAACGTCGGAAAGGGTTGCTTCCTCGCCGTTGACTTTTAATTTCGTTGAGGAAAGTGGTACAACCTGTGTCGAAACCTTTAAGTGGGACTTCATACATTACTATTTCTGAAGATCAACTGTGCTGAATTCTTTTGATTAACGAATGCTTTACAAACACATAGCTACTCTAGAGAAATCTCAGTGGGTTATCAGCTTATCATATCGAAAAGTTTTTGCAAAATGTCGAATTACCGTGATATTTGTTGTAGTCACTTTTTAGAAGTGATAATCCCTAAAAATGTTCTATTTGCAACTCGTGCTTACTTTTCAGAAAAATCTTGATTTCTTTCACGCAAAAGTGGTATTATTTAGCACAATGGTAGAAAAAGATATGTGTGAAATAGTCCTGTGATAAATCACGTTTGGGTGGTTCGATGATCTTCTTTGGCAACAGTTATTGGCATTACTTCGTTTCAGTGAAAGTCAATACAATCAGTCATGAATTCCTACATTTTGTAGTATTTGTACATCTCTGCGAATTAAAGCAATATTTACGGAGGTCGTTAACAAAGGACTTTCTTCGTTTGGTTTCTAATGAGTATAAGAATATATGAAACTGGTCACATTAATTGCTGTCACTGCGAGAAAGAGAGTGATTAACAAGGGGTAAATGTTTTGGGTCTCTATAATCATGAATTCAGTACGATGAGGTGCATTTTACACACACAAAAAAGCTAATTTGACTCAGGCTTTCGCCAACCGAGCCCTCTATATCGAACTAATTCAAATTCATGACTGCTATGCATTTGGCAAATCTTTGTATGGATTTATGTTCCCAATTTTACCGAGTTTATAGCTGGATACGAATACGATGGTGGATATATACGTGTTGAATAAGCCATTTTAACTTTATTGTTCATCGTTTATTTTGAGGGGAGGGATAATGTTCAGAATGAACGCACTTTCACTAAGAGAAATTTTCACGAAATGCTCTCAAAGAGTGTGCAATATTTTTGTAGCTTCTAAAGTTATCATTAAGTTGTTGTGCGATATTTTACAAGATTTATAGAGTTGAAATATGGTATGACTAGGTAACAGACCTTTGAGAGAGTTTTAAGTGGTGTAGTAGTTCGATGCGCCCTTGATTGCAGTATACGTGTGTTCCTTTGATCGATCCTTCTTTCCAGGGAAGCCAAACCTCCATTTTTTGCGCATGTCACATTTTGATAACAAAACAATGATAGGATAAACTGCTGAACCTGTACATCGGTAGATGCCCACAAGTCACTCTATAGGCTAGATATACATTCATTCATCTTCCTGGTGCTTAGTAGAATTGAACGCATAGTACATGCCTTAGGGATTAATCAACACGGAGCTCTTTTTCTTCATCTTTATCCTTTTATGTGCTTACAAAATCGAATAGTTCTATTCCATCTTATTTATTCAGGAAAAGAATATGGGACAATGTTGCTCAGATACTCGGACAATTACTTTTGAAGACGTTCGAGTTCCAGCTAGTAACGTACTCGGCAAACCAGGGGAAGGTTTCAAGGTGTTTTTTCGTTTTAAATAACTTATTTAGCCTAAATTAAGATGTAATTTTGATTGAAGGTGGCCATGAGTGCTTTTGATATGACTCGACCAGGTGTGGCTGCCGGAGCCGTTGGCTTGTCTTGGAGAGCCCTCGATGAGGCTGCGAAGTATGCTGTGGAAAGGAAAACGTTCGGTACAGAAATAGCCAATGTAATATTCGTCCTTTCAATCTTTTTCGGTAATCGATAAATGCTTATTGGTGTAGCTGTTTGTTACCTTTTAGCATCAAGCAGTGCAGTTCATGCTTGCTGATATGGCTGTGAATCTCGAGCTCTCTCGTCTAGCTACCTATAGGGCTGCTTATGACGTCGATCGTCAGGTATTACTTTCTGGATAGTTTACATAGCAGACATGGGAAAAAAGATTAATTACGTGGTGTTAACACGTTGCTTCATCACATTAACAGATTAAAATGGTCTTTATGGAAGATGTATGTTCTTTATTAAGATCCGCTCGTCCTACTTTGCCTCGATTGCTAAGTGTTTCGCTGCCGATACAGCTAATCAAGCGGCAACTAACGCTGTTCAAGTAAGCAGCCTATACTAGAGACCTTTTCAGTCTGAAAAAATTACTTCAGATCTTCGGTGGGAATGGATTCAATTCTGAATATCCAGTCGAGAAGCTGATGCGAGACGCTAAGATTTATCAGATTTATGAAGGGACAAGCCAAGTAAAGTTTTGTAGTTTGCCCTTGTAACTTTTAACTGTTCTGATGTATGTAGAACGAAATAGGTGACTGTTTGGTAATACGATGAAATGAATTCACAGCATATTCAATGCAATCTCGAGCTTGAATTATTGCTAAACGCGTTCTTTTAGATCCAGCGTATCATCATTACTCGTATGCTTCTTGGATATTACCAACAAAACCAAACGACACGTGGTATTTAAAGATATTCCTTTAATAAAAACTACTTTTGAGTGACATCGGTCTTATGATACACGATATTCGAGAGTGTTACTATTCGTACTGAATGCGCTACAAATTCCCATTAGTTTGAAGCTTTAATTTTACCAGCTGAAGATTCGTATGGAAAATATACACAGTGTTTGAGACACAATATCATTGGATTGCCAGCGTTAGAACAGCTTTTGATTATATAAAAAAATTGGCGTTCTAGCTACAATGTTGAAAGTTGCCATTCTGAGATCATTCACATGAGTAGCCATTGTGGTTCTGTGGAATCCCGAGGACAGCTTGGCCAACCAAAGTCTGCCCATGTCATCACCACGACAAGCAGTCGCAGCCCTTGTAGATCAGAGGGAGATTTACCACCGTGCGACTTTGATACCAGGGCTGCAGTGAATCCTGGTAATGGTTTACTCTTAGCTAGACTTCCTGATGGAAGCGCCGAACTTCTCAGCTTGGGAAACCCTGCTAGGGAGATGAATGCCCCGCTGTACATCGCAGCCCGACACCCAGGAATACCCTAGCCACGATGACGCGATGAACCGTTGGAAGGTTATCGCCAGATGGAGACGGCAAATCTGGAATCTGATGCGTAAATGACAGTTCGAGTGTTCAGCCAATTTTGGCTCATTTTGATCGGGTATTATGTTGATCATGAGTGGAAAAAAGTTTTTGCCACAGTCAAATCGAGTTTGTGAGACTATTTACAAATACTGCTATTTCTGGCATGCTAATTCGCTTAGATGCCTGTAGTCAAATTAATAGGAATTATATGAGGTGCTGTTCGGCGTCACCTCTAACGAGTAAATCCCAGGTACATTTGAGGAGCTCGAAAGGCAAACGGTGAATATACCCAGCTCTCTTTCTTGAAAAGCAGTTAAAATAAAAGTTTTCCCACAAAAACTGACATGATTCGTATCTTATGAACGTGTGGCACTGCACAACTGTGACATGTGCGTATGGTGATACCAGCGGCGTCGGGTTGTGTCACTCCATAATCCAGTGATAAAAAATACAGGTGGTTTAGCTTAACGGATCTGAATTCACAAAGTTTGCTTACACTAATGTGATGACGGAGCACCGAGTTTCGTTAACGGTCGTTTGCAGAGACCAGTGAAGACACCAGAGATGTAGGAGGTGGTGTATGTTGTGATATGAACTGAATAATTTGATACCGAGTAGAACGCTTAGTTAGTCGTCGTTGGTGGCATTGAACTGTGGTTTTATTCGGTAGCAAATTGCCGTTATTTTTACTGTGAGGACGTATAGTTCTGCAATTCACCTGTTTGTTGCGACATCGGGCATTTGAGAGTTCCAGAATAGTACATAAGTATTGTATTATTTTTTAAGGTTGGCTACGCAGTAGATGAGACTCATTAGGTCAAACTGCAACGTTATGTTGTTAGATTTCAAATGTTCAAGACTGAGCTGACCGCTCGAGTTGTGTTACGATGTTGGGGTGGTTTTATGTCGAATTTTGGCAGTTAAGACTTCATATGTATACACATATTACCTACGTGTCATAGCCTGCTATTTTGAACAGGAGCATAACGGAATCACTCAGCAAAGATTATAGGATAATCTAGGTGTTATTTTGTCGGTAGGAGAGTAGCTTTTGTACTAAAATGGTGAAGTACTATGTGGAGAAAGTGTCATACAGATGTAATGAGCAAGTAGCAGCCCAACATGAGATGAGTAGAAATAACCAGTGGAGAATTCTAGATTCCTAATGAAGGCAGATGTCGATGGAGAGCGCATGACTCTTCCAGTCAGTTTTTTCTATGTGTACAGGTTTCAACGCAGAAAAAGGTTACGGAGCAACTAGTCAACCACTGGTTTTTAAAATGTGCAAACGATACCATACAATGGTATTCTAGAGTGCTTTTTCAGCCAGTTGCAAAAGAAAGTAGATGAGGTAACTGTTAGGCAGCTGCTTACAAATAGAACTAGGTGCATAAGCAGGCAGTATGTCTTCTTGAATAGATCACTCATATTCTTAACGAAGTAAGACTATAGGATGAATTCATCGTTCTCATTTTTAATTGACATTGACCGATTTGCAAGTACTACTTCAAAAACCACCATTTTGTGATTTCTTTTCTGGCAGAAAATGGGAAAAGTTTCGGTAAAATGTTCATACCCAAACTGCAATGTTTTATCCATGTAGTCAGATATTTTAGAACCTAAATATTTCGTCTAACATTCGACAGATTCCAGCAACTTCAAATGAATATTCAAAGGAAATGCTGTAACAGTGGCTAAATATTAAAAGCGCTGCATTTACTCACCAGTACGCAAAAGCTGATTTCTTCCTAATTTTAGTCAGTCATAGTTCTAAGGAGTGCTATATACACTCCTCCCAACTGTTTACCGCCTCAACGTGGCTGGGAGGTGCTACTGGGTGTCAGACTACGATGTACAGCGGGGTGATTCATCTCCGCGGCAGGGTCTCCCGTGATGAGGAGTCCGGCGTTTCCATCAGGAAACCTAGCTAAGAGTAAACCAATACCAGGATCCACCACCAATCTGGTATCAAGGCCGCATAGTGGCAAATCTCCCTTTGATCAACAAGGGCTGCGCCTGTCTGTGGTGGTGAAAACCTGTGGCAGACTTTGGCCAGGACGACCTTGGAATTCCAAAGAACCACGGTGGCCTAGTCAGCAAGTCTCCGTAAAATGGAGATTATGCTGGGGCCTGCACAGCCAGTGAGGACGGGACGTTCAAGTAAGTATATACTCTATTTTCCTGTGTAGAGCAAACTGATTACTAATAGTGGTTTAGGATTTTTTCGAGGCGAACTGCGCAAAAAATCACGTGTACTTATATGTGAAGTATAATACTTCAGAAAGTCAGAAAAGGCTTTAGCCACAAAGGAATATTACAATTTTTATTAATGAAAACGATCACATGGATTCGGACGGCCACAGAAAATTTAATTGGTGTAATAACATGGAAGATATTAATACCCTAGTGAGTATATGTCTCGAAAGGCGATTAAATTTTCATTTTCAACAGTTTAAGTAGTCAGGAATGTGCTTCATTTTTCGTGATGAAAAGTGCGAAAGAGAGCCAGGTGGTAAACCCGTACGTGAAAAGGGACTGTGCAAGGTCAACCCATATAGAAAAACGGGGTCGCTCCCGTAGTAACTCCGCGAACAGACAAATACGTACGCATCACGCAGGCACACACCCACACACACGCCCCATCGATCCTCATTAGTTCCAGATTTTCATTTTCTTCCCATTTTTTCATGTTGTACGCTAGCATGTTCATCAACGCGGAAGCCTGTTCAGAACAATTTAGTTTAGTGAGTGCGCGACCGCGAACTGGAAGTGAAATAGTCTAGATGAACTTTATTTCCAATTGTTCTTTCACCTCATCATTTGTTTATTCGTGCTGTTGTGTTATCAAATCGAAGTTATGGTTGTAAAAGCACACTATGAAAATCCAATCAGCTGTTTTTGAGAAACTGTGGAAAAATTCACCACAGTTCCTGACCTAGTAAAGATGAGCAGTTATAGCTGTATTTGAATTTGAAGCCAATGAAACTAAGGAAGGAGGTAGGCTCACTTTAGGTATATTTCGTTTAAAATGGAGGTATACGATAAAGACCGTTTTGCACTGAACTGCTGAATCCAATTTCTTGGAGAGTTGTAGTTAGAGAAACAAAAGACAGGTGCGTGTAGCACTGTGGTTGGAGGCGTCCTGCAATGTGCACGGCATCGGTTCAAGCGCTCCTGGGTGGCCTACCATACCTTCCATCTCTCCATGGTCGGCAAATTGGTACCAGACTTGTCTAGGAGGATAGCAGCATTGGCTCGATACATCGATAGGCCACCTAGAATGATTATAGAAGCCAGATATTGCATTCAATCACGTCCAAATGATGCATAATGAAGTCCAACGATTGGCGCATCTCTAAGGGGTTGATCAACGCCGAGAGTTTTATTTCAGAGCTTTATTCAAAGAAAATCCAACGTTAGACAGCAAACTGAGTGCATTCGAGTTGTCCTTGACATCTGCCTTTCGTGGTAGCTAATGTGAAGTTAGAAATCCTCCAACCTTGGTTTCATTGCCAGTAAAGTAGCATTTTTTAGCGGATATTTATGTTACCATTACTTTTTGTACCCTTATTTACACGATCTACCCAAATTTTTTTGAAAATATTATTCCAGAAATTCCTAAACCTGTCGACGGTCGGCGTTGAATACTGAATTGAACACTCTGAATTCTATGACATCATTGACATGCGTGAATCCTTTCGGAATGCTTCAAGACTTTCTTGCCGACTGCTTCTACAAATATGGCCTGTTTATTAGCAAACATCCACGTGCTTTTGCCATTGGACCATTAGTTTTGACGTGTATACTAGCAACAGGACTCTTTGGCGTGAGGATGGAGGTTGGTGAAGGTTGTAGTGCCCAATTATTTGCGATTTACTCAAATTTGTTAAGGATGACTTGCGTTTTCTATACTCTCCAGAACATTCACAGTCAAGAGTAGAGTATCAAATACACAAAAGTTTTACTGGTGCTTCAATGAACAAGTAAGTTATTCTAGCAAAGTTGAGCTCATTGAGCTACTTTAGCATTTTTAGTCATTTAAGACAGTGTTTGAGTGCACGACGTGACAGTTTCATTGTTATTTTGGTGAAGGATCTTATTGGAATCGTTGATCTTAATTTTAGAATACTTGGAAAGTTCTTGTGAAAGAAAACTGAGTTTTAAATTAAGAGCGATAATTTTTGGCTATTTGAATGACTATTAATTAGCCAAAACTAAGTTAAGAACGCTTGCTTAAGTAGCATTCATAATATTTCCTCGTCTAAATACTTGGTAAATGAATTGTATTCGCAAAGAATGCGGAGATGTGGCAAATTCACTATTCAACTGACAACCTACTGGTGCAGTAAGTTGTTTTCTCTAGGCGTACCAGCGCTTTGTTGAGTACTCCAACAGACACCGGTTAGCCCTTATGAATGAGATAGGTGTTTATCGTTCACTGAATAGGCCTTTTTTTAAATTCTGGAACAGTTTCTCGTAAATATGTGTCCTTTTCCGGGTTTTGGATGGAAATTTCGAATTCTTCAGTGGTCCACAACGGTTAACACCGCATTTCGACATTTAGAAACACCGTCTCGCCACAATGGTGCGCTAAACTATTTGGAGCGGATGCATCAATAGTTTCATAAAAAGAGGAACTAAAACTTTCCTTTTCATTCGAACCAATTAAGGAAAAATTTCATATGTAGCGCATTAATTCACCGTTTATTTCAGTTCTAGGCGACTTTTGCATAATTAAGGAACACGCCCTCTCTCCGATAATTCTTACTTTGACATATTCTTTTCAACTCACACTCTTATGCTGCCTTTATTACCTTTCCTTTCTTGCTTCTCTCTTTCTTATTTACCAGGCGCTATCGCTATTCACCTACAGTTGTGATGAATGAATCTTACTCGGACTGCGGTGTCAAAATATGACCCGAGTTCTCCTAATTCTACGTTGAAATTCCCCATGTTACATTTTTCCATAGCAGACATTTTAAAAATATTTCTACCTTTTCAAATGTCGTTGCTGAGAAACAGTGGGTTTTGGGCAAATGTAGAGCAGGATATTGTTGATGGCAAAGCAAATAAGTTCATAGGACTACTGGTAGAGATGGTTTCCCTTACACTGTATTGTTCACTAATCTTTGAAAGTAAGTGTAACTGCTGCTAGAACGAGCTAACTCTCAACGAAGCATGTAGCGCAGGTTTCATGAAAGAAAGGGGAGATTCTTTATGGACCTTTTATTGATTTGTAAATTAACGTTTTTCGAAAGAGGCAATCGCTATTTGCTCTGCATAACTAGCTTATTCGCGACCATATGGATTGACTTCAATACGTACGTGGCAAAATGTGTCTGGCAGCACTAACTGAACTCAGTGCGCTTGCTTTTCTACTGTTCTTTTGCCGCACGTACTGTTGTTTCCTTACTTATTTTGTTTTCGTATTGCAGCACGTTACAATTGTTAAAAACATGTGTTCTACGCGTCTGTTCGTTTCTAAGATTCATACGATGTTTCGTAGTCACTACAGAATGCGGCAGAGTATATTGTTCTTGGTGAGAGTGCTAAGATGTATTTATCTGATGCATACCTAAAAATATGTGATTCTCGTGACGACTCCTTGTGTAACCTTTTCACAACTAAGCTAATTTTTCAATAACTGACCATAACTTATTTACTACTAAGCTATTAGGAGTTCAGAACTTAACATATCAATAGAGAAAATTTTATTGTATAGCATTAATCACATTTACCCACTTGGATGCTTGGATTGTCCGGTTTCATGAGTTTTGCGGACCTCATCACTTTTCTTTCGTTCCTGTCGCGCAGTCGTTGTCCTAGGTGGTGGTTTACTTCGTGCATGGTGTTGTTTGCGAGACACATTCAGCGATGCAGAAATCACTATCATCTGAGAATGCAGATGGTTTACATTTGCCACTAACACGTCCACCCCTCGTTTAGGTAGTCCTTTGAGAGGACGCTTGCAACTTTTTAGAGCCTACTATAATAAAGTGTATAATTTTGATGCAATATCTTTTGATTCTTGAAAATATTTGACATTAGGGCTTTCAGAAATCAGTAATAGTGAAATTTAAGTTTCCAAAATTACCAACGGAGGAGGGGCAGATGCAAAGACAAACGATTCATTAAGGAACATCATCGTGTCGTGCTAGGCGAAATGCCACTTGCTCATTTGCTTTCTCTTCGGAGCATGAGGCTAGAGGCAGTAAAGCGGGACAACTATATCCCATGGGTCACAAAAAATCAGAATTTAGTTTTGCTAGGAAAAATAACGATTTGTACCCTTTAAGCAAGGATTTTCAGATTATAATAGTTTCTATTTAAACAATTCACCGTGAGTTGGTATGTGTCTATTTGAAGGTGGAAACGAGTATCACTTTTGCGTCGATGACTCCCATAGATTTGATGTTATTACGCTTGTGTTACTGTGCAGAAACAGTTATGTAAAAGTTGCTGAAATTAAGAACGCTAGCTGTAGTGGTTCAGAGACCGACAAAATCGTGTTTATTCGCCAAGAAAACAAGGAATTAATGGTACAAAGAATTTCACTCTGTGAGATCGTTTAGGACCTTAAGCATACGAAAACTAGGCGTAGTTCCATGGCCCAATCTTGTGTATATCAGGCAAATGTGTTAACCCACAACTGAGGAATTGTTTTCGTTGCAAAAAATAACTCCGATTTTCATTTGCGACCTATAACTACTGGAAAAGTGTTGACCTGCCACAGAGTTCTGTATGGGAAACAAAAATTTATGATCCATCCAATTCGACGACAACAACGAATGCGCTGTCGAATTTTCAGAATACTTTCCAAAGTGCAGCAACTTCGACGTGTGAGAATAGAAAAGGCCAAACAGAAACCATGGATTACGTTTAGGTTACTTTTATCGTACAAAATATGAGTTAAAGTCCATTTGAGTCGGCTACGCAAGCATGGATTATAAGTTCTCGGATATACGCGTGCATAAAATTACTCTTGCCATTCATTACCACAGAAATATCGTTGCTACGAAAATGGAGAACCACAGTGCAAATTAGTGAATTTCAGCTCACAACGTCTTAGAGCTTAACACCTTTTTGTAACATTTCAACAAACATCGTGAAAAAAGTACTTGGAATTAATAAATTGGTTTCTTACATGTGGCCGCATTTCTATGGTAAAAGGCAAACGGATTTTAGAATTTTATCTCATTTTCTCAACAGTTTGGGAATCAGATTCTTTCCAATTTGAATCCGCCTTTGAATCTGCTCATAGCGTGCATCTTTTCAAGGCATCAGTTGACGATGCACCCTCATTAATGTATTAACGACAACTTAATGCTGCTAGGCGAAAGATGGGAGTTGGTTGTTGTCCATGCTAATCTCCATGCATTCTTGACGTAGGGTCTATGACACCTTTTCGTTGCAGCCACAATAGCAATTTAGACGGCTACGAGATTGATCGGCGGTCACCTTCAAGTGATGTTTCCTCATTCTTGCGTTGCACCACTCAACGCAGTTAAGAGTGATTTCGAGGAAAACAGCACATCAAAAACACCAGTTAAACAGTTAAACGCGATAATAATGCCTGCTGGTGTTAAGGTCGATAACATCAAAACGTTGAGAAGTGTTTAAACAGTGGCGTATTAGATTGAAGCTATCTGAGGCACTCTGTCTACGTTTGGATAATATCATGACCACTGAAAGGCTTCAGAATAATCGAAGTTGTTGAACAACTTTTTTACTTAGACTAATGATGAAAATCATTGGCTGTACATGAGAGCAGATTTTTATGAAGTCTTAGCTCTGTGTGCATGAGAATTTTAAAATGATGCCAAAGTGACGAAAAGGACAGTTTTATCGAAGAAGAAAGTGTTGAATAATTCGATGTTTTTCCTCAATAAGCAGACGCGAGGTCGAATGCACACTTATTCGCACATTTCCTGTCTGCTTATTGAAGAAAAACATCGAATTATCAATCAATTGCGAGGTTAACAGAAAGTCGGTCTTGGGAAAATGTTGAATAATTTTAGTAAAATTAGAGTTGTAAATATCGCATAGAACAACAGCTAAGAAACAGTGTTATCTTGCAGCTGTGATGAGGAAGCAACTATAAAAACGTGGAGCTTTATGACTTTTTCAGCTCATTTGTCTCACTTACGCTAGAGTCTATGGATTTTGACAAGAACTTGCTTACCAAGGAAAGATCTCATCTCATTAGAAAGCTGAATAAGTATATCCTAGAAAACATGACATTGACGTTGGAAAGCAGAGAGGTTAGTCGAATGTACACTTACTCGCTTGTGTTAAGGAAAAACATGGACATCAAGTTTTGCTATTGTTCTATTGTGTAGTTCTTAACGAAATTGTTTCCTTGAAATGCACATATTCAGATCGTTCTCATTGTTACCTCTAACATGTGCAGATTCCAATAGAAATTTACGCAGTAGCTATCAATTAGTTTCTTTTTCTGAATTACTGTTTTCAATGCTTCATCGTGGTTCTTATCTATTTATTTTTATTTTATAAGATCCGTCTTCACGTTTACTGTGCGGATCCCAGCACTTCTCACATTGGATTCGTTTCCTCGCATACATCGTCAACGAAGGTCTTCCAAGTTTTTACGTGTGGCTTCGGTTGCTGCTTGAGCAGTTTCATTTCATCTTGAATGTCGTAGAATGCCGGTCGAGGATTTCTTCCTTGAGTCTTGAGATAGCCGGGCTGGAACTTTCCCAATTGGATTGCAAAGTGTGATTTTTCCCAAATGAGTGGCTTCATTGGCCCGGAGCGAAATCGAACTAACACCATGCTGGTGTTAACGGACGTCACTACCACTGTGCTATCCGCCCCCTCATTACGTTCTTAGGTTAGCCAAAATAACATCACTGATTTACTTCATTATAAATGTGGAATCTTTGCACACCTTTTGAAGGTTTATTTGTTTCATTTCTTTGAAATGAAATTCTCATGATCTCTGCACCTTCACGAAGTTTTTTTTTTACAGGTTTTACATATTTTCCGTATCTTTTCATATCTTTGGCTGGTATCGATATTTAGGTAAATTTTGGTCACGATGTTTGTCTGAAATTAAAACAGTGCACCCTAAGCAACACCATTGTGGATATTTTCTTCGATGCGTTCTGGAATAACCGTGTACGCTGTTACCATTTAAAACTCATATAATAATTAAGCACGCGCTATTAAACTATTCAGTTGCGGGAAGATCCACGGATCAAAGTCGAATATCCGACAATGACGTTCTTTGAAAAAAAATTGTTCCTGCCCACACATCTCTATGGTGTGCGGACCGATACTGAAAACGCTATCCAATTTGTGGAAATGGTTCATTTAATCTACCAGATACCTGCATACCACAACGTTTGTTTGTTACTAAATGCAATTTTTTCGTATGGAAGAAGAACTCTTACTCTGCTTCATTTTAAGATATCTTCCGAAGATGTGTCTGTCGCATTCTCGGAGTCATTACGGAAAGTGTTGGGCACTCACTTGGCTCCCTTCAAATCCTCGATGTTCAGCCTTTCCATTCTAAAAGAGGAAATGCAGAAGAATGCCACTTACACTGTTCCTTTTATTTCTTTAACACTTCTGCTATTAGTTACCTTCACAGTAGGATCCTGGTTAGTTTCTGTACTTACGTCACACTTTCTTTCTGCATTTTAGTTTTCAGTATGACGAGCGATTGGATAACTTCAAAACCAATTGAAGCAATGATTGGGGTTCTAACGTCATCAATGGCAATTGTCAGTGCTGGAGGTATCTTATTTGCCATTGGGGAGCCTTTCATATATCAGGTGAGGTGAATACTGTTATACACCTTTTTTATAAGCATGTGCTGCCGACGTGATTCAGGCCTATACAACTCGATTTTACTGGGTCACGGTGGATATGTGGTGGGCGCACTTCTCTTTTATGACACACAAGACGTGAATGCACTGCGAAAGAATGGAAATATACATAAAAGAAAGGCTAAATTATGGAACAAAGAATCTTATAAAAGGGGCAGCGTCACTTGTAGCGAAATGTGGGGCACTTTGGTTGGCATAACCGATATCTGCTGACTCAGTAAATGAGTGCCGGAAATTAGGCCTCGTTATTAGTCATATCATGCGGTTATTAAGTCACATTTGTATTCGATTCCGAAATTTCCTGAAGCATTCGTCAACTTATATTTGCTCAGAGGCGTGTGTAGTGCAGTGGTTAGAGGCGTCTTACAATACACACTTTATCGATCCCGCGCCCTAGGCTCACCAAGCCCTCCATCCATCGGGGATTGGAAAATTGTTACCAGACTTGTCTGGGAGGATAATATCAATGACTCTACACATCATTATGTGTTATTGTTCAAACTAGATATGCATTAAATCACCTCTAACGATACTTACTGAGGTTGATTGCATGGCATGTCACTTAGGGATTGAACAACACAAAGAGCCTTATCCTTTAAAGCTTTATCCTTCTATTTGCTCAGAACAGAGTGGCTTATTAGGAACATTAGGTGTTTTTTGGTTTTGAATGAAAGTTTTCTTATTTAGATACCTATACAAAATATCCTATATGTTGTGCCGACTCCAGTGCTTTGTTTCCATTCGTTTGCTTGCTTGTGACCATTGTCCATGAGAATGGTACATAAATTTTCCTATGACTTAACGATCTATCATCTTTCTTCACTGACGCATTAAATGACAACAGAATGTGGAATTCTTCGGAATGCCGAGAGAGCCGTGTTATAACTTCATCATTCCTTCTCTACGTTTAGTCACCACCACCCGCGGCTAGCAGGGATGGGTTTGCTGTCTTGCGATTCGAAACGATTAAGATTCTTCGAAGATGCCTGCGATTACTGCAACTATTCGACTGCCCAGGATCAACTTTCTATTAACCTCTTCATTTGATTATGAATTCGTCGTTTTCTCTCTCAGCAATCACTAGGTTGTTAAACAGCATACGTTTGCGTCCTCGGTGGAAGACAGGTGAAAAAAGCGGCTCTGAAGAGAACGATTCCGCCGAAACGTCAGCTACGACTATATTGTGTGTGTGTGTTATTGTATGGAAGTAAACGTATGCTGTTTAACAACATCGCGATTGCTGGGAGAGAAAACGGCGTATTCGACTGCCGATTGACAGAGATACAACTTACTCCGAGTTCTGCAAGATTTAGTTCGTTTTGTGAACATGTTATTACTCAATGTGCTTTGAATATTTGAGTTCGGCTAACCCATTTACAGTCCTAAACATCGAATGGGGCCGTTGAGTAGTTGTACAGAAATCTTAGAGAATTTTATGATTCCTTAAGGTGACCGTGATGCCTTTCATTGCTTTGGCCATCGGAGTGGACGATGTTTACGTGATGTTAGGGGCATGGCAGCATACTGGGCGAATGCTATCGCCCGAAAAACGTATGGCACTGGCACTGGAAGAAGCAGGAAGGTAATTATTTTTGTAGTGTCTTAAGAACGCAGAGGTTCCGAATGAAAGATGGCTTTCCGCTTATCATTACGCAATTTAGTGCAATTTCTGTAACTTCAATAACCTCTATTCTATCGTTTGGAATAGGTTCGTTTTCTTCTACACCTGCCATCTCTATATTTTGCAAGTTCATAATGGTCGCTGTGGCATTTGATTGGTTTTATCAGGTAGACTACTCAGAACTCTTTCCATATTTTGGGTACCCTTAAATTTGAATAGGTTAGACATGCAGCTAACATTCTTCTCCGCTGTCATGGTGTTGGGTGCGAGAAGAGAGGCCGCTGGCTACCACTGCATTTTTGTATGGAGAAGGTGTGAGAAGTCCGAAATTGAAAAGGTGAACATCCATTGAATGTGTCAGCCAAATACTTTTCGTAAGTGTAGACATTTTTAGTGCAAAGCGTTAAGACGTCGGTTTAGAATAATATTAAATTTCTGCTTCATCACTTACATGGGTCTTATTATTAGGCAAAAACGCCCGACGCTCTTTCTCCCACGAAGCACTTCTTCTGCGACGTCTTCGCTTCATTCCTTTGTCTACCTGCTACCAGAGTCGTCATCGTATGTTTTTATTCGAATTTATCAGAAGAAAGAACGGGATTTATCAGAAGTAACGGTACTGGAGTCTAAAATTTCTTTCTGGAAACTTTCTTTTTCAGTTAAGGAATATTTTGCAACTTGCTATAAGAGTTGGAAATATGGTCTTCTAACAAGTTACGTCGTACATTTTGGGAAATGGTGTACCTTCACTGGTGCATCATTTACCTCTTGAAATGAAACCGTGTACTTATGAATAAAGTTGTGCAGGATTTTTTTTACCTATTTTTCTTTTTTAGGGTAATTATAGGCCCATTATTATTGCTTTCGTTTCAATGCTTTCAAAATTAGTTACTGGGCGTTTTTGAATTTGAATGAGTTATCAGAAATGCAAAAAGGTGAAATTATACACTGTCTCATCCTCACACTGGTTTTCTTGACACCACGGGAAATCCAAGCCCTCTTTCCATTTCTAGCTTTTGTCCTAGGATCGCTTTCTATGTCATAACAACTATCGTCGTTTATGCTTATATAGTAGCCCCCATAACTATTCACATTCGGTTGTTGGCGTCATTTAGCAATTAGCCTATTTGATGACGTAGTGGCCGATAACGACTGTACTCTTATTCTAGTTATTTGCAATGGCGAACTATGAAACAAATTACTTGAGAACCATTGATTCGTAATGGCTAGAATTTCAGGCCTGGAGAGCTGTTCACCAGCGTTATCTTGAATCTCCTATACCACTCGTTTCTTCATGCTCATTTCTGATTTAGTCACTCTCTGTTTCCAGAAACTCTCAATTCGTGTACCAGCATGGGATTACACTAGGGTTACATGACCACCAACTTACAGTTGAATTTCTAAAATTCTGCATAGAAATCGCAAAGGATCTTAAAAGAAGAAAAGAGCGGCGATACTGACCGAAGCTATAGAATCTGCGCAAAGAACCTGCAACGCCAGCCGAAACCTTGCTGATAACAATGCTAATATGGACTAATCATTGCTTCCAAAAGACCAGTGAAGAAAAATACTCATGGCTTTTGCTCCAGTCTTTATAGCAGCTGGATCCACAAGTGGAGTTTCGGAAAGAATAGAGAGCATCAGATCTCATTCACACGATGACGAATCTCGCAACGAACACGACGAAATACCACGGAGGTACAATAGACTGGTTTATACCCTCCATGGACAGAAGCGGTAGCGAAGGTTGCTAACAAGCAGGAATTCCTCCCTGAATTCTTTTCTTCCTTTCGGTATTTAATAATTTTTTTTACCAGAATTTCAGCGTTTCCAACTACATAATTGGAATGAGGATGGGAGACTAATAAGGTGATACTGATTTGCTAAGATTATTGAGCATTGCTTTCTAGAAAATAGAGCAATAACTAAATTAGGATGTCAATTTTCACGAGTTTCTATTAAACTCGGGTGGCTCAACAGGTCAAAGTTTTATTCAGAGCAGATACGAAGTTGTAAATAACCAGAGTTATTCAACACAGTGGTGGTTGAGGTTTCAGCAGTTCCACCTTCTTTGGAGGTTGGGAAGGCCAAATTGATATGCAATCCACTCAGCCCAACACTTTCATAACTCCAGCAGATAAAATTTATTCCATAGATTCAATTCGCATAATAAACATGTTTTTTAAGCACCAACCATTTTAACTTTTATTTATTACCTACCCTTTTTCTATGGTAGGGTATGATGAAAAATATAACAAAAGTGATGCTGAGATATGAGCAAAACTCGGAATGCTCATGTTTTATCAAACACACCAACCAGGGCTCTTGTTTTGCCTTTCTCTTAGCCAGTTTCTCTACTCTAATGGGGCTATCAACAATCACTTAGTCATCTGGAATGATTTTTAGATCACAAATCTACATCCAACCTACTTAAGCTGTAACTGCGGTTGAAATCGCAATGTTTCAGCTTTTATTTTCTGCCTATCCCTTTTGTTTAGTAGAATATGACCGAGAGAAAGGCAAGGCAAGAGCTTCGACTGGTGTGGTGGATAGAACGTGAGCGTCTGGCAAGGATAATCGCCGGTTCGAAGCTCAAACTGGATCCCGAATTTGGCTCATATCACACTCACCGTATCCTTCTTTGCAAGTCTTCCATTTATTTTGCGGAGATTCGTACAGAGGTTTAAGTGGGTAAGGAATGTGCCTCGCTCGACTCAATAAGTCATTCTGAGCTGTGGCGCGAGGTCACGCATGATCACAATACACTTCTAATACCTATTTTTGGATGTTTGGAATTTACCTATACTCTTCAACAGTTTCAAGCGCTGAGGTTTTGGATTCTTATGCTAGAATAGTAGCTTTTGCCTCGAAATCTTCTCCGTTATGCCGTCGCCTCTTACGCGTGCCTAGTGGAAGCTTGGCTTAGTTTCCCAACTATGTGGTCTTCTATGCGTAAGCAAAGTGGTCAATTCGTTCAGCCAAAATATTCTTTGTGCTCTGGGCGTCTTTAGAATAGGTTAGTTTAGGAGGGAAAGTTAATGACTGACGGTAATACCATGCCTTGATGATAATATCGTTGCTACAGAACGAACCATATATAGGTAGATGCAATGACCCAGTTTATTATGCGCAGGAGCCTGGCTAGGCGGCGAACAGTGTGGACCAAGCCCATCATCAGTGTAGAAACGGAAATTTGGTAGAGTGCTAATCTAGACCAAACTGACTCTCTATAGTCGACGCGGGAACCTCCCAACACACATATCTCGGTATTCCAGGGAGTTTCGACGCTACCAGCATTCAACCACGTTAGTGACGATTACGAAAAAAATTCTAAAGCAACACGCAAAAAAAAGTTTGGAGATATTCCTTCATCGCGAATGCGAGGAAACAAACAGAATGCAGGAAGTGCTGGGATCCGCGAAGTGTGACACATGTGTTCTAGGGTCGTGTAGTGTAACGACTCCAACCGTTTGCCAGGAGACACGAATGCTGAGAGATTTCGCGCATTGTTTTTTGCTTTCTGTTCTTTTACTTCTTTTGCTTAAAAATTGAAGTAGTTTGAAGAAGTAAAGAATTCGTTTCGGAAGCGTTATTATAGCTCAGCGGAAGAAATACCTCTGAATACTTCACCTGTGTGTTTTCGAGTCGTGAAGTCAGAAGTGGGCGCCATTTTGCGCCAGAGCTGAGCAGAAGGAAGCGAGGAAAATGGCTAGAAGTAGAAACAGAAATGGGCAGTTAGTAAATATGGGGATCACTATCTCTTCGATGTTTATCGCTAGTGTTTTATGGCAATAGAGACTTGCAGTTACAAATTCCCAACTTGATCTCCTTGGTAGTAATTTGTTTCCGTTTTTCAGGTTTTTGTCTATATTATCTACATATTTACTGCATTTTATGGATGTGCGCAGTTGAAACCAAACTTAACTCCTTCTCGACTAGTTGTTGATGATTCTCCTCTTGTTCATTATTTGCACCTAGCTGAGAAGAAAATATGGGCAGAGGGACTTATCGGACGAGTATACGTTAATAAGGCACCAGACTTCAATAACCCTCACCAGGTAATCGTTGCATATGCATTAACTGCGTGCTTAAAAGTGACCTATGGGCTGTCTCCTTCAGATCGAAAGAGTTTTGGACCTTGTTCATGATCTCGAAAGCACACCTTACTCGATGGGACCGAATTCAACGTCATTTTGGTTAAAAGAGTTCAATAACTACAGGCAATTCTTCTTAGTAGACGGGGAGCGGTAAGTTTTTCATCCATTTCGACATTGTAAAGTTCTTTATGTTTTGCAATAAGTTTCTAGCTCAATGAGAACTTCAATGTTGCTTACTAGATTTACTGCGGAAATCCAACGGAGTTGAAAAACCGAGAGAATAAGTTACTGGACATTGAGCAGTAACGAAGGCTTCGTTGCAATGCATGTAGTAGGTTTCGTTCGAATCGAAGTTTAATTTCCAGATTCTATTCAACACTGAAAGCCTTCTTGAAAGTGTCTTTTAACAGTCACTGGGAAACTGACATACACTGGACGAGTCACGAAGACGAGGTTGGTCCTCATTTACTGAATTCAGCACGTTCACCTTTTGGACTTTTGGACAATCTAAGTATTTATTTTAGAAAGAACAACGAGTGGAAAAGTTTGCATTTACGACAGCGTTCAAAATAGCGAGCTGGAATGTAAGAACTGAACTACTTCTTATGTGGAGAAACATCACCGGTCACTATCCAGAATTTGAAGCATTCGTTTTCGACGAAAACAATTTTTATTCCGATCAGGTAAGTTGCTACACTGTCAGGAAGATTGGAACATTAAGGATTTAAGCCTCACCAATTATTTGGTAATTCAACATTATCTTATCGTCTTGAACAATTACGTTTGCTTTCATCTATTAAAACTCAACGTTTTCTCCGATTGATATACTTGTTCGCACCAAGAACGTTGCTGATTTCCCTATATGGCAGAATCATTCCAGATGTTAGAGTTGCAAACGACTACGCTCCAATCTCTCGGAACTGCTATTTTGACTCTTATTTCAGGTAGCTGTCATTGGAAGCATGTTCTAGTCACATAATTTTTTAAAGGTTTTGCTGTTTCAGTGTGCATTCTTTTCGTAGCTGAATCTTCAATTGTATTTTGGGTGACATTCAGTCTGATCTCTATGGATATTGGGACAGCTGGGTTTTTGTCGTTGTGGGGAGCTGATCTCGATCCTACGACTGTTGTTAATATTTTGGTGAGTTTGTAACACGAACTAAATTCATTAAAAACATTTCCTTTCATGTCCAGTCGTAAAATTAACCCCATATCAAAGTGCTACGCAGAGATTCTCTTCTGATCGTCACGTTAACATCTTTACTATCTTTTTTTGCTACTTTTGTTTCGACAGGCATGACGGGATTGATTTGAAGAGGAACACCACAAGGCAGTATTCTCATTCATTCCCTTGATTTCATTTGTAAACATATGTATTGAATGTGAAATACCTACTGTGGGTGTACTAAACTCCACACCATTGTTACAGTCAGTTTATACCAAAGAAGAAAAAAAAAGAAAAAATTAACCACATGTACATTTTGACATGAGCTGTTTAAAATTTCTATGCAAAGGGACCGTCCACTTGCATTAGTGCGCTTGAGCTTCTTCTTCAGGGTTGCATTAAACTCGCATTCGTCTGGCACACACACGCCGTTGCCCATGTTGTTGAATATTTGCTATTTTTTTTCCTTGACGCATAAAGCATAGAGCGTTTGGCGCTGCCCAGTCGCTGAGAGATGCGCCGTGCATTTAACACCAGCGTGTTTCTTGGAGCTGAATGGATGCATATCTGCAATAACTTGTAATAGTTCACCGATGTATAAAAGCTGCTGTCCTCTCAGACCAGTTTGGTATCAGTTTGCTAACTCCTGAAGGATTAAAGATTTGGTAGGTTTACGGGATCAAACGAGCAATAGAACCAGTGTGTATTGCAGGGAATCTCTAACCGCTGCTCTACACTTTTCATAGTAAAATTTCGTTCTGTGGTAAAGTTTACGTGAATGCAAACAGACTACCTAAAGGAAATTACTAGCTTGATTGTTAAGTTCTCAGTGAGAATAGCTGTAGTTCAAGAACCCTCTGAGACTAAACTGGTTGTTAAGCGAAGATCAATGATATTGTGGCTATACAACAATTCCTACTTAGTGAAATTGTTTGGTGCTAAAAGTAGGTTCGATGGACGTTTGATGGTGCGTTGGCTGAATTTCGGTTGGATGCTGTGTTGTTATTTCTAGAAATAGCTGCAGAGGCGAAATACTTCTTATACTCAAAGGACAAAATTCATGGAATTTGCTATTATGCCTAAAAGGGTATAGCTAGAAATTTGTCAAATCGTGGAAATCATTAGCAGTGGGAGGACAATGAGGAAGCAAAGAGCTTTCGAAGTATTTCCGAATTTTAGTACTCACCAATCCAATAATTATAGGTCTCTTCTTGGCATATCATTTCGAGAAGTGCTCTGGAAGCGACGAAGCTTATGCTAAATTTTGGTCACTTGCTGCTGGTGCATTCTTATCACTTTTTAACGAATTGTGGTAAAATAGGAATGCTTTAAAAAGCATATATGCGATACAACGGATTGAGGAATCTGACTCCTTGGTAACGGCTGGTAAGAAATGCTGACTCGCATATGAGGAAGTGGCAATGACTATGGTCTTGCCGCTCTACTCCAGTGGTTCTGTCAGTCTAGCTATGTCCATGCACTCTTGTCAAACATATTCCAGTATGTTGTAGCAACGGTAGGAATTCTTGCGCCTATGTATACCCAACGCAATTAATCTTAGGTCTAAAATTTGGATGTAAAAGTTTATCATACCTTAGTTACTTGCTTAGATACTTAGACGACTCGTCTTCATGAGCCACATAGCTTCCAGCACTTCTTCCATTCGTTCCACTACGTTGCAAACTTCATTCATAGTCGTTGATGTTATTAGGGTTTGGCTTCGCCTGCAGTTTGCGCACCTGAAATTTGATTGCAATTGTGAGATTTGGTGGCTTACGCGTCTAACGAACATATCGGTCCATTATCTTGATATTCTTCTTAATGGTTGTTTTGATTTTCACCAGATCTATTTTCTTCTTCTTGTCGTATATCTATCGTGTTCTCCTCTCGAACAGCTAATCACTGTTTAATTCTTGAGACAAATTCCGATGGGTTTAGAATAAGAGATATTCCTTGAAAATTTTGACCACAATTTGGACCACTTAGATTGGATTGGCGTTAAAGGCGCCTATTTACCCTTCAGAAGATGACACCATTATTTTACGCAACTTTTTTGAACCGGCTGAAGTATCATCTATGCTTGTGCTGCATGCTACTGAACTGGAAGGCTTGTTGTGCCAAATAAATGATGGGGTTGGTCGAGATATGGGGTTGGTCGAGATCGGAATGACTTCTGTCAAGGGCCAGATGGCGGTTCACGTACTGGTTGTCTTTTCCAAGTCGTTATTTTATGGAACGTTCTAGGTATACGCATGATGTAGTTGCCTCAGTTGCTGATCCGTCTAAAGTATTCCGTTCGCTTTCACACCAAGTGCTTTTCATGAATTCGGTTTTTCAACACAGTTGTTCGTAGTTATTTTTCTTCTTTGCTTCGTTCGGTTTGGTAAGAATTGTTTCTGCTTTTTCAATGCTGCTCGAGAAGAGGAGAATGTTGCCGGTAAAGCGAAGATTCGTTAAGAACCGCGTATCAAATCCTTCTGTTGTACCAGTCGATTGACTCCATGGGCCACTCTAGCGCGGCACTGAACAGATTTTGCGAAGTTACGTTCCCTAGTCGGTTGCCTTTACCAATTGCGCAGGTGGGTATCCGCGAAAAAAATTTTCAAGTTTCTATTTGCAGCTCGAAATTTTTATGAAAGTATTGTTTGTGGTGTTCTTCCAATAGAGAATTTCGAGCTCCAGTACAAACATAGCGGTTTGGTCATTCTTATATAATCGTCGCAAGATTATGATATACAAGAATTCGTCCCTTGTCGTCTATTTTTTAAAAGCTATGGTTTTTCTAACCAAGGTCAACATTGCTTAACCATCCATATGGAATGGGGTGGCATGGTTTCAACATGGTATAGCCGTCAGCAATCGAGTGGGCCAAGTGAACAAGATTCGTCAACTACTAGTTTTCTCGAGATGTCGAACGCGCAGCAGGACGCCGTCTACTCGATGCTCAGAGTTTTTCACAAAACGCTAGAAGGAAGATATAATTCCCAACTACTCCCTAGATCGTCCAGAGCACAGTTCTGCTTTTGCTTGCAACAGTGGGAAATGGGAGATTTACTGTCACACGCTCGAGTCACTCGATGATCAACGCAACGACAAATTATGCATGTGATGCTGTTTTTACACCGGTCGCGTAATGGTTCATCTTGATCATAGCCAAGAATCCTCATTTGTTAGCGATAAGGTGTGTTTCTGTTGTGGACACACTACACTTTTTGTGCAGTCTATGGGGAAGGGATTCTGCCTGCTACATCGTCCTCGACCAGTCAGTTAATCTTTTTTTTAGGAAGCACTTGCACTTCAAAAGTATCCAAGATACAAACTAACAAATCTGTTTCCGATCTAGATATGTGGCTGCTCTAGTAAAGGCGAAGCACAGCTTAGAATGGTAATCTCGGATTTCAGATGAATTTACACTCAAACAGAATAAAACATTTCATTGAGAACAGAATGTGGCGAATCCTTAATCTGTAATGGATCTATACACCCATCACTTTGATGGATGAAAACTGCAAAACATCGAATTGAATAGAAGCAGTGCTAGACCTGGCCACCTAGTTATTTAAGCAGGTAATCTGCTCATAAGGAGTTAAATATGTGCCTCAAATAACTATGTTACCTAGTTGAAAGTTCTGAAGATAATGTTACTCCAAAATGTTGGGTATGAGGATTAGAAAGCACACAACAGAAGACCTGTCTTTCTTCTTTCTTTATTGCTTGGTGGATCAACAGTGCTGCAATTAATGCCGATATCGATCTCAATGTGCAGCACACATTATTGCTCGGTATTCGGCCTGTTGTCCAGATCTTGGGAGCATGTTGACTCTAACAAGTTTTGCCTAGTAGGCATTCCCATAATACGACAATTCGAACATAGCGGTCTATTTGGAACTCGTTCTAGCTAATGAAAAAGGATAGACGTTGACGTGTGTGTATCATTGCAAGAACTATAGCTATGTATTTTTTAAAAACAATGTAACTTCATGTGGAACTGAGCCTTCTTTTCACCGTATATATATAGAACTCATTGCTTCATTTCAATTTCACTGTTTTGGATCATAGTAAAATGCAACTCGTTATATACACACAGCTTGCTTGGTATTTTAGATGTCAATTGGACAGTGCATTGATTTTGCTACACATGTTGGATATCGCATATATCGCTCGGAATGCACTGATCCGAACGATCGTATTCGTGATGCAATGGGCGCAATAGCGTGGCCTGTGTTGCAAGCCGGAAGTTCAACTCTCCTTGGTTTGCAATCCACTCAGTTCACGAGTTTTTCAAAGCTTTAAATAGATATCTCTTTTTAGAAGAGAAACGCAGGTAAGCAGTATATGGAAGAATAAATATTCTAGCGAGTACCCGCTTGACGGGTTGCGATCAAAGATAGGCTTCCGCTCTGCACCTTATGCTTTCAATATGGACTTGAACATATTCCCCGTGCCTACTCTGCGACAGTCCAATGACCTGCAGCTAAACTCAACTCTATAATGCATATATCGGCAAACTACTTGCAGTATCATTTGTCTTAAGCCTTTTATAGTAATAGAGTCCAAAAACGGGGTTCTGTTTTTGTTGTTTTGTTAGTGTTTTTTTCCTCCCAGACAAATTTTGCATGAATTTGGTCAAAAAATCACAAGTAATAATGACGATTAACTTTCAGTGGATTGCGAACTTTTTGTGCAAATCTCCTAACTGGAGGAGACCCCTATAAGATTCACAGAACACTAGGCGAAGGACAGCCATGAGAACAAGCGGGGTTTCTGAAAGAATTCACTATAGCGAATCACATCCACGTGATAACGAAATTCATAGAATTGTTGCAAGAGTTCATTTGCTCTATATCTTCTATCGATCAAAATGAGCTCTCAGACAGAAGCGGTAAAGGGGACTGTGAACGGCGAGACCGTTTCCGCTGAGTACATGAGGGTCTACTACGAGTTGTGTAACAACTTCAACCTGAGTTCATAAATATTCTCTAGCTTTATAACAACTTCATAACCAGTATCCCAACATTCTACAACAATGTTATCGTGGGCGTAGTAAGTGAGTTTGACAAGGCGACACCGTCTTACTAAAAATATCTATCACCACTCTTATATTATGAGATATTTGAAATGTGGTAGTATAGTAGTGAAGCTAGCGGCCAACAATTGCAAAGCTTTCGCTCTGATGTTGACACCATTCTTGTGAACTCAATCACTGGCCAAGAGGAATAAATGCTGACTGATTCGCACATAGAGGCATCCGTTTTTAGTGGTAAAAAAGATTTGTGCTCTCTAGATTATTCCCATTGACGGGTGATTACTGATACTCACCGATAGAATTAGAAAATGGCTAAGAGAAATGCAAAGACCTCGACATGTGTGGTGGGTAGCCCGTGAGTCCCCCGAAAATGTAATTATAGGTTCGGAGCACACATGAGGTTGTCAATTTTCTTCAACAACTCAGCATCATTTTGGTTATATTTCATGTCACACCCTGCCATGGAAAATGCATAGGCACTAATTCCCACGACCGGCTTTCTATTAATCTCTGTTGTTTTATTTCATTATTTAAGCACAAGCTGACGTTTCGGCGGATTTAACCTTACTCAGAGTTTGGAAAGGTCAAAACCAAACACAGAAAATCCTAACTCAAGATTTCAATCACACTGAACACAGAATGGCTTCTTTGCGTACTCACCGCTTTATGTAGATAAACTTTTAATTTCATAGGCAGTAAACAGAACTTAGAACATTAAAAAAGGCATTTATTTAAAAAGGCATTTCTTTCCGAAGGGCTGTTCAAACTCAATTCCAGCCGTGTATTTTGGGTCTTGAAGTCAAGATGGTGAACGACTTATCTACGGATCCGATGAAGAAGCAGAAATCGTGGAAATATTGTGAACATCGAGAATGTATGAGGAAACGAATCCCATGCCTTGGAAATTAAATATCACATATCGCAAAAGTGAGAGAGAGAGATAATCTCTCCGAGCTACGCTGAAGAAGGATGATCAAAGAAGCTGCTGTGTACGCGCAATTCACTTTGGCCAGACATGTGACGTTTCTTTACAGAAACTGATGGACGAGAGCTGCTGGTGAATGGAAGCCCCGGGGTGACAAGGATAAAACAGAAAGACTAACCACCGGACATATTTCTTTACGAAAACCCTATTTAAAATGTTCTTAATATTCCTCCAAATGAGTTCACTGAGGAACAATGGGACGCGGCAAGGATGAACAGGAATTACCCTGGATCAAGCTCGAATCACTTGATGATCAATGAAGCACCGCTGATAAGGCTGAAACGATGTAATGTTATATCGCTGACGTAGCTAGCAAACATCTTCGACTTCACCTTCATAAGTGATGAAACAAATTTTCTTGACTACTGCGTAGTGATTGAATCATATTACGGTTTAATTGCTCTCACGTTTAGATATTTTCAGCGATCGTGGTGATGATCTTAGTTCCATCGAACGCTGTTCGTATGTTTGCTCGTACATCAATACTAGTTGTAGCAACGGGACTGTTTCATGGTCTACTAGTTCTGCCAGTTATCATTCGGTAAGTAGCGGAAAGTGTGCTCAGCAAGCTGCCCTTCTTTGTTTTTTTTCTTCTCGACGATTTTTGTTTCAGAACTTTCGCAAGCCATGCAAAGGCTCATGTGCCCACTCACAGTAACAGATGAATGAACATCGTATGTTGGTGTACAGTACAGAGGAAAAAACGCTACTGCTTCGCTTACATCTACATGATGTCGATGCATAAAATGTGAAACACATAGCATGCCAAAAATTGCTGCTTGTTATTATTTTAAGTTTTTCCAAGAAAGTTCTAACGAGTAGTGGTGTTGGGGATCTTTTCACTATGATAAAGTTTATGGCATAAAAATTCTGTTTACAAAATCCGCAGTAACTAAGCGATTCCCATTGAAAGAATTTCATTAACTGACAATAAAGTATTATTAAACAGGTTTTTGATAAGTGCTTCATTACAATTGCTACACAAAAATCTAATGGAAAGCTCGGCAAAAATGGATTAGCTATAAGTACATGGGATCATCAAATGTAGCAAGAATGAGTCTCAGATTACCAACTGATTTCCCATAAGTATCAGTTAACTTCAACTGAACTTCGCGAGTATCATTGTCCACTGGAGCAGTAAAACTTGTACGGGAAATAAGTTTATCACGTGTGAGCAAGCAGTCATCCCAAAGTTCCAAAGAGAAATTCCGACTTGCCGATGCTCTGAAACAACTAGTGCGTTTTTTTAACCTAAAAAATCAATAAAATGCATGTAACAATAGATAAACCTATGAAATATGAACTGCTCATTCCACGATACTTGATTTCTACCCTTAACAGATGATGTGCGTACTTTGTCGTTTCCAGTCTGTAGGATACAATACGCGTTCACCTCTAAAATCAATAACTTGGCAGTATTCCAATATGGAAGAAACACAGAAACAACAGTTGTTTGTCTTACCTACCTTTTATTTGATCCAAGAAAGCTGCAATGATTGTGATTCTAGTAATCGAGGTAGGTTGCCCACATCCGAAAACACCTTTCGAAGGTGCATGCTGAATTTACAGATATTACATGCCATTTTCTTATTTCTAATAGACATATATCTTACCTTCATCAGAACCCGAGGATAGATTTTATGCTCAGAATAGATCCGCAGCATAAAAACGGACTCTTCCCTTGGAGCGAAAGTAGTCGGCAAAGCAATATACCTACCAGCAGGAACATCTCTTAGGTGAAGAAATACTGACCGAGCACTAGCATAGTCGGATGTTCCAGCTGGTGCCATTGCCTTAAAATTCTGCTTAACCGTAGACAGTGAAAGGGGACATTCATAGACATTCCTCACCTGATGAACACGGTGAACTCGATTTTCTTCCACCTTCATGACATGAATTCCAATCGTAACGTAGGGATCACGTCGTTTTACACCTTCATTAGGTTCTTTCTGTGTTAACGCTAACATGACTTCTCCAGGTTCGGACACATTGAAGAGGTACTAAAACAGTTCTACAAATTTCGAAGAGATAAACTGGTTTGAAGAAATCGTTTTAGAAGTTGCACACCATACTAAGGAGAGTTACCTGCGGATTATTACAAAATGTCGCTGAGAAATTAAGACAGCCACCCGCAAAGTCGTTGGGCGCACCACTCTTAGCTCCGTTTGTAGTCCATTCCCCGTAAAATATCTCTTCGTGGTACCTTAAATAGCAACTGAAAAGTGAGGTAACATTCCACAGCTATCGTATAAACCAGCTATTTTTCAAATTTGTACTAAAAAAACAGTTAGCAGACCCATATAATCTAACTGATAGTATACCTACCAGCTACGAAATCTCACGAGGCAAACTCATTTATTCAAGTGTTAACTGATTCATTCTTATTGATTTATTCTTCCTATTCACTTATTTAACTAATCTATATTCTGCTAACTCTTTATTTGCTGCCTACTATAACTTTTTATGGCAGGATATAATGCGAAATACAACCACAATAATGTCGAAATATTTGCAAAACTCCGAACCATAGGTGTCTGCCGTGGGGAACGAACGCACTATTACCCCCTTTCCGTGGGCTAACGAGTTCAGCAGGGCACCATGAGGGTCCTTTATTTCGCCTCTCTCTCATCTAGTTCTGTATTATATATTCTATTCATGACATTCTATCACATATGGATGGATGATGGGGCATCGTCACTGGTGTTTAAGACTAGTCGAAATGGGGACTGTTCTTATTTTTTCAAAGAGATTTAATCGTAGGCAAAGTATTTCAGATATCAATCAAAGAAATTATTAATTAGAACCGCACTCACCTTTTAGAGCGTGAAAATATACTGGTATTAAACATTTGGCATAAGGAAATATCGGTAAAATACCGGATGAACGAATTCCACGGCATCCTGAAAAGGAATATTCTATTTTATCCTTGATTTTTAAAGTGTTGTTACACCGCAATGTAAACTACAAATTGTGTCACTAAAATGTCCAATGTTTGGGAAATACCATATAAGTTCGCATCTGCCTCGTACTTGAGCAATGAGTAAGTGACAAACGTGAAAAAAACTTTTCGTAAAAGAGCTTACCAAAATTCACCGTCTTCATCTACAGTAATTCCAAGAGAAGTTTTCTGAGATTCTGTCACCTATAAAACAGCCAGGATTTTTTAAATAATTAGGTTCCAAAACACTAACTACGAACTTGTTCCCATTCTTTGCTATTATCACTCCAAGGGCCGTTCCACTCTTTCTCTCCCCAAGGATTCTGAAGACGAATCATGCGTATCCGAGCATGTTGACCAAATAGGGAACTGAAATGGGAACTTCTGAACACAGTCACATGCAACTGCAATGAAAGTGAAACTAATGGAGTCTTTAACAACTGCACACTGTCAAAAACAAGTGCGCTGAACAAACTTTACAGAAAGTAAATCATGGAATTAACAAGAAACAAGGAATGTGAAACCTGAATGAATTAGACTTCGCATCCAATTCCACATATCTTACTGCCGTAACAGCATATGCATGACCTTTCACCAAGCCGCAATCCAACGTTTGCTCGATTTCGTCCTTTGTCTTCGCCTAAATGTGGAACGATGAAATGACATGAGGCCAACTAGAGGCAAACGTATTCTTACAACAAATAACTGAGATAAAACGATCGACGGCGAATAGAACAACCGCAATTGCAGCGACAATCAGTGCTTCGTTGTCGAACGCTTCCTTCAGATTGTTGAACAACAAGTGTGAAGAGGCAGCTTCTCCCTGAAGGAAATCTTACATATATAGATATACATATAATTATGCTTATGTCATATATTATACGTATTTATACGTATATGTGAGGTGTACTTAACAAACAATCGTAATCAATTATTGGCTACAAATGCTATTTGTCGGCTAGAATCATTTTGACCAAACATTTAACTTATGCTTGCAACTCAAAATGCCTCGATGTTTCGTTTTTCTTGCATTTTTCGCAAACTGATTTGACTTGTCTTCGTACCCTGCCATGTTATATGCTTCTAGGATTATTTTCCTGTGTACTACTAGTTACATTTTAGAGCATTTCCTTGTTTGTAGCGGTAAAAAATCGTCCAGTATCAACCTACAGTAGTTCGGGTATTGCACAATCAATTGCTTATTTAGCATTTGTTTATATCCATGCATTGAATACGACAATCACGATTCACAGCTATTAGAAAGGAGTGAAGAGTTAATTATTGGTTAAAAAATACAAACTGTACGCTTGAATCATTTTGGAGAATGACTTTTGATAAAATGCTCAGCGAAAGTGAATAAGTAGCCGAAAGCGTTGAGGATGACGAGAAATCATTTAATTCCGAAGACACTGGAGAGAGCGAATAAAAAGACGAGGACGAAGGCGATGATGAAAAGTGACCAAATGTGGTGCCCTTATTTGATTAGGAGGATAAAGACACTGAAGCGAGTCAACGGCAGATTTCCACAAGTTATCGCGCAGCCCAAATACGCATTCAGTCTCCAAATACTGAATTACGGTGCTCTGTGGAGTCGAATCCATAGTGAATTCAGAAAATCTGACCAACGTTGAACACTTTTACGCTTTATTTTAGATATGACAGTGAAGCAGACAACCACAAACACACATGATCATCGTCGGTTAAAGCTACGGTAACTCTTGACAACTCTTGACAATTGCTTTTTGCCTCCCGAGCCGAATTTTACACTGTGACGGTTAAGGGATTATTGTTCAACTTTTCTGGACTGCATTCTATTAAGTTTGAAGTAATAACAAGAGACACGCTAAAAAAAACCTGTTGATTGACTTCCATATAGCTGCCAAAGCAGCTTATGATGAAGATGACAAATTGTTCAACCTTATTGGACTTGGTACCAAAGCTGTATAGGAGGATAGCAGCACTGACTCGATGCTCGGTAGGCCACCGCGAGTCATTGTAAAAGCCAGATTCAATCACCTCCAAACGATGGCTAATGAAGTCGAATGCATGGCGCATCTCTCAAGGATTGATAAACGCCGATAGCATTATCCTTTATCCTTTTATCGGACTTGTCCGCAAAAATTGCGAGGGTCCCTAGATTTGGAAGGAACATAGATTTTCGAGTTTTTGAAAAACCAATCACATCCCGCGAACATACCCAAAGATCGAAGTATTGAATAAAATTATTTTAATCATGTAGTAATGGCAACGCCACACGCAAAATTATGTTACGTTCTAACTTGATGATGATGATGATCGCCATAAGGTCATGAGTCACTTATAAGAACGAAGGAATTTCAGTATCGACAACTGGTATACTAGTTTCTCGTTGGCGAAGAGCACCTTCGGGAGAAAGAAATTTATGGCTTAGTAAAGTTGCATTCGTATGGTGTTTGGTGAAAAGTGGAAGAATTATCTAGAATGTGTATGAAATTTATAGAAGACGAATGAACTGAAGAACCAGGCTTATTTCGGTTTAGCCCCATTAAACTACTTCTACATCTTCAACCGTTCACATTCGGAGACAGATTCCACTAGCAGGAAACAGAGATTTTTTGTTGAGAGTAATTGAGAATTATGAAAACACTCCAGGTTTGCTGCAAACCATAACCAAAGAGATTAACTGTGGAAATAACCGGTCTAGCTTTTTTGTTCAGAATGTTCCAGTAATAGCCAAAAAAGTTGTATTTCTAGAGGTACAGATTGCAAGGATTGCAAAATACATGTCCAAAATGGGAATATTTATGAAAACGGGATTTACGAACTCGCAGCTCTTCAGCAACTAACAAAATTGGTGAGCCGGAGTATAAATCATTTTGATACACTTCCCCTCAATGGTACGCCATGTTATCGTAACGAGACCAGTTGCTGCGAAACTCATCGGAAAGAACGAACTCGTTCCAAAAGTGTTATTTTTGTAAATCTTAATTCGAGAAAAACAGGTTTAGTTACATGAATGGGAAGCAACTTTCCTTGACAGAGGAAAAGTACAGGAACATCGAAAGGGGTAATATAAATCATCACCAGTGTCGGTGATTCATAGTTCATCAATACACCTAGTAGAAGTAGTGGTAATTTATAATCATAAGAAGTTATTTCCGAATTTAAGTTTTCTATTTTCATAAAAAATGCAAAGTGGGCATAGGAAATATAGGAAAAATAAATACCATATGTCCTGTCATGAAAAACCGTACTCACGTTTAAGAGGAATTTTGCTACGTTCACGGTTTCCGCAACCCCGCCGGACACATCTTGCAAAGCATCGGAAAGATGACCTCCAACGAGGTTCTCGTAGCATCCGTACAATCTAAAAAAAATTATAATAGTTTTAAATTGATACAATACAGCAGTGAAGTTTCCACTTTGGAAAACGTTTTACCACCTAAACCACATTTTCCTCTGAATAGTAAACATCCTTGATTCCTCCGCAGGTTACCCCGAAATGAGGAGTTTGACAATTCTATTCGAAAATTCAACCAGCAGAAAACCTATTGCTTTGGTTCTAACTTGGAAGAAACCTAGTTACAAGGTGGAAATGTCCTTCTGAATCAAAAAGGTTAGTGAATACTCATGCTGATTTACTGGGACTGCCCATCTAACAAACAGCCGGAAATTGCGCAGAGGGTCCAAGATTCTTAGTGAAGACGGGCCGCTAGAGCACCAGATATCAAGCAGGAGTAATTCACTTCCACTATAACACATAGAATGGTTAGAGAAGGAAGAGTCACGATAATTAGCGCCGAAATTTTCAGAGAAAAGCTTACGCTGCTAAAAAACACAGGGCGCTATCTTTCTTAAAGACTTAACATGAAAGCTTTTAATTTAACATCGATTGGAAGGAAATAGTTTGTGAGAACTAGTTGCACTAAATTTAAAACCTGTTGAAATAACGTTCTTAGACCCACAAATCGTTACAATAACCATCAACAAATCAAAAACTTGAAAAGCATCGGCAATTGCGAGATATAATAAAAGGATAAAGCGTCCGGCGTTGATCAATCACTGAAGGATGGCCCATGCATTCGACTTCTTCAAGCATCGTTCGAGGTGACTGAATACATATCGGGCCTGTATATGGTGACGATGTCAAGCAAAATTTTTTGACATCGTCACCAGTGGTCATTTGTTAAAAGGAAAAAATTACAAAAACACGCTCACTTGGCGAATGCCTTCTCGAGAAGTGCCGACCAAAACTCGTTCGGTGTTTTCGACCGTGCAAAAAGCAATTTACCATCTCTAAACTTAAGAAATCATATCACCAAGCAATAAAGACGTCAAAAAAATTGAGTTAAGCGATTACCTTGTAGGCAGAAGATCGTCGATGACCACTTCCACCCATCGGCCAAATCTCCAAAACCGAAACCGGAATACCCCGGCGTACTGGTTTTTTGGATCCCATTCTTGTGCTAATGCATCTGGGATTACCTGGAATTTCTCAGTATTTAGCGAATGACGTTGAGCTATCTACGAAAATTCGATGTGTTCGCACCCTGTTTAGTAGATGCTGATTGTGTGTGAGAGCCGAACAAGCGGAGACGAACCAACAGTTGCCAAGTATACCTTGAGTGACGTCATTCGGAGACGCACCTTCCACGAACAGATGGGGATCATCATGCAGTTCCTTAAATAACTCCAGCACCATAATAATTCATACGACTTTTGCGGTAATTTCGATGTTTCCTCTTCTATAAAGGAAAGCAATTGTTTACAATGATGGGAATTTGAAAACAATATCTGTCGTTATGCGCCGTGGTATCTAGAGTTTTGGTAACATCACAAAGCACAGTGGCCTATATGTAATCACCTTTTCTGATAACCATAAGAAAAATCTAGAACTGAAACTATATTTAATATCTCTTCACTTAACATTTGTAGCGCATATTTATAATCGACTATACACATATATATATATATATATTATATACACATACACATGCACATATCCATGCAGGCACAGGCAAAAATAAGCACGTACACGAATGAACTAGAAGAGGATAGGGTGTTTGGTTTGATCAATCCCTGAAGAATGTGCCCTGCATTCGTCATCATCAAGTATCGTTAGAAGTGACTGAATGCATAACTGACCCTTATAATAACTCGCGGTGGTCTATCGATATATCTTCTCGGAGAAGTCTGATAACAAATTGCTGAGCCCGGGGAGATAGAAGGCTTGGGGAGTCCTGATGCGGGATCGAACCAACGACCACGCACGCATTGCAAGTTACCTCTGCCCAAGGCGTTACATTCGTACATGGTATGTATATATATATCATATACATAATACATATAAATATATGTATATGTAATATCATAGAGGTATACATGTACATGCGACAAGGACAATCATGTAAGGTTACGAAGGCGCAAGAGACGCTGAGATGGATCCATTAAAAGACCTAACCCTTAAAAAATCGACAAACACACGTTTCTGATTTAACAATCGTGACCGCGTTGCAACAAAACAGGTTCAAAAATGATGTTAGCGACGACCAACTGTTTAGCCCTTTTTAAACACAAAATAAGCTAAAAATCTGAAATCACCGAAACATCGGTGAGCATGAATGAGTACGACAAAGAAGTACGTGAGAGACAAAAGTAGACATTTACCGCTGGTCTTTTCCAAACAATATCTGAACTTCGACCTTGTTCCAAGAATAGGCTAGCATTCGTAGGTGGAAACAGAGTATCAACAAACAGATGCCCTTTCTTAATACACGATTTCTTGATTTTTACATAGTTTTGGTCGCCGAAACGTCGTTTGTTCGTCATTATGCATAGACGCCTGGAATGCGAAGTACTGATAAGCTCTATAAGGAAGACATAACGATAAAAACGAAACCATGACGACTAATAGAAAGACACTGTGTTGTTATGAGATGATAGCAGATTTGGGGCCAACAGATGAAGAACCTTGAGAAACCGCGACGCGTCCGCCACGCAAATAAATACTGTCCGTCCTCGGACGATGTCGAGCGGGAACAGAACTAGGGAATGACTGGTAATCATTGCAGATTCTCGGCAGTTATTGAAGAGCATCGTCCAATAGAATCACCAGCACAAGTGGAGAGTACGTTTGTGTTGTGTCGACAAGAGCTAATGTCTTTTCCCACCACCACCACTTTTACAAGGAAAAATGAAGCTGTCGAAGACCTCAGCAATAAATACATAAGGCGTATAGATGAAATGGTGAGTAGGACGAATGAACAAGGAAGAAGTGATGATAAATCGTCAGCATTTGCGCGACGTGCGATCGGACTGAGCGACTCTATCGATTTTGATTTGATTAAACGAGCGAATTCAGAGCTTGTTTACAATGGCGTCGACGTTCAATGCCGGCACCTAGCGCCGTGTCTCCGCAAACCCACCGTGTGGTCGGCCATGATCCGGAACGACGGAGCGTCGTACTTGACGGGTGACACGAACACAACGGTGCTACGAACGCAAGCGGATGGTGATGCACTGTCTCTGCTCCTTCGACAAACGCTTGCAGTTTGGCGGCGGAACACCGACCACATTTGAAAGCAGGTCACTCACTGCACGGTATACAATGGCAGGAAGAACTAAAAAATGAATCATGGTTGAAGATCAAAGAGCTTAAAAAGGACAAGTTTTCAAATTTTCTAAAGACCTAACTGGTAATATTTATCTTGTTTTGAGTGATTCAGTTCCCAGGAACACAATCACTAGAATCTCAAGACGAGTCTTCTTTCTCCACGATCATTGCGCGCAGCCTTCATTTATTAAGGAAAGCGGTTTGAAGAGTTTAGCATATTTTGATTTAGTTGTCTGTTTTATAACCTTTGCGTTTAAATGAAATCGGATTAACATCGTCCAGGTTTATAAGGGCTGCTGAATCTGCTATCTCTCGGTGCTAACAAGCCGCTGGTGATAAATAGGTAGTAAAAGTTCTACTATTCGATGGTTCCATCACGCAAATGTGAAAGTGTTGTTCTATGTACATTTTAAAACGTCGTATGTAGAGTATTTTAAAACCGACTTTCCTTCAACCTCGGTATGAGCAATCGCTCGTAGGCTACAGATTATCCCTAAAGATTACTCGTATGTAGAATTAACATCTGGATAAAAGAGACTTAAGCAAAACGTCCACTTCACATTTACACTAGGCGATAAAAATTTCACACTAATTTGAAAACTAAGAACCAAACAGCAACAAAAGTGTGAAACAGAGCTATAAATTACTTATAACGTTACAAGGCAATGGACATAAGAACTCTAGTACGTTTCAAGCACGAGCGTCAACATTTTAAAGGTGATGCTGGTACTTAAAATGAGTCTCGCGACCCTTGGCTTGCACCTTGCTGCAAGTGGTCACTTTTACCACAACAGATTACCAAATTGCGTTCACAGCTGGTTCCCTTTGTTAAAGAACTAGCTACAATCTAGCATGCACAAATATCATGTTACATTTTCTCCAACCCATCTACGGGCCTAGTGCGCTTAGCAAAACTAGGATTTAATCACTAATATTGTAATTCATCATACAAATGAGTTCTTGACTGAATTTTATTGCACTCATTACATCTTTCTTTGGACGGCCTGCTTTTACACATTCTGCGGATCTCACCATTTTTTTGACCAAGTTCGTTCTTCTCTTGCACGAAAGTCTTCGGAGTTGCTTGTAGGTTCGACTACTAACTTAGGCCTTTCCTCGTTTTCATGATTATGATTGAATGCTGGTTGAACAAGCATGGAATCCTGATATAGCCTCACTAGAACATTCCTAGGTCTTCACTACAGCCAGTATCTGGCCGTTGTGCATCGAAAGAAGCTTTTCGCTTACAATTTAGTGCCAAGTTGACCAACGAACCGGAGGCAGAGGGTGGTTACTTGGTGCATTGTGAGGTCGAACTAAAGACCACGCTTAGTGGTCTGAATCTCTAATCACTGCTAGGTTCACAGGATTTATTTCACCTATTGTGGCAGCTACGTAAAGTGTTTCGTGGTATCACTTTTTATTATAAGAAAAGAATACAGCTTCCATTACCTTCAACATGCACTCGCATACATTTCTGAGCAACCATGGCAGATAAATTAAGCCTTCAGCTGGCCACCTGCTTTGGCTTTTGGGAGAGGGTTATATTTGCGTACTTAAAAGATTATAGACGGAATAGGAAAGAGCGGTCAAAAAGAAAGGAGTGTTGTCTCCAACCTAAGTAGGTCTAAAAGTAAACTACTCTGAGTGTTTCTCAACTGTATAGAAAGTTGTGACTATTTCGGAGGTTGAACAGCTAATTAGAGCGATTTGATCGTGGACAGAGCAATGAGAGGAACCACACACACTTAATTCAAGTGCACGGACAGCCAGAGTTTCGGCACAAGAAAGGTTCGAACATAGACGTCATGTGTTCTGAGAAGCGGATCGATGCAGGTATACATCTGGTAAAGGCCTCGGCATTCTTCCGGTAATCAGCGTGACTGTCGATTTTCCAGTCATATGCTTCTCGAAATCAATCATTTGTCTCCAGAACCCAATGTTGGGAGAGATTATGGGTCGGACCTGAAAAACTAGCGTTCAATGTAGTAGCGTAGTGACAGCAGTTTAAAGCGATGTGTCAAATGTTCCATCACGTCACTTATTGCAACATCATCTAGGGTTTAAATCCGTGAACCACTAAATGTAAACATATAAGGAAAGGTAATTACGGAAAACACCTGATTAAAAAACTGGAAGAAAAATTAGTCAAAGTTTGGAAAACAAATTTATGATGTTTAAGTGAGCATCTCAGACTTTTTCACAACAATTCTAACACAGCGTCTTTTAGTTTGAATTCTACAGAGGCTCACAATTTCGATAGGGAAGAAGAAGAACTTAGAAAAGAGCTTCTTCAACATAGTACTTACTCGAGAAGATCGTTTACTAACAAAGTAAGAGGTAAAAATTAAAAAGGGTACAATGTCACTAGAAGTAGTTGGTCAGTCAACACTCCTCACCTGAGTAGCTGAGAAAACCTGATGATTAGCCAATTCTACAATATTTTAACCATAGACATTCAATTCGCTAAGTATTCTTCTCTTCTTCTGCTCAGTGTAGGAGTGAGACAGAAAATGTCTTTTGAAATCAAATTTCAGCTAAATATCCATTTCCTGTCGCAGAAGTCGACTGTACATCTTGCTCATAGGTGGTTCGAAATGACAAGATCGAAAGAGAAACCGAACCTGATTTACGTGATAGTATGAGTCTCTTAGTGACCTTCCTCCTTTAATGACGAGGTACATTATTGCTAAGGTTGCACTCCTACTGATACCGGCAGCACAATAAATCACAGTTTTTCCACCCTAAACATTTTAACCAAATCCGTATAAATTTTGAGAAAGAAGGGGATAAAATCTGAATATTTCTACTACCTTTATATGAAGAGGTTTAATGACTCATACCTTGTCTCTGGCAGCATCTATGAATTCACAGGCCTCCTCGAAGTATTTCGAGATGTTAGCGATGTTGTTATCGTCAACGTTGAACACTTTGTACTCAATACCAGGAAACTTTTCATTCAGTCCGATATTACTGATGTCAATTACATGCGTTATTTGAAACTGCTTAAGCTAAAAGTGTTAAGCACTTCATACGAATTCGTAGATGTCTGTTTTATCTAATAGCAAATTAGAGGCTTATAAACTGGTCATTTATGTGTAACGCTGCTGTGGCTGTCTAGTATCCAATGAATTGTTAAAAGAAAACTTTCTGTGATGTTCCAGAAATAAAGAGCATTAGAATTGGAACTTGATTTAATGAGCGACAAATTTTCAAACGGTAAGAGCACATGGATCAAGCAAATACAAGTAAAAAAAAGCTAATAGTGAATATAGAAATAAGTAATAAGCAAAATGTTCTGTCCGTTACTGTGAAACAACATCTATAAAGGCGTCTTTACATGTACTTTCGAAGATAGCAAAATATCCTAAAATGTTTGGAGCGTGAAGAATCAAAAGGAAAACAGCTGCAGCTAAATTTACGACTTAGCTATCTCGTATTGGTGCCAGTTATCTCTTATTGGTACCCATATCCTAAAGTTAACAATAAGTTTTCTTCTAGGATTATTCATTTCGTTATGAATGCACACTAACCTTAGATTCAGTAATGCATCTATAGCTTGCCACATAAAGATAAGGCAACACTTCTGATATAGCACACAGTGTATTGCTTTTTTCTTGGGGGAGAACCTCCATTTCGAACGACAGCGAAAATTTTCTATTTACTCCTAAATAGACATGAAATGAGCAATAATCAGAAACGTCAGACATAGAAGATTACGTTTGCAGGAGAGAAAAGCAAAATTAAAGGAAAGTACTCCCAGAAGTACTCCGAGCAAAGTCTATTGCTCTTTCAAGCGAGAAACACATCGAGTTGTGATTGAAAATACTGCAAGTCACTTGGGTTATCTATTACAATTAGTATCCGATAAACAACGCTCTAGTACCACTCACTTCAGTTCCTGCCACAGGCAGGCCGATCAAATCTGAGGCTGTTAGAAATTTTGGATATCTCAGCAAATTACCGCAGACCTACGATAACTCATGAGATTCTTCCGTTCTTCGTGAATGCAACGAATTCTTTCCGAACTTTGTTTTTATGAGCTTCATCTTGAGGAATTGTATGGATACAAGAATCTCGTCATGATCTGGGAAAAATGTATTTATAACTACATGATTGGAAACTAGCGAACATGGGGATGCAAAAAACGCAAACCAAAAAACCAGCATCTTCAAGAAATAGGATCGAAACGAAAAGAGGAATTACTCTGCTGTAGTTATCCAGAAAACTTGCTTATTTCCTAGAAGTATCTTCATGCAAAGCCAAGCCAGTTAATGCAGTACGTAGGATTCCTCTAATAGCATTTTATTTAGACAGAGAGCAAAGTGAAAGATTCTTCAGTGAGATCGCTCTTTTCCCCTAGGTGTGAGTATTACATTTTGTTAGAAAAGAATTATAAGTCGGTGTCACGTTGGATAAAATATCTTGCATTTGTCTTTTAAGGAGGTACTCATTCAAAGAAAGTCCTAATTTCTTCCCAAGCAGTTCGAGTAACTGCAACGACCAACAGATTTTCTTGATGCCGTTAAACTAAGAAGAACAAATTCGATAGAAATCGAAAGGCTATGGGCAAAGGCTCATTATCATGATCCGATTATGAAGGCTTGAAAAACTGTGTGTAGAAAAAAACTGTGAAAACTGTAAATAGAAGGCTCCAAAAAACGTGGGAACAATGTAGTCGCCGTGAATTTTGAGAATAAGAACTTGTGCTAGCAAATATTTTTTATAGGTGCAGCAAGTTACGGGTTGTCGGGACAAAATTGTTGGAAGGTATACTTGTTTAAGTGAGATACGAAATCACATCATTTCCACTCTAGGAGAGGAAGAAGTAATAGGAAAAACAATGGCGAATCCACACTCTGCGATACACGTGACATCATGTCAACAGCTGTTGTTTGGGATGTCACAAAAATCTCTTCTGCCACACAAATAGTTAAAGTAGATGGCCTGAAAAATTCCCTCTCCGTGAAAGCACGTGATTCTTTTACTAGGGTGAAAACGCTTTTAAAAAGTGGTGAAAACGCTTTTAAACAGTGTACTCGCTCAAGGTGTAATTAAACACACGATGCCAAAGTCGGGCCGTAAGCCGAATTACTTCCTAACTAGTTCTTTAGATTAAGTAGCTCAAATGCTTGGACCATATATAGACCACCATAATAGTCATACAGGTTATTTCATTTCGGTATTTCAGAAACTTTTGCTCCAAATGTACTAGAAAAGTTCCAGAAACAAACGCAGTACAAAAAATTTACTAATATAAAACAATTAACGTATAAATTTTGGGTTTGAATTCACTGCAGTTGGTATGAAATCTGTGTCTACTTTCAGTGAACTATGAGTATACGCTATGAAGGACCATGAATTAAGCGTTTCTCTGAGAAGTTTAGCGAGTAATTACGCACCAAATCTTCTTTGGATAGGTAGGGTCATTGGAACTGCTTTTCTGACTAGTGGTATCGATCTGAAGAATTTTCTACTTAAGGGATCAATCAGTAGCAGTTATTAAAAAGGGTAATGCTAGTTGTCAACGAGCTTGTCTCGTACTATATTAGACAAAAATAAGGAGAATTTCGACAAAGCCGATTTCTGTGGACAGAGTTGTTACCTCGAGTAGAAATGATGTGATTAAAGAATGTTAGTGGACTGTGGGCTAGTAGTGCCGAACCGCTTAACGATCCCATGGATTGTTGTTTTTCCATTGTCTCGTTATTGCTGACGCTAACAGAATCGCAAAGAGAGAACACCAATCTCCCTCCCTCATCCCGAACCGCATGATTGCAATCGAAAGGTTATCGATTCGCCGCTGCTTCACAAGACGTTGGTTGCACTTTTTATAAAGGTATTTCATGCACATCAATCATTTCCTTATGGTGCATACGAAGTAATTGTGCAATTGGTGACAAAAAGGGGAATGGAACAAATGAGTAAGTGAATTTGTTATTACACTAAGCGGAACGTAATTTATCTTCATGGAACAATGTTAAAAGGTTTCACGCTCCCTTGACATAATTCCGAACTAGCGATGGTTCCGCTAAGCGTTGTTGTCCTAATCACAAAATTATCAAATCAATCGTTTCATGGTCGCCTGAACAACTTGCCCTGCGGAATGACGGGAACTCTGTCTGCGTACAGACTAGTTCTGATATTAAGAACAATCAATAGGCTGAACTACGACATTGATTTATGCATCAGCGTTGCAAAAAATAATGGCAGACTTTCATTGACTTTTCAATTTTAGCTTTACAAATACATACATTAGTGGATGAAACAGGAAAGAGGAACTAAATTAAGAGGAAGAACGGTGTGTGTTGTGTTGAAAGAGTGGCCACTCACCAACTTTCTAGGCCCAAACTATGTGGTTAATTCTTTGACTTTATACGTTTTCTGGTTTTGGGCTATATTACAGAAGAGACTTATACTCTGGAAACATCGAAGAAAGTTATTTGCAATGTACAAGGTGCTCAAATGGCCTTTTTCCGAAGGTGAACCGATACAGCCAACTGCAATCCGGTTTTAGTAGTTTAGATCTCCAAAGAATATCAACTGTTGAATAGGCACTAGTATGTGTGTGGAAAAGTAATAGGTGAACCTGTCATGTAATAGGTAGACGGGATGAAAAGTGGACGAAAAGAAAGATAGAACGACTCGCGATAGAATCAAAGCGACACTCAAGTGAAGCCTCCAAAAATACAAGAGGACGTTTCCGTTTCCCCTTAAATTTCGCCTCTATATTAACGACTTACCGTGTAGAGTTTTTCCTTACGCTTAATTTACATCCCTTTTGGATTTTGGGCTAAGTGACATGATGTTTTCAAGACAAGAAAATCGCATCGTTTGGCCTCATGATTTTGAAGTAAGGCGAACTGCATTGGAAGAAGATCGAAATGTTAATAAAACATAGTCAGAGGTGATCGATTCCGAATATACAATGAGAAACTCCTTCCAAAAGTTTTGTGTCGAAAATATGAGCCTTTGTGACAAGAAAAGTTGGGTGCGCCGATCAGCAATTGACGGCGACATCAATCTGTGAGCACCATATTTGAACCTGGCCCCTGAAAGTACTCAATACTATCAGGAAAAAGTTTACTTTGCCTAATTGGAAATCGTCTGCATTTGAGGGAGAGGAAACCTTCAAAAAATAACTGCTACGCGATCTCAATGATGAGCAAAGAGCGTCGCTTGCAAAGTCTGCTCCAAATTTCTTTAACGAGAAAAAACGTCTCATTTCTCTATCCTATTGTGATATCAAATGAAAAAAGGAACATCCGGAGTAATCGGTACCATCTACAGAATTGTATGGAGTGGAATAAAAGTCGTGATTTCCAGAACCGAATTCGCATCAGAAGGTTATGTGAACGTTTGGTGTTCTGTAGGTGGATTAGTGCGCCACAACTCTGAATATTGGCAAAACGATCACAACGGAGAACTCTTGAAACTGATGAAATATATCGGAAATTAGAAATCCATCGCCAGATGACTGCCGCTTTTTAAATCTTACTTTCTATACAAGAGGGTCTCTGAAAGAGGCTTTGTAGAACTACATAATCATCTCTAATGTCCTTGTTAAAGACAATTAATGCGACAGATAGGAGCTTACACTTCATGCAAAAAGACAGTGAACGAAGTGCTGCTAAAATAAATGTTCAATTCTAGTAAACCTTTCCAATTACCACCAAGCACCATTTATTGAGAAAATCAAATGTAAACAATCACAGATAAGAAGGCAATAATAATCTGCTATTCTAAGGGTAGCATTAAGAGTAACATCGTGTTGGCGTTTCACACATATTTAGTGCAGATAGCATCATTTCAAAGACTAGGACGGTTACCAAACAATAATGTTTTAAGAACCACTTCAGTAGCGGGATTGTAAGCATCGCAGTGCTGAGCACAATTGTTGCAGTCGACAGCCCATCTTGGCAAATTCAACGGTGATCAACTCCACACAACACACTGGAGTGCAAATGCACAAACGGCGACGATGACCTCCCAGAGTATAAGTTGCGATGCTGACCTTCGTCGTCCACGTCCAGCGTAGCAGTACTTTGTCGACTTACAAATGCATTCCTTAATATCGAGTATATCGTGGAGTCTGAAAGGCCAAAATATCAGCAAAAATGTCATCACGCAGAACTAAAAGAAATAAAACAAGTGTCCGACCCTCCACACTTTCCACAAGATCGCTACAGTAAGAGTATGGTGTGTAGCTATCAGTTTTTGCCACTTACCTAACGCAGCCATTATCCTCTTGTTGTTCCATGAATTTGGTGTCAATAGCTCCGAAACTTTCAGCACATCCTCGCAATACGAACGAAACCCCTAAACAATACTACAAATACATCATAAAGGGTGAAAACTATGTTACCACAAAATGATAAAATATCATTCTAGATTTCATTCTATAAAAGTCTAGTCAGACAACAGTAACTTTCTAATGTTGTATCCCACCCTTGTGGCAGTACATGGACCACTTTTACTGCAAAGGTTTATGTTCCAATGCAAAACATTAGTAAAGACTTTAAAGTTTTTAAAGGATCTAAATAGTTAAGATGATGCTGAAATATTTGCAAAACTTAGACCCCAGGCCAGATTCGAACTCGCTACTACTCTTTCCGGGAGTCCATGTGTTTCCTACTGTACCACTGAAGACCTTCATTTGCGTGTCTCCCAGCTAGCTCGCAACCTAACGGTGCCATCAGCAATCACCTGTCAATAGGAATGATCTGGGAACACAAATAGGCAATGAACCCAGTTAAGCTGTGGCTTTAGTCGTAATCACAATGTTACTTTTTATTTACTTCCAATTATTTTTTCACGAAGGATATTATGTATACAAGTTGTATATACAAAATTATGTAACAACAGATACAACCACATTGATGCTGAGATATTTGCGAAACTTGGACCTTATGTCAGATTCGAACGCGCGATTACGCTTTCTTGGAGATCACGTGTTGCTCCCTGCACCATAGAAGCCTTTGGTTTGCCTTTCTGCCAGGCAGTTTTGTACCTTAACTGCGCTACCAGCAATCGCCCGTCAACGGGAATGATGTCTGACGGATATAAGTAGCACCTGAGATTGAAAGAGTAGTAGACATGGTGTGAAATGTGAGCATGAATTCTGAACCATATGCTTCTGATACCGCATGGCTCCTCTACACAAAGTGGGCAGACAGATGTTAAGTAGTCGGCACATAGCAGATAGATATAGAAATAGAGAAAGAACTGACCTGCTTTAAAGAAGCGTTTCAAAAACGCAGAACATTTCATTGCAAAGTACATAGGAAGGTGTAAAACGCCTTCTCCGAGAAATAATCTCCATGCCTGCCACTAGGGGTAAAGCCCAACAAGCTAACCGTGAGTATACCCAGCTTCACAAGTACAGATATTATGACAGAGGATGTTTCCAGATGGCGAAGACTAAAGTACGGTTGGCAGAGAATTTCGATCCAAAAACAAACTAGCAACCAAGTGAAAGCTGTGGTGGTTTAGCATTGCACTGCTAATCTACCACATCTTTATGCTTGGCTACAGAACGCTTCCTCTCATTCAGATTCTCTCTATCCTAACTCAGCTACAAAAAGCGAACACAGTATTGCGTAGTATTCCACTCTGTGCAGCATGACTTCCTAAGCTCAACCACGTTTTACCTCCAAGATTGACTTCCTTTCACCTCGGAATTGATAAATAATCCACGCTTTTCATTATAAACACAAATGAGGTTCTTACTTCATTCTTTGTTAACAAAAAACCTCACGTTTCGAAGGATTTCGCACTCTACCGATCCTGGAATGGTCAAATTGCCTGCACTCTAGGAAGTAAAACACCGCCATAACCGCAAAGGAAAAATCACGAAATCTAGTTTCGATCACACCGAAAACAAAATAGCTTTTTCGCTCCCTTAACACTTTCTATGAAACTTCCACTAAGTATTTTATGTGGAAACCACATAAAGTTCACATAGATGGGTGATTTACCCTTCTCACATAAAATATGTCTGAGATATTGTGTGAGATCAGACGTAGTAACCGGATATTCATTCCTGTGGTTCGTTTTTAGATTCTCAGAATCCATCCAGAATTCAAAAGTTCAACTGGAGCCACCACAGAAGTCGACTACGGCAATATTGTACTAGTACAATAGAAAAATTGGAAAAGCTCAAAAATTTCATTAGGCGCTAGGAAATACTTTACATCATCCTTTATAGAGGTAAAGGATTATGTTTGTGGGAACTTAGATTTGCAGCTTCATTTTTCTTGCACGTCTTTTAGCAAGCTTTTACACAGTCGCTGTGGTATGCTATTATACATTATTGCAAACCTAACTTTACGCAGAACGCGGATAGCACAGTGGTAGTGATGATACCGATGATCATGAGTATGCTTCTGTGTCGATGCCACCTCAGGCTCACTAAGCTTCTCATCTCTACGGAGTAGGGAAATTGGTACCGGTCTTGCTGGAAAAAAAACCACTCTCTGCAAAGCAAGTAGAGGCGCTCTAGGCCAGACATCCCAGGACTCCATGCTGAATCGAATTGACCAGCATTCTGCGACAGTCAAGATGAAAAGAAAATCCTTAAACACGAGCCGAAGCCATACGTACAGTTGAAAGACCTTCGCGGACGATGCATGGAAACGATTCGAATGTAAGAAGTGCTGGGATGCGCACAGTAGATGTGAAGAAGGCTGGTGTAGCAAAAAAAAACAATTTTGTAAACTTTCGCTCTATATAACTGGATTATAGCACAAATAGCATTTTTGAAAACTTTTAATAGTCAGAACTTAAAATGTTGGTGCAGAAACTTCAACAAATTTACTTCAACGAATTCAAACTCGGAAGTACGCAGCGTGAACGGCTTCAAACTTATGTGAGTAATGGAACCAAAGAAGTGTCAACGACTACACAGTGCAAAGTTCGTTTGGAAAATTTCGTCGAAGCGAATTCTACTATGAAGATTAGGTAGGCCGAAAACATTCTGCTATAGATGACGATGAAATAGAGGTTTTGGTGCAGTCAAACACACGCAGAACTCAAAGCAAGCAACTAAACTGGATCGAAGCATCCGAAGAAAGCTGGAAAGTCGAAGAAGTTCGGCAAATAGGTGCCGCATGAATTGAATGACAATCAAAGAAGTTATCGTTTAGGGGATTCTTCGGAACTTCTGCGCAACCAGTATGACCCGTTTCTCGAGCGTATTTTGACGTGCGACAATAAATGATCCTCTGTGATAAGCAGCGCCGAACGGCTCAGTGGTTGAACCACGATAAAGCTTTGCAGCACTTCCCAAAGCTGAAACTGCATCAGGAAAAGGTACTAGTCGTTCGGTGGGCTGCAACTAGTCCGACCCATTGCAGCTTCCTCAATCTGGTTGAAACAAATGCGGCGAATAAGTACGTCCAAAGTCGATGAAATGCACCATAAACTTGAAAGTCTGAAAAACACCGATAACACTATCGACACTAGCAGAAGTTGAACGAGATAGGCTACGGTACTCTGCCTCTATAGTCACCAGACCTCTTGCCTATTGAATACCATTTCTTCAAGCATCTCAATAATTTTCTATGTGAAAATTTTCCAAAAACGAAGTCGAGGCCAAAACTGCTCTCGAGAGTCTCATCGCCCCAAAACCATCAGAGTTTAAGGCGATTTGACAACGTAAACTTGTTCTTATTGACAAAAATATGCAAATTCAAGTGGATCTTACTCCGACTAATAAAGTCTGTTTTGAGATGACACAAGCTCCTTTACAGAAAAGGGGTTCAAACCGTGTACTGTTTTCCGAACATCTAAATATATGGTTCCCGTCTCCAGCAACATCTCGCGTTTAGAAATAATTCCCAGACGTTCAAAGAAATTCATACATTTAAGTGCTAGTGACTACGGTGTAAGACTGTTAAACTATATAATTAATAGAATTACTACTTTTTTAGATATGGTTAAAATGAATAGTTCAAAAAGCATCAAAAACGGCAATTATTTCCTAAGTGGTTAGTTTCAAGTATGAGTTGAGAAGATGCTACGGATGGAACTGCCTGGCTCTAACGGTCTTCCAGATTTTAAGATCCTCAAGGTCGTAATCTTGTGACTGGGACATTACTTGCGTTTTATATGACTTCATGGAATCAGTCTGCAATATCTTCTTGAGCATTGTTCTTTACTTAAATCCTTTCCCAATTGATAAACACGCGTTGAAATGAGATGGGCCCAGAAAATCAAGCGCTATGAAATAAACATGATGTAGAATCCAATTCCACACTCTTAGAAATAATATTCTATGGTTAGCCAGGTTAGAGAGCACGGTTTTAATAAAGTTTTCTTTACAATCTTCTATGCATTTCTTTTATATAATAAAAGACTTCACCACTCCACCTTCGTTGTGATCCACAAGTGCAATTGTTTCGCAATATCGATGCCGACATTTTTGCTTATGTAGTAAGGAAAGGTTCCTCGCGTTGTTACATTCTTCGGTAGCTACTTCTGAAATATGAGCGTGAAAATTAGGACACTCTCTCCACTGGAAGCGTACGATGCTCAAGAGGGCCTCTTTCAGCCGATGGGCCGTACAGAATGACTCATTTTTCGCTACACAAGCTTTTAATTAATCTCAACTCATATTGATCGTATTTTTTGAGGTCTTGTATGTATCCTTCATTAAAACTCGTTTGTGCTTTGAAAGAAATCTTGTTTACCATCCGACTAAATGTCAGTAGTTAATAGCCGGCTTTCTAAATTATAGTGACTCTCAATCTTAACCCCTTTATTTACTGCCTACGCTTTTTAATGGCAGGGTATATGCGAAATATAACGACTATAATGCTGATATATTTGCAAATCTCTGGCGAGAAGTAACGCGTTCACCACCACATCATACGGGTCCTTCGTTTCGCCTGTCTCTCAGCTAGTTCTACCAATCTATCGACCACTGCAAGCACCTGCGATCCGGAGTTTTGCAAATATCTCAGCGTTATAATAGTTATATTTCACATAATACCCTGCCGTTAAAAAGAGTAATTATAACTGTAGCCTCAGCTTAACTGGGTTCAATGCCGATTTGGGGTCCCAGATCAATTCCGCTGACGGGATTGCTGATGGCATTGATCGATGAAAGCTGAGAGATAGGCGAAACGAAGGACTAGCATGGTGTGGTGGTGAAAGTGTTACTCGCCGAAAAGGACAATAGAGCGTTCGTTTCCCACCGCATACACCTGCGGTCCGGAGTTTTGCAAACATCTCAGCATTATAATAGCTATTTACGCTATCCGCTTTTTGGCGAGCGTAATACCGTTCCTTCTTTTTTCGTCGCTCTCTTCTGTTGACATGATTAGTGTACCACGGGTCCTCACATCTAAGAAAAATTACCTCGCTACAACAAACGCCCTCGTTTTGAAGGAGTACTGCTGGACAAGAGTTGGCTTTTATATTGCTGAATTATGTTAGGCGATGATGGAGTGAAGTTTCCTTTTAGTAGACTTATCGATATTGAACAAAAAAAAACTGAAGACACTGACAGCAGTGAGAATGAGAGATTTCTTGTATTCTTCGTCGAAAGTTTGAACGAAGTGAATCTGCGGATGAGCACGAAGGCGATGATGATGAAGACAGTACGTGGCCGAAAAATGTGGCACCTCATGACTTCTGGGCCGTCAGTGACAGAATCTTGAGGATAGGCTGCGAAGACCTGAGCTGCATCAAAGTTCAGTTAGATTTCGTGCGTATGGGCAAAATTTCAGAAGACATCATCCAAGCGCACTGTACTTGAAATATCACTCCACGTCTCTACTACATAATAGAGCGCTATGCTGACAGTTCAGTTAAAAAGGTGAGAGCGTAGTTTCAGTTCCGTTAGTTTGTCGGTGAATTCTTTGGTAGGCTCGAATGCGACCCATGCTGCTTTCCTTCTCCCGTCTAAATCCTCCTTTACGTTGTTCTTCATGCCCATTGAATGCCTAAGGTATATCTACGAGATAGTCTCTGAAATCAGACGAAGATTAAGCTGGATTTTTTAATCATCGCATAACTTTTCCATGAACTAGGTCTTCGTTTTGTTCATGCGCAGTAAAATCTTTTTTCCTAGTTCGTTAAGCTCATTCAGCACCGTCTCTGCTTCACCGGTAATGCTCGAAAAAATGACCATGTCTTCATCAAAACGAAGGTTTGGCGGAAACTTGCCATCAATGCGCATACCCTTATTGTCCTTTTTGAACAACATCACTATAAACTGTAATGTGGTTGTAAGTCGCTTTCGTGCGATAGCCTCGTCCCGTCAAACCATTTTTCCACTGGGCGTGATAAGGGATCGATTGAAAAACTGTGCCTTTGAGGTGCAGTTCTGATGACGTTCAGATAGGGCTTTTATGTAGGGTGTGGTTCATCTTTTGATCAACGAGCGCTAATAGAATTACATTTATTTTGACGCTGTTAAAGGCTACTTCATCGTCGACAAGATGTTTTCCTCTCTCAAATTATTGCGTCTAATCCAAAATCAATGATATGGGCTACAGGATAATCTTCTGGAAGAGCGTGTAAAGCGTACACACCAAGCATATCGGACGACAGTTACGAAGATTCCTTCAGTTACCATATTTGCACAGGGTCACTTTACGCGAGGTTTTGAAGGTAAGATGTCTAATTGGTTACTAGAAGTACATGTAACTTACAGCTTCTAGTTCGAAAGGAGCTGACAGTGATATTTTCGGGTCCAGAAGCCGTGCTTTTCCCATGTTTTCTGCAGCAACTCTAATCTCAGACGAAAAAGACCTCCACAAGTTTTTCCTCAGCTGTGATTTTTGGATCCAGGACAAGGATTGCGAAGTTCGAAACACCCTAATTAAAGGCTGTTGGTGTTCGTAGAAAACTGTCCCCATCGCAAAACATCATTGCCATTGACTTTGTAGTACCCCACCTCCCACTAGTTATTTTGTCGATTCGCACTAGATCCTTTCTCCCCGACGGGCAATGCTATGCTCTCAACCAAAGCGTCGTAAGAAAATCGCGTCGACTGATTGCCGGCGCAACTAATGAGTGCGAATACTATTGGATATAGGCTCTTAAAAGTATGCCACATGGAGAAACCTGTGATAGGCCCACAAACAAAAAAGGTTTTCCTGACATATATTCCATCATTCTATGCTAAATCTGATCCGTGCTAAGATTAGATTCATCAATAAGCTGAAATCAAATTTGAATCATTGACCAAGAAAAAAAAGTTATGTTGTATATTAGAGATTATTCTGAAAGAGACCCTTCTCACACATGACTGTTCAACTGTTGTTAAAGAAGACACAAAGAAAAACTACAAGTTGTTTATTGAAGGACTTAAAAGTTGTGCCAAACACGCTTCACTTCTTCAATCAAGAAATCTGTATCACATCTGCATTGAACAGTTTGGCAGGGCCCTTCAAAGGAGCCATGAGCTGTTGAATCGAAAAGCCAAATATGTTCATTACTCCTTCATGTCGCATAAGAACTTTGAAGACGTACTCCTGAAGAGGAATTGTGGATTCATTCAACACGTTTGTGTAAAGATGGCTAGCTTTGAGAGACCTCACCAATTACGCGCTGTAAGGACACGCGTTACGTAGACAATAGTGGAACATTTGAGTGTTCTTGAAAAAAGCTGATATTTTTCATTATGTGAGCCAGCAGACCCATATCTTATTACTTTTAACACTAGAAGTCTCGTTGCAGGTGGATCAACTCATAAGAGAAATTGGTCATTATAAATTATAATGGGTATAAAAATAGCTTTTCTTAGATGGCGCCTTCACAGCATCTACAGCATCTAGGGTGGGGAACTAATCGATGAAGACAAAATGTGTTGCAACGAAAAAATCTGTAGGCTAAAAGAAACACAGCTAAAGAATGTTAGCCGAAATCAATTCATGCCGGGCACTCGACCCTCGTATGAAACAATATGAACCTCGTTTTCGTTCACACCAAAAAACCAACCAACCGTGTGGGTATGTAGTTCTTCGTATGTGTAAGAACTGCCGGATTGTCTTTCTCATATCATTAGACAGGTGTTTTAGTGGCGACGCACAATGGTAGCACCAGTTTTCATCAAGAACTGTAACAAAAAAGACATCTGAACCTCAGGAACGTAGTGCTGTCTGATCCGCTTATTTGTGCAGTATGAAGCAACCTTCTGGCTCGTTAATCCAATTCGTTTGCACAGCATCCCGCTCATCTTCATGTCTAATGCTCGATTTTGCCAAATACCTGGATTGGTGCTGCGATCTCATTTCTTGCTCGAAGGCCTTCTTTTCATCATTGATGATCTGAAATGTATATCTGTGTCTTCAGATATAGTAACTACGTGTACACTCGAAATAACGATGAACAAATTCAGCGCTGTGACTCGCTAAAACCTAGCAAATAAGGGTGTTGAACTGTTTAACAAATGACACCTACTCAACGATGCCTTGAAAATATTTGAATTTGTTTATAATGATGATAGTGGAGCAGGAATTGATAAATATCACTTGAAATACAAGCATGGCTGCTGGTTAAACTTCTTATAGTATCTAAGCCGTCCTTCATTACGGAGTCTGCAAAATGATACTGAGTCACTCTTAGTTCATGAGAATAACACCTCTTAATAGGGCGCCACCATTATTTGGTGATACCAAATAAGTTTTCGATTGAAAATCAGCTCTTTGATTTATCTTCCATTTTCAGCAGTATTGAATAAGTACACAAAAGTACAAATCAACCCAATACCAGGGTCTGTCACCGTCCTGGTACAAAGCTAGTCGCATGGTGGCAAATTTCCCTCTGATCCACAAGAGCGGCGACTGCCTGTGGTGGTGACTAGCTGGAGTAGACTTTGGCCTGAAAAACCATGGGAGACCAGGGAACCACAACGGATAGGCTAGAAAAACTCAGAAGAGCTGGAGATTATGCGGGACCGGCACAATCAGTGAGGACGAGCCATCGAGGTATCTAGGTGAGTAAGTGTACAAATAAAATATTGTGTTTGAATGGTAACAAAAAGACGTTAGACAACATAGTAACCAGAATCTTGCAATAATTTGGTTCTTCGATGCTCTCATTTCCAGTTTTCATACCCAGGTGAACAAAGATTTGAAACGAAAAAGACAAGTCAACAAGTACCTAGAACAAGCGATGAGATATGGACGAAAAAAACTGTTGTTTACAGCCCCTAAGGATTCATCCCCTCATTTGGTACTTCCTACAGGATTGGTAGACTCACCTCTACCCAGTGCAATCAACATTTGATATGATGCAAGTGTCACGCTCCGACGCTAACGTACGTCATTATGCTCGAAGCATAAGACCTTCACAGACGATGATGTCGAGTTAACGAAACAAATACGAACAGGAAGTATGGTGTGCCGAGCACGGTTCGTAAGGTATTGCCATCCAGTTTTCAAAACAAATTTTTTAAGAAACGACTAACGATGGAGAATAAGCCGAAATAATAGCAAAAAGTTGAGCAATCAGTCGTGAAAATACCTGGAGATATGCGGAGGAATACTCTGTGCTAAATTTCAGTCAGAAAAATATTTATCTGGCCTCAAGATTAAATGGCCTTTTTAAATAATTTTAAGAACAAATGGCTAACAACAGGAGGATTAAACTTGCGAACAGTATTTCGAATACATATATCACAGAATCGGGTGACCACAATGAAGACTTGACTATACAAACGATGAATACCGAACACCTTACCGACTAACTAAGACTGCTACAGGTGCCATAAACAGAAAGCGAACGAACCTCGCGCAGAATAAACTGCTGATTGGCGGATTTCGAGTTCTACAGAAAACAGCGACAGCACGCTCAAAAAAATATTGGCTCCAGAAAAACTTTTAGCGATATTCTCCTGGAAATTGTGTATTTTAATTTAATGGTTTTTTTATGCGACCTGTCTTTTACATCTATTGTGCCGCTCCTAGAACTTCTCGCTCGACTCGTTTCTCGCATCCGTCATACACGAAGATCTTCGAACTTCTTACGTGCGACCTCGGGTGCTGCTTCAGAATTTTCCTTTCACTTTGAATGTTGCTGAATGCTGGTCCAGTCGATTGACCTGCTGCCCTCTAAGTCCGGTACTAATTTTCCGACCGTCAACAGATGACAGGCTTGGTGAACCCGGATCGAGGTTGAACCCCAGCACCGTACTCTTGATGATTGGCATCACTACCACTGTGGTACTCCCCCAACTTAACTTAGTAGTTTAGGCTTCCTAACTCGTTCATATTGACGATATCCACAAAAGCTAAGGTAACTGCACATTCCATAAGCATCACATAGCCTTCATTGCGCAGGCGAGCTGCAAGGTTAGTAGTATTACAGAATACCCGTACATATCATATGGCAGTTTTCCTCGTGGATGTCTCCTGAGAATTGTGATGCTCAATGAACTGGGACAATAATTTAGCACGAAGAAGTCACCACTGAGGACAGCTTGGTAGAAGTGTTGCATTCTCGTCACAGATCTCATAGTTTTAAAAAGGTTAAGAAAACGTAAACGTGCAGCAAAATTCAAACGAGCACAAAAGCTGCGAAATTCATAGATGAAGTTGTTGAACAGCGAATTCTACAGGAAAACGTCGGCTAAGCAAAGCAAACGGAACAAATTAAAGGCGAAAGATGATCATATGGACTTGCAGAAATAATATACTTAATCCCTCTTCCTCAGTCTTTCGCATGTATACTACCATTGTATTAATTTCGATGGTGAATTTATCGTCGTTTAATGGTTAGAAGATCAGAATTCGATTTAGTTCACCAACAATTGCTAATTTCCTAACGGTGAAATAAATAACAGAAACCAGGACATCACAGCAAATCCAAGTCTCAGAAGAAAAGATCTTAAGCTGCATCTGCCCTATTGCACACTGTTTTTCTTTCATTGTGAATCAAACGAGCACGTAGAGTTTCGTGACCGGACGGCACACTATCCATTCATCCGTCATCCACGAAGAAACGATAAAAGATAAAGTATAAAGCGTTCGGCATTAGTTAACCCCTGCATCATGCAATCGTGTTCATCACATGTCGAAGAAACGATATGAGCGGAATTTTAGCCTATACAATGATTTGCAATGGTCCAATAACGTACCAAGTCACTGCTTCCGTCCTCTTAGACAAGCTTGAAACTGATTTGCCGACTCCGGAAAGATGAAAGGCTTTGTGAGCCTTGGAAGAGGTATTGAAACAATGACCACATGTGTATGGCAGTGCATCCATAAGCACTGCGCTACAAGCACGCACGAGACACTATAGCGCAAAGAATCCGTCAAACAGAAAATACGTCTGACCTAAAGTTTTCGTACCGACCGTCATTCAACCTTGGTGGTAATAATCAATACCTTCTTGGAATGTTAAGCTAACATGAGGTTTATAAAAATGTTTCTTCGGCTAACGTTTCGACGTCTTCGCTTTCATCAGAGCAGATGATCCACGTCGATGGTCCACATTCGTTCGTTTTCTCAGTGTGGTACTTTCGTTGTCGTATCGAGTCCGATCTTCTTCAGTGGTACACCTCTCGAATAGGGCAACCTCACCCGGTACGACTAGAACAATTGCGGACCATCGACACGGGTCATCCGGTCTGATGAAGACGAAGACATCAAAACGTTAGCCCAAGAAGTCTTTATCAACCTCGTGTTGGCTTAATAATCCAAGAATGTGCAGGTCTAACCGTTCGTAGGGCGTGCATTAGAACACCATAATGTACAATATCGCAATAAGATGGAGAACTTTTCGAGCGTAGAAAACAAGCACGAACGTCCAAATAAACAAGCGCTTCTAAAGGATATGAGAGAATGAAGATGGTAGCTATACTAATTAGCATCATCAACACATACGCGACGAAGAGGTCTCTGTAGGAACCACACGACATGAGAACAAGGGCCCCTTTAACTTTAAATCAATCGCAGTGAATTTTAAACGTCGCAATAAAAACTATTATAATGTATGAATTTTTACCTACAAGACAAAAACTGTTCCTGCTTTACTACTATGGAATACTAATTCTTTGGAACTCATAACGCATATTCCCTCCATTTTTTTCTCGCAAGGTTCAAATAGCGAGTGAGAAATTATCGTTAGTTAAAGAAAAACCAGCTTCGTAGGCAAAGCATTAACAGGTAAATAAATACTTCTGATTCATTTTAATGAGCAATAACACCAATAGTAATAATAATACACTTTACCACAGAGTCGCTATAGGTATAGAAGCTATGCCAAGTTGCAAATCCTCACACTAATCACATTTCGTTACTTCTACTAATCTTTGATTAAAGGGTAGGATTACGTGTGAATACACACTGAATGGGATATATGCATTACAGTAGAAGACGGAGGATGTATTATACGAATGTATACAGCTTGCACTGCTAAATAAAACCCTATTCCTAATCCTATTACAACGATTAAATTTTTCCCCAACATATTTGGCTTAAGAGCGACTCGTATATTTTTTTATTTTATTTCATTTTATATAACCCGTCTTCACGTCTACGGTGCGGATCCAAACACTTCCCATATTCGATTCGTTACCTTGCATCTATCATCCACAAAGATCTTCCAACTTTACGTGTGGCTTCGGTTGCTGCTTGAGCATTTTTATTTCATCTTGAAAGTTGCAGAATGATGATCGAGCACTCCCTGGAGTCCTGAGATAGCCGGGCTGGACCGTTCCCAGTTGGATTGCAGAAAGTGATTTTTTTTCTAGACAAATCCGATACTAATTTCCCGACCCCGGAGGTACGAGAGGCTTGGTAGGCCTGAAGCGGAATCAAACCAGCACCATGGTCTTATTTACGGACATCACTACCACTGTGCTACCAGTCCCTGTATGTATATCCTATCCTTTTTCACACACCAAGGCACCACCGATCTTACCAAACACATTTAACATTGTATTAAGAACGTGATCTCCAAGATTTGCCCTAAAAACATATATTGTAGAGACCTATGCGCTAAACCATCCATAAAATCAGAGTTGCTTGGAAACGCTTATGTGAGGGTACTAGTTTCCTCCATAGGATTGACATAGCAAACCATGCATGTAGTAGGTGTAGTAAAGTTCATAGGGAGACACCGCTGTGTGAAATGCTCAACAATGATCACATAAGCGTTATGATGAGGACATGTTTACGAAAGGCAGCTTTTGCGACATGCACAAGATTAAGAAGGAAAATCAAAGAAGGAATGCTAAAAAATTTTGCCCCTAGACGAACAACTAGTCTCAGCGTACAATTCTGAAAGAACACTTTAATTGGATTTCTCTTCACCCTTGTCTCACATGCGGTAGTTCCTCTAGTAGACTAGAAGGAATATCGATTAATTTTCATTCAGGATTGTTCATTTCGAAAAAATAAACTAATGACTAAGAGTTCAATTGTACGGGACTAAATGCGGTTAGATGCATAATTTATTCCATTCGAAGAATATCATTCATCATTTTGTCAAAAGCCTTGATTCACTCTTATAAGAGCCAATATTTAGAAAGAATAGATGACGGAAAGGTTATACCTTCCAAAAAAAGTTGAATCTTTGTTAGCCAGTTCTTACGTTTTAATCAGCGGTACATTCTTTCTTTTTGTTAGATCCAATAAAAATAAAACACTTTGAATCAACTTCATCATACTAGAATAGTCTAGGCACACAGATAAAGTCTAGATGAATTGGTCTATAGTTCCATTACAGGTTCTTGCTGTAATAATTTTATAGCACTAACGAAAAATAATAGAAATCGAGCAGAACCGAGCCATTTTGAAGAAGACTCAAAAATAGAGCACGTTTGACCTTATATCAGTCAACTACGCAGTCGACCACTGAATTGATGATAAACTGGCTCATGATTAGTCCCATGAAGACCAAAAAATAGATCAATATATAGGTATGAAATTCTTCGCAATCATATCACTAGATCTATGCAGTTCGCACAACATTCGTGTAACATAACCTGTTATGGAAATTATAAGAGTCGGAACTCCGACAGTCGGCATAACCGTGAACAATGAGGACTTCTGGGAAAGGACTTCAAAGCCTCGAAATTCGACAACGTTGAGTGAAATTGTCTGATTTCTTTACCTACATTATTGATTATGTGGTTATTGTTTGCGTCTGTTGCTCGTCTCAAGGACGTATGTGGAAGTGTTGCATTGCATCGCTGCCTTACTATGCGTAGCGGCTCACCAGCTCAGATCTTTTCAAATGACACCACGAAGTAACGGATTACCTCAGACAGCTTAAACCAAGTAGAACATTCATGAAATGCCAAGAGCAGGATTTTCTAATTTTTTTCTACATAAGTGGTGTTGAAAAAATGTTTGTCTATGTTGAAACCCAACTGTGGGTATGTTCCTTCAGTTCTGGAACAACTTTTGTTCAATTGAATGAAACAAAAAATAAAGAAAAAGATGGGAGCAGAAAACTCTGGTTTCTCCATTATCAGCAGAGATTTTTTAAGGAGCTGGAATTTTAGCATGCAACGCGAAGCGATAACTGGTGAAATAAGCAGACACATAACAAACTGCCTTATCTTTCGTTATAAATGCTACACCTAAGTCTAACGTATTCGATAGATATCATTTTGTGAAGTGCATGAACGATGACGAGGTCCGATTTACCCAATCTTTCCAATGTAATCGTTCACTGTTAACTGGAGACAGTATGGACCCACCATAGCGATTCTCTGTGCTTCGTCGTCTTCCGTCCATACGGCATCTATTTGCGAAAAAGCTTTCGAAAGCAAAATAATGTTGATGAGACGAAACAGACGTCCATCGAGCATGCCAGCCGATTTGGGAATGGAGCACCGGCCAGGCATGCAGATCCAGTTCATGCGCCGGAGTAGTAATGTACGATCGATATACCTCAATTGCACCGCCTCCTAATACAGTGCGTTTCTGCAGCGCGATCTTCCTCGGATTCCTACGAACTCTTGCCTTACGAAGTCCAGCATTTCGATCCGCATGCCGTAAACCGAAGAAAGATGGAGAACACAGCTGGAGTTTGCTTTCCTGATTCTTAATTCACTAATCGGAATTGGTCACACCCAATTTATTATCGCTAAATACTTTGAAAAGTGGTCTTAACATTGAAGTCTGAAGTGACCATCAATGTTGAGCGAATTGGGGTAGAACTTGTCGCCGACTAAAGGTAATTTATGTAAACATTTTGTTGCATTACTTATAGGTTCTGGCTTATCAATAAATAGCGTGAGAAGAAACAAGCAAACGAGCTCGAGTGTCAGTGGATTGGAAACTTTTAGGCTAACAATTTATGACTAGGGAACAAAAGTTGTGGTTACCAGAGAGACTTTTCTAGATTTCAATCACATTTGGCATAGCTCTGCGCACTCACCGCTTTCTATGAGTCTTCCACTGAGTATATCGCGTGAAGACCGACCGCGCAGAATTCACATGGAAGCGTAATGTGCCCCTCCCATCAGAATAACAGGTTTATATACTGTCCAATATCACGCCTGATAACGAGGCATTCCTCTCTGCGGTTCGTTTTCGGATTCTTGGGATTAATCCAGAATGCCTCCAGAGTTTTGCACGAGGATCGCAACCCTTACTTTAAAATCGTCTCCGTTATGTTTCTGCGTCCTATGTGTGCCTAGTGGAGTATTTGGCTTACGTTTGCCGACTAGGTGTTCTTTTATACGTACGCAAAGTGGTCTACCCGTTTCACCAACGTATTCGTCCCCGCACACTTTACAAGAGATCAGATAGACTGTACCCGAACTCATGCAGTCACCGTCTCTACCATTGGGGCAAATTATGCAATTTTGCGTTGCACATAGACTGTCGTATAGGCGGTTACGAACTAGCTGGCGCCTTAGATTACTCGGTGGTATTTCGATTATCGTTACCGAATTCTCTAGACTGGCCCTTCTTAAACAGCGTTTTATAGCTACACTTACTTCATTTGAAAGGAAGGGCAGTATAAACGAGACCTCGTTGTCGCTAGAGTTATCGTTGGGGTACCTGTGGTTTCCTCTACACCTATCTTGAGCTACAGATTCGTATCCATTAAAAATGGTTATTTGCCGCTCCAAGTTCCGGGACTCCTCTCTCTGTTGTCTTTCTGTGTACACGCTGGTAGCTGTTCGACACATGTTTCTCACAAGCGCCCTTTTCGTGTGAGAGGGATGAGCGGAGAGGTAATGAACCAGGATGTTTTTACTACTTGGCTTTCAGTACGACTGATAGGCTAATTTGCACGTTCAGAAATGGAAGCCAGTTTTCTTTTGGCTTTTCTCGGGTGAGTTTAATATACTCTGACTGTGTGTTCAACAACCCGAAACATCTGTCGATTTCTTCTTGCGTTGAACAAATGACCAAGCAGTCATCTACATATCTACAGTAAAGTAACGGACCGAGGTCGATTACTGGCGCTTCCACCTTAGACAAGAATGCAATGGCAAGGCTTGGTGCCAGTCGTTGTCCCATTGCCAGCCCTCTCATTTGTGCGTAATACCTCCCGGACCATCTGAAGATTGAGCAGTTTAGGCACTCCTTTAAGAGTGCCATCAACTGCTGAATCGAAAAGCCGTACATGTTTATTGCTCCTTCGTGTTGTATAAGAAGCTCGTTTATGGCTTGCATAGCGGAGTCATTCGACACGTTCGTATAGAGGGCAGTGACGTCGAAGGACTCCACCACGTACTCGCTGTTGGGTCGCGCGTTACGTAGACGATCCAGAAATTCGGTAACGATAATCGAAATACCACCGAGTAATCTAAGGCGCCAGCTAGTTCGTAACCGACCGTCTATGTGCAACGCAAAATTGCATAATTTGCCCCAATGGTAGAAACGGTGAGTGCATGAGTTCGGCTACAGTCTATCTGATCTCTTGTAAAACGTGCGGGGACGAATACGTTGGCGAAACGGGTAGACCACTCTGCGTACGTATAAAAGAACACCTAGTTGGCAAACGTAAGCTAAGTACTCCACTAGGTACGCATAGCACGCAGAAACATAACGAAGAGGATTTTGAAGTAAGGGTTACGATCCTCGCGCAAGAATCGAGAACACAAGCGCGCAAAACTCTAGAGGCATTCTGGATAAATTCCAAGAATCCGAAAATGAACCGCACGGAGGAATGTCTTGTTATCACGCGTGATATTGGGCAGTATATAAGCCTGTTATTCTGATGGGAGGGGCACATTACGCTTCCATGTGAATTCTGCGCGGTCGGTCTTCACGCGATATACTCAGTGGAAGACTCATAGAAAGCGGTGAGTGCGCAGAGCTATGCTAAATGTGATTGATATCTTGGTTTAGCGTTTTCTCTGTTTGGTTATGGAGGTGTTTGGCCGAATGGATTGCTGTAAACTTGACCCTTCCAGGCTCTGAGGAAGGCGAAATCCGCCGAAATGTCAGCTTGTGCGTAAATAAAGAAATAAAATAGCACCTCGTGTTTGCTGAACAGAAGTAGAAAGATATATTCAATCAATGCCGAGGTTAATAGAAAGTCGGACTTGGGAGTTACCCAAAACCTTCTTTATCGTCTATCGAGTGAATCCGCTATCCAAGTCATTCTCATTTTACAACATAAATGGGAAAGGATAGAGCTCTCGGCGTTGATCAATCCCTGAGAGATGAGCCATGCATTCGACTTCATTAAGTATCGTTGGAGGTGATTGATGCATATATGGCCTTTACAATGACTCGCGGTAGCCTACCGATGTATCGAGCCAGTGCTGATCCACCCAGACAAGTCTGGTACCAATTTGCCCACTCCGGAGGGATGGAAGGCTTGGTGGTCCATGGATGCAGGGATCAACTCCACGTGTGTGTCGCAGTGTGCCTCCAACCACTGCGCCAAACGCGCTCATTATGCAACATAAAGGACCAATAACTATGTATGATTGAAGGAATGCACAAACAGCTCAAGCGGTTGATGAACCGGCGTAGGCACAAATGGGTGGGCTGTCTCATGAGACAGCGATTGGCACCAACGCCTTCCATCACATTGATGTCCAAGTTGGAAGCCCCACTACTCGGTCTTCGGCAAATGCTGCGCTGTGCATATACAGTTGATTGTTTCGTCATCTACTGTAGAAAACAGAAGCTGGATAAATGCTTCGAGTTATGGAAACAACAGAAAGAACACAGAACTCGCTTGAAAGGAATCGAAATAAAATTGGCTATATCCAAGAATGACTGCCACCACCAAGAGAGACCAGTAGCCAAGTAACAAAAAATACCTCTCACTGCCTCATTATGGATACCTCTCCTATCATTCCATCAATTCGTCGTTCATCAAAAGAGCGTGAGCAAAGGAAGGAAGCAAAAAAGGAGTCAACAAACTTGACGCTGTAAATAGCCATTTCTAGTGGCTGCGCAATACTATGTTCTCAGTGTAGGTTTACAAGGAAAGCCGCGCCTCCATGCCATAACCCAAGAGAAAATAAAAGTTCCCGCTTAACCTGCTCTTCATTTTCAAGTTACAAGATAACACTTGGGAAGTGCAGGTCTGAAGATTTTGGTAGCAGTGACGGAACTACCACCAGAGAGGTTGTCAGGTTTTTTAGAACCGTTTGTGCGATTTTGTACGTAAAACGTAAAATTACACGGTTTACCGGGACGGTAGGGACGGCAAGTGCTTGAGCGCAGGTGAGTACCCGTTCGCTTGTAATGCATCAGTGGACGAGTATGCTGGCTATCTGTTGAGACGTTAGCTATTTGAAATAAATATTGTTGCTCATCACGTCGTTCCTATTGGTTAATAAAACATTAACTTTTCGATCCGCACAACGAAAAGAAAGTTGGTTCTCTGAGTTACATCGACGCGCGTCGAGAGACAATTGCATGGTCAGATTATGTCTGCATTCCACAATGTCTTAGCTAGGTGATGCGCCACCTCGCTTGCGAATAATCAGCCCAAATAGAAACATGACTTTGCGTTTATTAGGAGTCCTTGTTGTTTTAAGCTGAAAGCTAAACCCGATCCATGTAGTATCCTTTCAAAATCTCCAGGAAGGATTCGACATTAGTATATCAAGTTTTGGAAAAAACCGAAATGTAGAATCACAACACTCGACCAGTGAGGACAACTGACGATGTTCTGTGCAAAGATGAAATACCGAAAAATCTATGATTTCAAATTATGTTAGAAGCAAGTTCTAGTAACTGTTTGGTGATTGATTGACGAAATCATTCACTGCAACTCACTGAATGTTGGCAAGACAAGCATAACAGAGAAGTGCTGGTAGAATATCGACATAGTTAGACGTCTACGACCACCGTTTGTCATTCGAAAGAGATCACTTTTGTTGCATAACACAGCCAATCATATTTGAACAATCAGCACTGTAGAAATTCTAGGAAAGTCCAAAAAACTGCGAAAGAACTATGCCATTACTTTGTTCCTCATGCCATAGTTGATTTGAATCCATGAGAAATAATCTAGCGAGTACTAACTAGGAATTATTAAAAATCGGTAACTGAACTCCTTTCGTTGACGCATCCTGTAGACTTCAAAAGAAGTAGCGCAGTTTGATTAGAAACTGTTTTCTGAAAAACTTTTTTTTATTAGTGAAAACTAGTGGTTTTATACGCTCGGGGATGTGTTTCCATGTTAAAGTGCGACACAGCCCCGTATTTCTATAATGCGGGCAACAGATGTTGTCATGAACTACAGGCAGTTTGCCTGCTGTTATCACTGGTTACCCATGGCAACGCCTCCATTTCATCTATGGACGCAGGCGATTCCGGCGAAACTAATCGGGAGGAAATAGTGCCACCTGCTCTAAGTCAATTTCACCGTCATTCCTCAGTCTTCTTAAGTATTTGTGGTATTTCGCAATTCCTTCCACTGTATGTTGTAATCTATAAGCACCTATTTTTGTTATTCTTTATAAAGTTCTTCGCTGTCAACAAAATTTTATGTTGTGAAGTGTGGTTGAAGGCAGAAATGTTGAACAACCAGTTCAAGGATGCTCATTTTCAATTCATCCGTTCAATCCGTTCGATATTACCCACTTGAATATTGGGATACGTGCACTCTGTTTCGGAAGTCTATATTGTCTTTCACATTTACGACATCATATTTTCATCTCCGCTTCCCGTTCACGTCGGATCAATTCACTGAAGTTATCAACGAAGAATTCGTATAAGTTCCGCATTTCTGACTTTATCGCACAGAAACCATTTTTCCACTCAGGTTTCCAAACAAAAGGCGTTGTCAAGACACTCTGAATCAACTTTTTATATTTCCTTGAGATCTAGAAGAATGGGAGCTGAAGCAAAGTTATACCTGCAGCGGCACTCTATTCCACAACTGTTTGAGGTAATTGATCCAAATTGATAAGTGATTTACTGGTAAGTCGAGAAAAATTGAGGATTTTCTATCAAGAACATCGGACACGTTATGCTGATTCAGTACCTCTAATAGCAACATCTTTATTCTAGTCCGCTTGTAGTAATGCTAACCTTAGAGTCTTTTCGACTTCTAAATTTTATCTTATTGAATATGACGCCAGAAATCATTTCTGGATAAAAGTATGCAATTTTACTTGGATGCAACATAAAGGTCAATCGCTTCAATAGGGTGTCTTAATAGAATCAGCAGACTTGACGTTTCACTACAGAGTTTGTGGTTACGTTTACCGTTTCAATCCCATTTAAAACGGTTTTATCTAAAAGGAGAGCGGTCTCCTGACATTCAACGTAACTTTAGCAATAATGCTTTTTACCCCTATCCCACTGAAGTAAAGTATTAAAAAGGAAGTCAACATGTGAACTAAAGTTGCTAATGTTCGGCCAAAGTCTTAAAGGGTAAGCTGATGTTTAAATTAACAAATTTATGTTAAGTTGAAATGCTACATAGGGGTGTTGCACTCAACCTTACTAATTTACAAATTTACTATCTATCCGAAATACAAATTATTGATTAAGAAGTACTCATACTTTTAATATATTTTTAGGGTCTTATGACTGGACTCGTTTACAATCGCCCAGAGGAGCCGCTGAGGTTTCTGGAGACGGCAATCGCTCAAATTAGAGCTAATCCAGAGGAAGAACTTGCATGGGACATGTTCGTTGACAAGAGAGAGTTCAACACATTGTGTGGGTGAATTCGTATATTTTTAAACGGTACAAATTTTTTTCGATTATCGAGCTTTCCGACTGCAGGCACTCATCATCTACTAACGGTCATGGCTTCTTAACATAAACAGCAATATATTGACAGCAGCGTGGATTTTTGGCGATCGATACATGCAAGTTGCCAATTCTCGTCTAGCGAATGGGCACAACATCATTTTTTGGCGAATCTTTAGAAACCTTCACTCCATCTTTCTATTCCTCCCGAAAGACCCTCACCGTATGATCCGTTTCAAATTTGCACATTCAATGATGACTGGGCAATAACAAATTGACAGGTTTGAGAAAATGTCCTGTTGTGTAAGCGAATCATTCCATGTCGTTGATATGACTGGCTGCCACCCTTCCAAACGTGTTAACTTTACTAATCAGCATTAACAATATCGCAGCGGTGTAATTTCTTAGAGGAGTCACACAGGGGTGGGAATGGAGATGCCATGTGGTCGGTAGGACCTCTGTACTGGTCACAGTGTTCCGGTGACTTCTCTTTTGTGTAGTAAATTTATTCAACACGAATATTGTGACGGCGAACTAAAGGGGAAAACGTATTCTGCACCTAGGAATACAGAAAAAATTTCTTCGCGAACGAGTTCAGTGAACGACAGTTTGACCAGCATTTGATTGTTACTCTAATTACAACTGCTGTGATAAATAATGGGCACAAAATAAAAAGAGGGGGTATAAAAAATACTCATATTGTGTCCACATAAGCTACTTCCAAACTGTGACAGCAATGTGGAAGAATCTTAATAACATGTAGTAAATGCCACGACCGACTTTCTATTAATCGGCATTGATCAAGTGATTTTCTTCGTATTTTTGTTGAGCAAACGCGAGGTGTTACTATTCTTTGTTCACGATTAAGCTGACGTTTCGGCGGATTTCGCCTTCTTCAGAGCCTGGAAAGGTCAAGTTGATAGCAATCCACTCGGCCAGACGCCTCCATATCCAAACAAAGAAACTCCAAACCATGATTTCAATCACTTTGAACACAGCTCCGCACACTCACCGCTTCCTATGAGGTTTCCACTAAGTATGTCACGTAGAGACCAACCGCACAGAAATCACGTGGGAGTATAATGTGCCCCTGACATCAGAAAAGCAGTTTTATATACTGCCCTATATCACGCGTGATAATGAGGCATTCTTCCCTGCGGTTCATTTTCGGATTTCTGGAATTAATCCAGAGTGCCTCGAGAGTTTTTCGCGCCTGTGTTCTTGATTCGCGTGCGAGGATCGTGACACATACTTCGAAGTCGTCCCCGTTATGTCTCTGGGTCCTATGCGTGCCTAGCGGGGTATTTGGTCTATTTTTGCCGGCTAGGTGTTCTTTCATGCGGACACAGAGGGGTCTAACCGCTTCGCCAATGTATTCGTCACCACACGTCTTACAGGAGATCAGATAAACTATACCCGAGCTCATGCAATAGCATAGTAAACATAAAATACATATAGTAAATAATAGAATAGGTGGATATATAGCAGTTGCTCGATTCTGCTTCGGACTCGCAATCCTCTCATCACTTAGGAGTCGGGAATCTGTTACTGGACTTGTCCGGAAAAAATACTCTTTGTAATACAACTGGGAACGCTCTAGCCTAACTATCTTAGGACTCCAGAGAGAATCTACTCCACCAGCGTTCTCAGGCATTCAAGATAAAACAAAAATCCTTAAGTAACAGCCGAAGCCAAAAATAAGAGCGGGAAAACCTTCGTGAATGATGAATGCAAGGAACCGAATCGAATGTGAGATGTACTGGGATGAGTGCAATAGACGTGAAGGCGGTTCGTATAAAATGAAAGAAATGGTAAGATGTATGCCATTTATACCCTTACAGCGATAAATCAAAGCCTTCACTATGGTTGCGTAATGTTGCCAAACCCTGAAACTTTCTACTTAACGAAAAATTGTCCTATATTTTCGAAAAACTACCAAGTATGCAACCAACATGAATTGAGGCATGGTCTCACGCAGCAGACAAGGAGGATTAAGCGTTATCGTGTAAGTGTCAAGACATTGGCGATGGTTTCCATTCAAGAACTGTGCCACATAAATATAATAGGGAGATGATGACAAAGTGAAGGTAACGACGCCGTATTTCCTGTGAGGAGTCGTAAGCCTGATTTCAAAAAACACAAAACCAGCCGTAAAATTTTCCATTGTCACAACCGTTAATCACCCACACTAGTCGAAATTCGTAAGCATAGAATAAAGCGAGCTAATAGCAACTAAGATTCGGAATTAAGAATCACTTGAAAAGTCACAGCAGTAAAAATAATCACTTTGCACTGCTCATTACAACAACAAAGCTCGGTTCCACTAGCGTCTATAGAGTTGGCTGGTTACTTTAGTAGGAAGTTGGAGAATACCCACTAATCCGGTTGAGTAGCCAGAAGTAAAATCTGGAGCGCAACACAGGACATATAGGTAATAGATGCTAACTTGGTGCAGAGAATGCGATAAGTCACTTATCTCAAGAAATCAAATACTATTTCCATAGTGTAAAAGTTATCAAAAGTAAAGCTATGCGTTCCAATTCTCGCTTCATGGTAAGCTATCATGGTAAAAAGTGATGAAACATGAGAAATTTGCCCAAAACAGCTGTGTGGGTAAAAATATCGCCTAGATATATCGGAATATTTGACGTTTAATGACACGAGAATAAGAAAGCAACGACGCATAATTGGAGAAAGAATACCATATACATCGCACCAGAATGCACCTTCAGAAAACATTTTCATAGGTATTAATGTTTTACCTAGTATTAGTATTTTGTATTACTGCACAGCATTTGTGAAGATGTGAATTTTTGGAAGAGTAGAAGTAGAAATGTATTCAGCAAATAGACGATTTTAGACGGCTGTGGATGTGGAGGCCAACATAATTGCTCGGCATTCAATAAATTCTCAGCGCTCTAAATCCTTACTCTGCCTCGTAACTCAAAACTCCCACTCTCCACACCAGAATCGCAACCACTTCCACCTATAGGCCCAGCGACCACTACTTTATTGAATATTTGGCCCATATTACGTAATGAATACGTGATTACAGCTCATTTCGAAGGCACTTCGAGGACATCTAATCGCTGCACCACTCCTTCCCCCAAAGATATAACGAAAACGAAAGCGTAAGTCATTCGTTCATGCCTTTGTCTGAAAAATAATTTTGATTTCACGACTTCAGTCCTACTAAAGAAAAAGGCAAGAAATCTAAGCTAAAAGAGAAGAACAAGGGTAAAGGAACCCCTCTGACGTCTAGCGGAGGAGGGCTAACCTCCAACATCAACATGGGACGACTGCAAAGGTCACCATCCGTGATGAAGGCGGCCGAAGTTGCGCAAATCCCTCACGTACCAATCATACTCTTCATGGGTGAGTCTCTCTATTATTCAACGCTTTGGTAAAGATTCGTCTCTTTATCTACTCGAACGCCAGTTTATCGATGCGATTTGTAGATACTATAAAAAGAATACATATATACGTGGCCCTGCTAATAAACTTTGTTGCCTATTAGTTCGGGTAATTTTAGCCGTCGAATACCCTATAGTGTACCTTCGCTTTTCAAGAATTTCTCTTTAGAATTATCAAGGACTGTTTCAACATTGTAAATTGTGGGTTATTAGCACGGATAGCTGCGTCGTAAGACCATGTGAGAATATTCTTTGTTCCCATATAATATTTCTAGCCCTCTTTTTTTCGGCTCTTTTAAATTGCTTCTTTCCGCGTGCAAAATCAACTCCTCACTTTATCTGCACTTCCATGCTCAATCGATGTTACCACGTTGAGAAATCTCGTGACTGGCTAGAGGATATGCAAACGTTGACGCATAAACAAAACTGTCAACTTAAGTTAACCTTGTCTCCTTAGAAGAAGAAATTCTAAAAAAGTCATAGGACTAAGTTGACTTCACATATTTCAATCGAAATTCTCTGTAAACTGTTAGATGAGCTCCTTGTGGCCCAGCCTCTAGTTTACGACACTGTCAATGTTTCGATGCCTCTAACCATAACAATGTCCTGTAGCAGTGGAACCAGTTTTATGGTCGTATCTTAGTCTCGACAACAGCTAGCCTATTGTGTTCTTGATAAGCCGACATATGGTTGTTCCTAAACCATATATTTCTTCATAGCTACCGCTTTCTTCGAATTTCACTTTCGTCGAAGAGTGGAAATAATTACATTAACACGTGGTTTGCTAGGGTTCTGATTTCAAATTAAGCGGCCCTGGACGTTGGGATTTCGTGTCCTTTGTTAGCTAGTGGAGTGCTTTGTCGAAAGTTAGTTTCCTTATCGATTTGTTCATTTATGTTAACACAATGTCAGCTCTCCGCTCGGTAACGCATTCGTCATATTAATTATAAGTAATCAAGAACAACGTTATGAGTTTTTAGACGTCCTTTAATAGCAATAATTTACGTCATTGAAAATAAACTGCAATGTAAACGGGGTATTATCAAAGCTGGAGTGATCGTTTTTGAGCGTCTTCAGTCATTCTTATTTCACCGGTGGCCAGTATTATTTACCCATTGCAGGTCGCTATCTCCAGCACCAAGTTATACGATTCCTTCTTCCCTCATTTCATTTATAATATACGCACCCAGTGGCAGGAGCTCGACCTCGTTTGTGAGGAACGACCAATGAAGTAATAAGCAAGCATGTTTTTATTCGCCAAAAATCCTTTTTTTCAGTTTCAGTTGGGTTCGTATCATACTCATTGACTGCTCTTAATTCAATAACTTAAAATATTTGTAATCTAGTTTGGGTGGACGACGAAATATTAATTGGTATAGCCATGACGATGCCCTTTTGCTGCTTGCTATCTTTCATGTGGAAAATATCTTTGTTGCTTGTTAGTCTATCTTATTCCGGACCCTACAGAAGGATTTTTCACTATTTAACTGAGCGACGAACCGAGAATCATCCTGCGTCCTGGGGAACTGTCAGGTGAGAACACATAATTCCAACGATAATGACCGCGCTCTATTAAAGGGTGCTGTTAGGTAAGACAAAGTCATTTATGTTGTGCTCCAGTGCATTCATTTCGCCACGCCTGACTACAAAATTCCACGCTGCAAAAAATGACTGATATGGGCATTCGACTCAAAGAAGGCGATACCACCGAAACCTCCACAATCGTAAAGAATTATAACAGCTTCATTTACGTCGTCAGTAAGCCATGATATTAGTTGATGTAACTACGCAACACACTTGTAGTCATTGGCTCGTTCCTAGAGCCTCGTCCTCACCAAGTTTTCATACTTCTGGATTAGTACAAAATTTGTACGAGAGAATAGCAGCACAGACCTGACATATCTACAAGCCATTGAGAGCATTGTGTAAGCTTGATATGCTTTCAATTCACCTCCAGTGGTGCTTAGTGAAGTCGAATGCATGGCCCATTCCTCAGGGATTGATCAACACTAAGTGCTTTACCCTTTATCTTTTACCTTCGCTGGAGCAGTGGTTTGGGATTGAAAAGAGGAACTTTTATTCTAAGGATCGAAGCGACAGAAAGACCAGGTGCCAGTTGATAATCTTTTGTCAACTTTGCTCCGTTATACTTCATGCTCCATGTAAAAAACATGTAACAGCTAAGCGCTTCTTTATGTAAATCATTTTCTATTAAATCACTTAAATAGTTATTCTAAAATGGCTTACTTTACAGTTGGTTGAACACGTTTTTTTTCGCAACCAATACCAGGCTGCTGAAACATCTTCTAATTCGTCGTTTTCTGTCTCAGCAATCGCGAGGTTGTTAAACAGCATACGTTTACTTTCATACAATAACACACTTACAACACAGTCGTAGCTGACGTTTCGGCGGAATCGCCTTCTTCGGAGCAGCTTTTTTTCAGCTATCTTCCACCGAAGAAGAACAGCCGCTCAGAGTCGCATATAGTTGATGAAAAAAAGCGGCTCTGAAGAAGGCGATTCTGCCGAAACGCCAGTTCAAACTGTGTTGTATGTGTATTATTGTATGGAAGTAAACGTATGCTGTTTAACAACCTCGCGATTGCTGAGACAGAAAACGACGAATTTACAATCCAATGCCGGGGTTAATAGAAAGTCGTTCCTGGAAACATCTGCTAATTGTTTGCTTTATCAACATCGCATTCTAAGCGATAAAGCTTATGTGCATGTGTATTTTCGTTATCCCAAACAAATGAGAACAAATGCAGGAAGTGTAGCATGCTGGAGACCGAATCATTTTGAAAGATAATTAGTGTTCTCAACCACGTCTCTATCTGGTCGTGATTAGTATTATTAGTGTGCACAATTTGTATGCATTAACCAGCATTTCCGCTTCAGCCTTTTACAGCATTATTTTATTTGATTACAGGTGGACCGGGAGGAGGAAAGACGAGACATGCAGCTCGTGTCGCGAATGCACTCTCCGACCAGGGTCTCGTCCACATTTGCATGCCCGATATCATTAGGTACGTATCCGTCCTCATAGAAATAGAATGCTTAAATTATCGTTCTTTATTGTGTTACGAAATAAACAAATTTGTTGGGTTTCGGACGTTATCTATCGTGTGAAATGAAATTTGAGCTGTGTTAGCACGCAAGAAGTTGTTTATCGACACCTCAAACTGCCCACTAAACTATAACATATGCATCCAATTACATTCTTTTGAGCTTTCTTTAACGCGCATTGTTTCACAACTAAATGCTTCCCGAAGTGTTGCAATTTGAAGTCGCCTGAGAATAATTGAGCGTATTTTCCTCAGATTACCTTCAGAAGAAGGGCGCGTGTGGCGCAGTGATCGGTGGTGCCCTGAAACATTTGTGGAATCGGTCCCGCGTTCATAGCCCACTAAACCTTTCATCCCTCCGGGTTCGGAAAATTGGTGCCAGACTTGTATGGGAGGATAGCAGCACTGGCTCGATACATCGGTAGGCCACCGCGAGTCATTATAAAGGCCAGATATGCATTCAGCCACCTCTACCGATGCTTCATGAAGTCGAATGCATGGCGCATTCCACAAGGATTGACCAGCGTCGAGAGCTTTACCCTTTGATCCCTTATTTACCTTCTGGAGCAAAATCACGGTAATGTATTTTCCAGCAAAAGCCTTTTTGATACTGTACAAAATATAGTACAAACGACCGTGCGAAGCTATTCGTATTATATGAACGTGATGCTGAAATTGGAAATATGTATCATTCAAAAAGAAATGAAAAGAAAGGAAGAGCTAAGAGTAAAATTTGACTTTATTTATTGAAGGAGTGCTCTCGCAAAGTACAAGGACCATTATTCTGAATGGAAAACGGCGAATGAACATTACCTGCGAGGTCTTGTTTCCCTTTTCTTTATTGCTATGCATTCTCTGTTGAGTTTTAAGTGTGCTCCTTTCAATAAGTATCAACATGCAGTTATATATGAAGCAACGTTTATTTCCTTTTTTTGATCATTTATTACATAATTTATTCAATTACTTCAACCTTTAACAAAGGACTTTCAATAGAAAACGCTTTTGATGGGCGGGAATCTCTCATTCCGAAAAAATTACGCGAAGGGATGCCAGTCTTTAAAGGGCGAAATTTTGACATTTGCGTGGACCTTTCCTCCCATAAAACGCTAGCACTACTGTAGTAAATCAATATTGTCTACTACTGCAGTAATTTCACGGAGGCACAAGCAAATTTTTTGTTTTCGAGTATATTTTTGCCCTAGAAACAAATATTCCAGGTGAATTAATACCCAACCACCTTGCACTGGCGCTTGTAAAAGCTGAGATGGGACGGCATCCAAAGGCCAGCGCGTTTTTCCTCGAAGGATTCCCAAGAGAGGCTCGTCAAGTAGAAGATTTCGAAAGACAGGTGAAGCCGTGGATTGTATTACGTGGCAACATAATTATCCTTTTCATTTGACTTGTACTCAAACCACGAATGCTGCCTATTGAGTCTAAATCTTTCGAACGAAAGGGCTAAGAGAAATGCGGCAGAAACTTCCTGAAGGGTTGTGGAAAGCCCTTCAATTGTGTCTGATGTGCTATCTTCAACATATTTGCAGAAGTGAGGCCTTCGTATTCAGTCGCAATTTTTCCCCTTATTGTGCTTCCTTAGTAACATTTTGTCGAATGAGTTGAAAATTAGTTCATTCGTCTCTAACACCTACCCATTTACTCCACCTCCGTAGAATTTATACTATGCAATGAAAATCCCTAGAATTTGAAAACCTATAGCTATAGGATAAAAGCTTTTCCGTTTGTCTAGGGTATGATACCGATTTTTTGAAACCTACGATATGTATTCCTCCCACTTTTTGCTCCAAGGCACAAATTTTCAACATGAAGACGAATGGACATATAAGATTGCGCGTAGAGCAGCACATGGTTGACATGGTAGAGTTTCGTCTATGTTTGCAGCTGCTGCTGTAACGCTGCAGATTTTAAAACATTTGAGCTTCATTTCTAACTTTTTGAGAGTTCCATTTCTAAGCGAAGAAAGCCACTCCTATGAATTTATAATGTTCTCAACCCCTGAAATACTCTAGTGATCGAGGAATTATCGTTAGCTATCGGAAAGCAAGGTTCATCTGAAAAAGGTTAAACGACAGATTTAATTATAAGCGAAAGATGTGGATAAGTAGACAGTCCTCCCGCGGTCCAAAGCAATTTGTAAAACTATTGTAAGACAGCTCTTACACTCTACGGGCTTATTAACATTGCAGTCGTGTAGTAAATTTTCATGCAAAAAAAAACTAAAAAAGTTTGTGGTGTAATATAATATTACAATGAAAGCATTCCAAATCTAGAGTCACGACTCTACATTTATCCACCAGTAATATTCGATTGGCTGAAGAGAAATTGTTTGTTAGTGAACTCTGCATTTTTCATGATTTCAACACACATGAGTAGACAACGAGACACTTAAAATGGATGACAATTTCGTTCGTATATTTAGGTGCAGTCCGTTAATATGGCACTTATTCTTGACTACGACGAGAAGACGCTAAGGGAACATATGGAAAAGCGAGGAATGGGAATGGAGATCATCGACCAACGAATTAAGGTGCCTGATGCGAGTATAACGTGGAAAAGTGTGAAAAAATCACTTTGAATAGGAAAAACCATCAATTTTTTCTTTTAAAAATATATTTGCAAACTTCACTGTTAGCTCTTCGTCCTTTAAATATTGGTTTCAGGAATTTAAGCAAAAAACTCTTCCATCTGCGAAATACTTCGACGATCAACGATTATTGCATTTGGTATGGTTTTCATAACATGACTAAAATAGACTGGTTCTAATCAAGAATCATTCATTCATGCTACACTTTTTAGATACCTGGAGAAAAGGATGACCAAACAATATTTGAACGAATGAGAGACTTAGTTCGAAAGGCGATGAGCACTGGTGTGCCGGTGCTCAACAGTAATCCGCCAAGTCAAGCACAAACTCGAGTTCCAACTGTGAGACCTTGTACATACATGACTGGTTCTGTTAATTTTCAAACTTCTTCAGGAGGTTTTCATTCCGCAAAATGGTTTTTCGGCAAATGGAATCGATAATGAGAGTTCAGGGCAAGATGTTAGTTCACAACGTGGACTTTGCTCTAATTCCTTTCAACGAGTGCGTTGAATATTTTCAGACTGTTATCGAAGATGCTACCGTTACAACTAAAGATCGTCAACCTGACTGCGGCATCGTGGCCTCTTCTCCCATCGGTAATCCCGCGCTAACCACAATTTGTGGGGTTGTGACAAATAATAGTGTAGACTTTTCTAGGCATCACGGCTAAAAGAACCGAGTCTGTCTCTTCGAACGGGAAGGCTGCTCTCCCTCAAACGTGTGGCGAATTCAATGGTAAGGCGTTAAGCTCAATCCTACTTGTATAGAATATATGGATAGAAAATTGTGGTTTTGAGGTTTTACAAAGCATTTGTAAATCGTAGGTGATCTTTGCCGACGAGTGTCGAGAATCCCTGTCACTTGCGTCGCTTGTCGCAATTTACCTCTGTGTTTTGGTTGACTGTTTATTTATTTCTTTGGTACACAAATAATGAAAATTTTAACCTCAACTTTTAAATACTGAAAAGGTTCAGGCAGAACTTCAATGACTAGCTAGAATCGAAGCGTTTTTCAAGAAAATAATGCATCCATGTTCTCATACCTAAATGAATTCTAAAATTCTTGAAGCGAAGGCTTAAGGGGTGTTTCGAGTAGCAGAATCGTCACTGCAAGTTTTCTCAGCCATATGGCCGTAGGGTTATCGAAAAAGTACTTAAAAATTGCGTGCCGTTTTAGGAGAGGTCCAGGAATGTAACGGAACTGATGGAATTATATCCCAATTTTTTCAACTTCTGAAGCATTTGTTCTGCAAAGTGAGGTCGAACGCTGTCATGGAAGAAAAGTAAATCGTTTCTGTTCCTGCAGATAGATGCGCCAACATTTCTGCTGTACCATACTGATTTCGCGCTAATACATCTCTGCTGTGCTAGCGTCAGCAGAGTTCAGAAGATTTACGACCTTAAAAAAAATAAAGTAAAAGAGCAAAGACAAAATAAAAATGAGAAATACTAGTAAATAAAGAGTTTTAATACAAAAAATATAATAAAGATAGAATAAAAGTATTTGAAGGGGACGGACAGCACAGTGGTAGCGATGTCCATTATCACGAGCCTGGTGTAAGTTCGATTCCGCTCCGGACCAACCAAGCCCCTCATTCCTCCGAAGTCAGAGAATTGGTACCGGAGTTGTCTGGGAAAAAATCACTCTCTGCAATCCAGTTAGGAACGTTCCAATCCGGCTATCTTAGGACTCCAGGGAGTGCTCAACCAGAATTCTGCAACTTTCAGGATGAAATGAAAGTGCTCAAGCAGCAACCGAAGCCACACGTTAAAGTTGGAAGATCTCCATGGGTGATAGAAGCGAGTAAACTAATCGAATGTGAGAAGTGCTGGGATCCGGACAGTAAACGTGAAGACGGGTCATGTAAAATAAAAAACAAAAAAAATAAAAATTTCTTTATTTTCTTTACATTTTTACATGATCCGACTTTAGACCCACCGTGTGGTTCCCTGTAATTCTTTCATCCGATTCGTTCTCCTCACATTCATCATCCACGATGGCTTTCGAACATTGCCGGTGTTATTTCGGCTTCTGCTTAAGGATTTCGTCTCTTTTATGATTGTCGCAGAATGTTGTTCGAGTGCGTTCTCCTTGCAGTTTAGGAGTTAGGGCTAAGACGTTCCTACGTGGATTAGAGGAGGGGGTTGGGAAGAGGGTCGAACTCAGTGCCCTTGCTTCTTGGTCGGCGGCATCATAAACCATTGTGCTATTCTCCTCTCTTCCCTTAATAAAAAATACGAACAAATAAAAATAATTGGAACAAAATAAAATTAGGGGAAAAAAAATAAGTTGGCAGTAGGTCGCTTTCTAAAATGGCTAATATTCGCTTCGCTTTAGTACTGCATGCAGTTGTAAAATGATGCTGTCGGTGCTAAAACTGCTCAAGCGTCGACCGCGAAATTTCACTTCTATGTTATTCACTTCAACTCTTACGTGACCTTCTTGTATGTGCTATTAACTTAGCTCGAGAGTGTCTTGAAATAGACGTCTTTTGATAAATTTTAGGCTACAAGCTTTCTTAGGACAACAGCGTGAAGTCGACAAAACTTTTGATTGCTCTGCACTGAGAGACCCTCAATTTCGGCACCGAGAGAAGCGCTTTGTAGTTGTGGGTTATCAGAGACGATCCTGGTCACTAAGTTTAGATCGTTCGGCTACTCACCCCGTTTGCTCCATACCAGTGCGTGGGTCTCGATATCGAGTTATTCAACTCTTCCTTTTGAATATTTTGGTATTGAGGTCGCTAACGATGACGCTATCAAAGGAGTGATCTCTGCAGGACTTCTCCTAGTTATATCACTCGCCGGGTTCCACTTCCTTGTAAAAAACTCTTCATGCTAACAAATTTTTTGAGTGTAGAAAAAGAGGACTGTCATGGTCTGCATTGGAAAAGATTTGCTACACAGTATATAGTGGGATGTGTCTTCTAATATAGATTAATGTTATGACGTTGTACCAAATTTTGTAGCTCTCATTATAGGATTCCAACTTAATTTTCCAGCATCAGCTTTTGTCCACTGCAAACGCGACTTATAATTATAGTCTTTTCTCCTTAAAAGGCTCAAATGTTCGTGGAAAAACTATCCTCATCGTACTGAATTCTGCTGCGTCATGTTTTTTTCCCAAGAAAGAAGAATGAGTCAGCTTGTTTTTCTTTTTTTACTGAGAGATACCTACAAGTAGTTCGCTGGACTTTGCCGTGGGGTTGGATATGCTCATAGGTTACATGCTTTATAGAATATACAAGGATTTTATATGAGATGAATGCTAGCTCTCCTCAACGAATTTTCCATTCACTGAATTTTTTTGGCTGAATCAAAGCAGCAGGTCAAGCTTGTACACGTCCTAGTGCACTTACGAATGTTTCTGTAAAGGTCTACGCATTTATATATATATATATATATATATATATGTATAGAATGTGTAATCCAATATATAAGTCAGAGTGAGGCTGCGTCGATGGAAAAACCGTCTTGTCAGTGTCTTAGCCCGTCTCGGAGCAAGTAAAGGGTCGCTAATCTCTGTTTGTTACCTGTAGGGGGAACAAACTGAGACCGGGTCGGGGTCCCTCATGTGAACGAGACGTGCGAAAATTACCTATAATTAACCGAACAAATTTTTAAATGAAAATTTTGAATCACCGGTTCGTTATTGCGCTCCCAGTTTCCATGCAGGCGATTATGTAAAGGCAAATGCATCTCTGTCTGCATCAGCGATTGTTGGGAGTATGTCAGTTGCAATTTGCCTATCTGTAATGTAATACATCAATGATTTTTAGAGCCCTCTGCAAGCGAAAATAACAGCGTTACATCACGCCAATTTGCTGAAACTCCTGTCAAAGGTAAGTTAGTGCTGTTTTATGCATTCGCCAACTCGAAAAATCATAATCTGAATTCAGATTCCACTCCAAGCGTTGTGCCTGATTCTCTGACAGTGAGCACTTCCGTTCCACCAAGCGTTCTCGATGAAGTACCTGTTGCTCAAAAGTCTCCCACCCTTGCTCCATCAAAAAGTGGGTATTGCTTGAAATTCCTACATTCTTCCTCTATGTTCACTTATTCTTCTTCCATAAACAGCATCGAGCGGAGAAGAAGTCTCGTCAGCTCAAAAATCTCCTACCCTTACTCCATCAAAAAGTAAGTATTGCTTGAAATTCCAGCATCCTTTTCTTATGTTCACTTATTCTTCTTCCATACACAGCTTCGAGCAGAGAAGGAGTCCCGTCTCTTTCTGGTGATTCTATGCCGCATGGGCTATCTACGAGCGCACCTATAATTTTGATAATTGGTGACATAAGCTTCTTCTGCATTTTGAGAACTTTGAATCATCTTTTCATTGCACTTTTTTTAGTCCCATAGTTTCTTCCGTAATTTTGAGTTCTATGGCAAGATTTAGCTAACATTGTTCAGGAGCCCCTGGAGCGCAAAAGTCTGATATTGCAAAAAGAACTGCACAGAAATACAGCGAATTTGTTCTACTTTCAATGGGAGCGCTACTCAGAGCTAAAGTCGCCGAAGAGAATGCAGATGAACTCTGGCAGAGAATTGCGCGCAAAATCGATCAAGGAGAACCAGTTCCAATGGTAATCTATTATTTAGGAATTTCACAAACGCTCAATATTTCTGGGTGTTGGTCGACGCTAGGCAACGTAACGCACAATTAGTGAGCATGTAAGAGTTTGGTGCCATTTGAATAACTGTTCCTTTTGATACAGTTATCGATTGTGAAAGAATGAATTGTGATTTCATTTTTGCAGTGAAGTTGTCTATGCTTCTGTTGTAAAGTAGATTCTGGCGCAAATGCTGAATGAAACGGAAAAATTCCATAGATTTCAGAAGCTCTGCCGTGAACTTCTTTACAATGAACTTCGCCATATTGGAAATGCGAGCAGCGGTTACATTATAGAAGGGTATCCCAGGACCGAAGCACAATTGATTGACTTGCAATCCTTCGTAAGTTGACAAAGCGATGAGAGAATACAGCTTTCATATGAAGCGTTAATGTTGCTCCAATGCTGGCTTGCCTACACTTGGCTTCTATAACTCTCGAGAGGTGACTTGAAAGTTGGATCCTCAAATTCCATACATTGGGATATGAAAAAAGATGTTAAATGTGAGAGAAGATGGAAGTTAGATGTAGAAGATGAAAGATGAGATGTTAGAGAAGGTGTTAAAAATGTTTAAATTGTTGGAACCGTATAACAATCAAATAAGATACTGTTGCCTATGCTAAACTAATGCATTCCAAGAAAATATGAAATGAAGCCAAGAAGGACAGAGGCTGCGTTGGTGCTGTTCATTTTGGACATTTCTATGACTTTCAGGAATTCGCTCTAATTTTGGTATTGTAGAACATTTTCTGACGATGCTGTTGAAACCAACAAGAATTTCTGAAGTTTGTTAGAATAGCCCTCAAATTGAACAAAATATCAGTGGTCTTGCCACTTCTTCACTTTTCACGCCAAGCCTTGCACACCAAATGGCGTTAAAGTAAAATACTAGTAAGCGTTAATGTTTAGGATATCAAGCATGGTTTTCTTACAGATGGGCTAAATCAAAACGTCGGTTTTGGTTAGTTGGTCTTTTATTTGCAGTTGGGCAGGATTGATGTCGCGATTCTCATCGACTGCACCGAACAGTTCTGTCTTGACAACATCGCAAGGCGGTACCAGACCGATAGCAACGCTAGTCCCGGTATGGTAGCGTTTCATGTGACTTATCAACGGGCCGTTAGATACACGTTGTCACACCACAAAATTTTCAAATTCCACAGAATTACTGCGAAGTGTAATCCAAAATGTTAGGTTCTTCGGAAATTAATGTTGGATGTCAGCCTGTATTTTTAAAGTGTCTTATACGAGCTCAAAATGTTGGAAAAAACTTTGTTGGAGATAAAAACCATAAGAATCTGCAGACGCTTGTAACAAGAAAGAAGTTTACTCATGTCATTTGCTTGAAATTTTGGACTTCTGGATGACGCTGAAAGCGCATTCGGCCACCGATTACTTTCTGAAACATTTTTCGCATATTGAACTAAAGAAATGCTTTAACAATTAGTAGTGGGTATTTTTTATAAGCATATACAAATCTATCATTACAGAAATTATTCATTCACCATAGCTGACACATTTCGGCTGTTTCGTTTTATTCCGAGCCTGGAAAAGTCATACTGACACGCAAACCGCTCAGTCAAACACATTCATAGGCCTAGCAAACAAAACGGTACATAAATTTTCATGCGCATAATAAACAGCTTTTATTAAACACTCATCGTTTTGTTCGTTGTAAATCTACCAGTGGAGACCAGCCGGACAGATTCTTACATGGGCGAGGAATGTGCCTGACTCAGCTTAAAAAATCGGCCTGAGGTATGGCGCGAGGTCACGCCTGATCACAAGGGACTCCTCCTTGTAGTTCACTTTTTTTTTATTTTTGGAATTCTCCATGACGCATCGAAGGTTTTAAGCAGTGATGCTGTAGATTCGTGTGCGGTGATGATAACCTCTGCTTCTAAGCATTCATCGTTACGTCTAGGAGATCTATGAGTGTACAGTGGAATGTTTCGTTTGATCTTAAGTTCTCCATCCCTTCACAAGGGCGTAGAGAGATCCACCGGTTTCCCCAATGCGTTCGTTGGCGCTTGTTTTGCAAGCTTTTGAATACACCGTTCCAAACTCACGCAGTCGCCGTCTCTACCGTGAGGGCAAGTTATGCATTTAACCATTGTTATTAGGCAGTCTTATAAGCGATTACGAACTAACTGACGACGATGAGTGTTCAGTGCTATTTCAGTCATAGCTACCGACTTTTCTAGATCGGCTGTTTTTACGCATTGCTTTATAGCTGTGATTGCTTCGCTGAAAATAAACGGCAATTTAAGTGGAACATTTCTTTGTCTAGTAAAACAATAATCTTGAAACCGACCGTCTTTTAACCACGGCAATAAATAGTCAATATGCGGTTATATTGTTTTACGTAGGCAAGGTTGATAACGGTTAACGTTTCGTTGGTCTCGTCTTCATCAGAGCCGATGATCTGAGTCGGTAGTCCATAGTTGTTCGTGTTCTCGAGGTGGAGTCCTCGTCGTACATCGACGTGGACCTTCCCCAGTGGAGCATCTCTTTCTAGTGAGCCATATTCAGCCGGCGATGCTCTTATATACAGAGCGGTTGTTGTTGATATTGTTATCTGTTGGTAATAATTTGTTTTTTAACGAATGATCTACCCTGAAGCAGTCATCATTATGTCAGCTAGCACGTAGCGAATAGCGAACAATACTTTTGAAGGCGACTGTTATTGAACCTCGGTAATAAAATAGTCGAGGTTGACAAAGGTGTTTATTCGGCTAACATTTCGGCGACTTAGTCTTCACCATCTTTGTTTAGTATTATCGTTTGGAAGAGTGGAATTTTTTCTAGACTTATCCGAGGAGCTATTGTGTCGTGGTCACTGGAAATCCCTACTTGCGTGGAAGGGGAAACCGACAGAGTGTGAGCGAGCACTGAAGAATGAAATGTTCAGAAGACGAGCGCGAAAGCATACTGCTTCCAGACATGTATGACTTTGTAAAGAAACCATTGTACAAATGGAACAACGTAGCATACCGTCCTCTCCTTTTACATGAGTGGTAAAGCAAAAAAAATTTTCGAAAAAAAAGAAAAATTTGATATTGCTGAAAATTGCAAAAATACATTCTACCGTCGTTATTGTACGAAATGCTAGAAGCTCTGGATGTATTCAGAGAAAAAAAATCACACTCCAAGCGGCAAGTCCAGTAAAAAAAAGTTGCGGCTAATCTATCTTTTATCTCCAACGAATTAAGCCCATACATAAAGCGATGCTTAGAAAAGTCTGGTCTATAATTGTCGTTTGCTGTGACTGTTAGTTCACAAACGGCTGTGTGACCGTCCACGCACAACATAAAATTGTATAATGTTATACCTTTTTATTTTCTGCCTTCTATAATTTTCATGGCAGGTTACTAAGCGAAATACAACCACAACGTTGCTGAGATATTTGCAAAACTCTGGACCGGAGGTGTCTATGGTGGGGAACGAACGCGCTATTGTCCTTTCCGAGAAGTAACGCGTTCACCACCACACCATGCGGGTCCTTTGTTTCGCCTGTCTCTCAGCTATTTCTATCGATCTTTGCCACAGCGTTCCCCACCATAGTCACCTGCGGTCCAGAGTTTTGCAAATATCTAAAATTGTATAGTACGCCGTAAGGTACAGACAGCGCTTGAATGAGATCGGGTGCGGTTTGACTGATTCCTTCTAAAGTGTGTGGTACGCTGGCTAAATAAGTAGACCACTATGTTTGCATAAGAGAACATCTAAACGGTAGGCGTAAAGTTGAACAAAACGTATAGGACATACAGATGTGATGGAGAATATTTGATAACGGAAATCACCATCTTTGCACATGAATCAAGAACACTCTTCTTTAATAGTCTTGAAACGCCTTGGACTTTTAAAAAATTTAAGAATAGGCGGCAATGAAGAATTTCTTGTGATTACACTTCACTGAGCGCCATATCTCAGACAGATTCTAAGGCCTGACCCAGGTACGTTCCTCGCCCATGTACAACTCTGTGCAACTTGACTCCATTAATGAGTGGAGAACTTATAACTGTGAGTTTAAAAGAGTTTAAGAAAGTTGTTTCTTATGCGAGTAAACATTTATGGACTGAGTTTTATCTGCTGTGCCTATGGTGTTTTATTGAGTGCCAATTTAACTCTTCCATTCTTTGAAGCAGGCAAAAAAGCCGAGACGTCAATCATTATTGTATTGAATAAATCTTGGAATCTTAATAACCTCTTATTTGCTCATCAAAATAGCACAATGAATTATTTGACAAATTGCTTTTAATTCGCTTTCCAAGCCTTCATCTCGTCCACAAAGGTCTGCGGACATTTCGCATGCTGTTTCGGCTGCCACTTGAAGTATTGATCTTCTTCATGGACGTCATGATTGCTGGTCGAGTCGATTCCCGTTGCAGTGTTGAAGAAAGCCGAACCAAGGCATCTCCACGTGAAAGCGGAGAGTGTTGGTTAGGGGATCGAAATAGGGCCTTTGCTTTCTGATCCACGGCATGATAAACCACTGCGCCAATCCTCACCACATTTGCTCAGTGCCGATGTTAGACGAAAGCCGGTCCTGGGATTTGCTACATGATGTACCAGCAGCATAATTCCGACTTTCCAAGAAACTCCCCTAACTAATACAGAAGATTATCATGACTAGACAGACGACAGCTTCTCTCCGCGTCTATCTAAAACGTTGAGCCATTTCGAACTTTATCGAACGAAAAGAGCTGCACGAGCTATGCGGTCTACCAGAGGACAGCTATCTAGTATTGGACATCAAAATGGGACTACAACGCACCTGTCTACGCTGCAAACAGGATAAAATGTTCGCCGAACTGACGGAGTTCATATAAAAGGATAAAGGATAAAGCTGTCGGCGTTGACCAATCCCTGATGTGTCTGTCGCAGTGGCGCTTCCAACCACTGTGCCACACGGGCCCTGCGTGGAGTGCATACAGGAGGTAAAATATTGTGTCCAATATATGAATGATCATCTTTCAAAAATAATAATTCTTTTGATTTTTTATATGACTCGTCCTCACATCTGCTGTGCAGATCCCAGCACTTCTCACATTCGATTCGTTCCTTGCCGTCCACCATCCACAAGGTCTCTGAACTTTTCGCATGTTGCTTCGGTTAATGCTTGTGGATTGTTCTCTTTTTATGAATGTCGTTGAATGTTGGTCTAGTTAATTCGCTCTAAAGTCATTTGATAAGTGTGTTAGAGCGCTTCCAATTGGGTTGGAGAGAATAATTTCTTTCTCAAATATGTTCGGTACCAATTTTCCAACCTCGGAGGGAGGGTTGAGAGGTTCGGTCAGCTCGGAGTGGGATTGGAGCAGTCTTGTGCTTGTAATGGCCGGCATCGCTAACACACACACACACACACACACACACACACACACACACACACACACACACACACACACACATACACACACACACACACACACATACAGACACGCCAGTTTCACTAAAGCAAATGTTTACGAAAGTGACAGCAATTCAAATAGGGTCGATAACATTCCAGAAAAGTTAGGGGTCATCGTGTAAGTAGACATGTCGCCCTGACGGCGCGTGTCCGGGGTTAACAAACCAGTATGACATTTGTTTCCGTCAGTTTCGGCTATGTGATGTGCTGCGGAGCTTGTCGCTGTCTAGCCATTGAGCCGATAGCCATCACTTATCACAGAAGATCCAGTTAACGTCGAAAGTCAGAATACAGTCAAGAAATGGATCACTCTGGCTTCACAGAAGAAGAGACAAAGATGCATGAAAAGGGAGATCTCTTCAATTATCATTCAATTCGTGCGGTATCCGTTTGTAGTGCATGGACTTTCCAACTTTTTTTGTAAAAGAAGCACTTCAACGACCTTCCCAATCTTCAAAATCGAATTCGACATGGCGAAATTTGCCGAGAAAGCATAGCACTCTTTGCCAACGCTTCCCTGTCTCCTTGTCTTTTTAATGTTTCGAGCTGCCTATGGACCGTACGTCCGAGTTCGTATTCGCCGAAGCAGATTCGTCGAAATTGCTTTTCCGAGGCCTGAAATTCCAACCATTAAAATTTGTTAATGGCACGAATTATATAGCAATTTAATTACAGTATGCAAAAGTGTATTAAGTACGATTTGCGCTGAATTACATTGCTGCAGACTCTGAAAAAATCTATCACTATAACACATTTGAGAAGAAAGATGCTTGCAAGAGGATGTACAAAAAAGTTGAAATTGTGAATAAGACATTAGTTTCCGAACAGCCTAAAATGCCTAGAAAGCTGATACTTTTCGACATACAGAAACTACTTAACAACTCGTGGAAAGCTTTCTTAGTAACCGATTTTACGGTCAAATGCGGTGTTGTGATGATTTTAGAAAACAGCACTGTTTTAGAAGACGATCCTGAAGTGGTGAAGACGAGGATGACGTTGTTCAAGCAGAACACCCTACCAATGCTAAAAGCGTTGGATGAAAAAGGAATATTACGAGTGGTTAGGGTTTCAACGGTATGCCTTTCTGGGGATTAACGCATTGCTTATTGAAAGTAGCGAATTTTGCGCTTTCCATCTTTTTTTCATTTTAAGTAATGTTTCTTAGTAAATTACGGTTTAATATTTAAAAAATCTAAAGTGTTTAAAATCATCTAAAAATTGTCGCTTCTTTAGAGTTCTTAAATCGGACGTCTAATTTCAGTTGAATAGAATACATTGGCGAAATATTGCTTTAATTTGGAAAGAACTTTTGCTATAAAATTCGGAACTGACTTTAAAGTTAACCCAGAAACATCGTCAGACTGGGTTTTTCATGGTAAACTCATAAGCTTCTAAATGACTGATTCTATTTAATAACAATTTAATTAGACCAGTGGACACTAACCGACAGGCTCCTTGGTAAATAACGTGGACGTCGGTTTGTTCCACACTACGGCTTATCAATCGTGCTATCTCTGTGGATTCGAAAACTGGTGCCAGACTTGTTTAACGGTTGAAAACGCTAACTTGATACAGCGATAGGCTACCGCAAAATACTTTGCACACCTGATATGAATTCAATCACTTATATGATCCATTGAAGTTGAATGCATAGTATTTCCTTGAGGGATTCATGTAAGGCTTCATCTGTCACGAATGTGGTAAAAGCACAGAAGGAGATGGCCAAATTAATGTTTCACTTAAACCAAATTGCTTAATTAGAATTAAAATTAGCAACAAATCGTCTAGATTACTAGTATATCTCGTCTAGATTAGATATTTCTCTTGGCCTTCGAACAACAGCTCTTCCAAATAGCGATCATGGAATCACCTGTGCCACCTGTCTTTCCTTTTATCGTCGAGTAACTTAGCGGGCGTCAGTAAATCTTCAATTTTTCCCTGTCTCGCGCAAGAGTAACCCAGTGCATTCTGCTTACTCTAGGGGCTCATTTAGCACTATACCTTTTTCTAGGCTTTTCAAGAGCTCTGACCATCGGGTCGATGGTTTTCTTGAAGTACATTTGACATCCAGAATAATACGGTAACTAACGGCTGTTGTTCACCTGTTGTCGTTCACACGCATTAAGTGTCCACTCCACCTTATCTTCGACACTTTGGCGTATAAAACGGCATCTTTGATTTTTGATTGTTGAGCAGGGGCTTCGGATCGCTCCCTTACTTGTGTGACACGAGATACTCCAAGCAACGTCCTTCCGACTGCATTTATAATAACGTTGAGCGAGCTTTCATCCTGCTTACGCAGTGACCAGGTTTCTAACGCATACTTGAAGGGGAAAAATCGTGGAGTCGGAAAGACGAACACGAATCGGGAGCTCTCTGTTTTTTTCACTACATCCTCAATGCTCTTGAAAGCTCCCCAAGCCGCTCGTTTCTTCTGCTCAACTCTGGAGCTCAATCGCTCATTATGTTGATTTCCTGACTTAAATAGACGTAGCTGAAGTATTCGAGGATATTCCATTGATGAATTAAACATACCTAACGAATTTTTTCCTCATCAACACCGTTTTCGTGAGGGTAGTCGAAGACCAATCTTTCCACTTGCTTTCTCAAAGCTGGCAAGCATTTGTTTCGCTAGGCTAATGTTTTTTGTAATAGGAAAGACATTATCAGCAAAGTAAAGATAACTTAATTGGCGACCATCAAATTTTGCTCTAAATAATTTGGCGAGATGGCACCGACTTGCCAAGCTTCACTTTTCAAGTCGGTGTTAATATCTTTGCAGGACGTTGATATCTTGGTTGTGAATTTTTTGTACAGCTCATGAAGAATTTTTATACACTGAGTAGGGACTCCTTGACTATCATGGGCCTCCATTCTCAATTTACTCAAAGGCCTTTTTTAAATCGATGACGGTGAGACAGAACAATCTCTTCTAATCCTGCGATACTTCAATAAGTCTTGTTGTCGTATGGATGTGCTCTATCGTACTAAATCCCTTTTAAAGCCCTGCATGATCGCATGGCTGTCTTTCATAAAGTGTTCTGTTAAGCCAATTTAAGAAGACCAAAGTAAAAAGTTTCTAGACGACAGACAGTAGACAGAATGGGCGATAGTTGCTGATAACGTGGAGGTCACCGCTCTTGAACAACAGCGCGGTCTATGTGGTCTGCCACCGAGTAGAGACCTTGCATTTGGGCAGGTAACGTGTGAAGAGCCGAGCCAGTGTGCTTACGAAAATTGGCGAAAGGTTTTTCAGTCGTTCAGATCTTATCCTGACCGGACATGGTGCTGTGAGACTATTGGCCGACGAAATAGCACGTCGGATTTCGGAAGAGAGAACCGGTGGTACGACATATTCATCCTCCTTTATTTTATATGAGGACAGAAAAACGTGGCTTTTGAAGAGCTTTGAGTAGCAATCGTGAGTGATTTTTCCATTGCTTTTCTGGAAGCTGTAACTGTTCTGTATGGGCGTTGGAGTGCAATCATCGTGGTTATGCAAAAGGAGAAACTTCAATGGGCTTTGTGAATACTTTTTCTAGCCTCTACATTTTCGACAAACATTGCTGCTCTTCTCTTTTTAAGATCTTCTTTAATCGCTTGTCTTCATTGTTTTGCAAGTTCGGACGTAAGTTGGCGCTAGCGGCTAGCTCATGCGATTCCACACTGGCGTGCCAACTATAGTGTTTCAGGAGACAGACTTCTTTTGGTGAGCTTCAAACTCTTTGCTTTCATAGCGCTCACGTGAAGTTGTTGAATGAGCCGATCGTATTCCTCGCCGATGTTATTGAGAACGGCATCTTCCCAACAGCCGACTAATGAACTAAATAAATCCCAGTGGTTTTGGGACTTCGTTTTTTGAATTGAATTGATTTTTCTCCTTTCCCTACAAAATGAAATCTTGTCCAAAGGAGTTTGAGAAAACAACGACTTCGGTTGGGCAAAAGCTTCGATTATACTATGACGTTGTCTATTTCGCTATGGTACTCTCCACTGAAAGCCTACCACGTTCAGCGTTGAAGGTGGGACTTCTGGAATTGCGACTCCCAAACCTGTGTTGACGAAAACGCTCACGACGCCGACCCCTCTACTGTCGCATGTTCCCAAGAACAGTTCTTCTCCGGCGTCACAGAGGGCGCTGAATGGGTGGCGCCCTCTCGTCTTGGCCAGGCCGATGACGTCATACCTTATCCTTCTCGTTTGCATGGTCGAGTCTTCTATCGAGGACTTAGATGCAAGCGTCCGTCCATCGTAGGTACAGGTCGTCGCCTTCGTCCTTTGCTATCTCGGCTGGAGCATCCTCTTCGTACCCGTCGTAGCCAACGCTACCGAATCGAGAGCTTTTTGCAAGGGAATAAGGCCCTTCTATTTTGTTATTTTTTGCTTTTTGATACCCATATATATGTTGCTGGGCTCTTGAAGTGGGGGTTGGGTATACTCATATACATACATATATATGTATATGTATATATACATATACATATATAGTTGGCATATATATAACTATAGTTGGCATATAGTTCCCTGTCACTTGTTTGCAGACTTTCGGCCGAATTGACTCGTAGATAAACGGAAAACGAGACTCACCCAAGCACGCATGCATGAATACGTCCTCGTAAACACAGAAACTATCTGCCAGATCGACACGATAGAAACAGTGGATCCATTCCCTGGATTGACTGCATCTCAGAAAAGCAAAGGTTGCTTTTGGTTCGCGATTAAACACCTCTCCGCCACATATGGACACACTACATTGCCTGGCGACTATCCCCATGAGATTTCTCTATGAGAGAGATCGGTGGGATTATATATATATATATATATATATATATATATATATGTATATATATATGCAACTGCGGTCGTTACCGAATAGAAGAGGGAAATTATTCCAGTGTTTGTCAAGAAACAAAAGGATTCTACGCGTTGTTTATGTATGAAACATCCGTAACAAACAATGAAAGTCAACAATATTTTTGCTTACGAATCTTTCGCGCGAATGGAAGCACATGGATGATCGTAAGACACTTTTACAATGGTGCGGAAACTTGAGGTTTAATGTTGACCTATATAATAAAGACACACAGAAGGAACCACGGCGTTACACTGTCAGTTTGCACAAGAGTCTCGAGAAGGCAGCGAGCTTGACTGGAAATAATCCATAATAGCAATCTGTAATAGTTATGGCGATCTAAGGCGAAACGTTACGGAAAGTCCTAAAATTGGGCACGAATCGAAGAATTCATTATGATCCACATCAAGGCGTTCTAAAGTTTGAGAAATAGTAATGCTATCAACACTGTGATGCCAACTATAAGTATTCATCGCGGTTCCTACAGTGCATAAAAGATCTCTCATTCAGTTTTTATCTCGTTTTCCCATCGCTTTTCTGAGTTGTAACATTCACTGGCATCTTAAATTTTAGAAATGACGTTCCTATAATGAGAAAAGATTTAAGAAGAAAAAAATGTTACGTCATTGTAGTAATTCCTACGACCGACTTTCTATTAACCTCGTCATTGATCAAATAGTTGGTGGGTCAATATTGATATGCAGTATTACTAGGTCTAATGCAAAAATACAGCCTTACAACGAAAGTTCGAGAATCTTTTGAATAATTCACGTGTTTCGGCTTCAAGAAACCAAAAAAAAAAAAATTATTTACACTTGCGATAGGAGTCAAAATAGGGTTGATAGTGCACCAAGAAAATCTAGGGTCACCGTACTTGGGGCATGACCATACCTGGGAGCGCGCATTCATTATTAGAATTGGGCCTAAAGTTCTCACCAACGCAACCCATTTTTAAAGCAACTGTGCGTAGGATCGCATGCAGTTCTTATGAGCTTCAAGATCGACTCCGCTATTAGGTCAAAAAGAAAATATCGAACAGAAATGGAAATCAAGAAGTGGCGAGATTAACATCGTCTCCTTTCCCTAGAGCGTTTTTTAGGCAGCAGGACCCTAACGTTGATATCGATGCAAAATTTCGCATGTTTTCCGACGATGTTCTCAAAACCCTTAATCACTGTCGCTGTAGAAAATTCATCTCTAACCTCACAACCTCACAAAAATGTGGTATGCGAGAAATTAGAGAATTAATAAATTCAAAGACGATTAGGCTATCAGTCAACGATAAGGGGAGAGAGTTCGTAGTTATTCCTCGCCAGTTAGATGTTACGATAACGGAGCAACATCTTAGTGATGTTACCCCTTACGGCCCATCCTCTGAAAAACAATACAAAAGTCAATATCAAACACTAAACAATTAGTGGGTCAAAGCGGTAAACGCGGCAGGCTTAAAATCATCGGTTATTTCGCATTTTAAAATCGATAGACCAGCATGCCCCGTCCTGTACTTACTTATTAAAACACATAAGTTGGTATCACCTGATGATCTTGAGTCAACCACCCCGTCATCGTTTAAAGCTAGACCCATCAACAGCCGTGTAGACGGGCCAATGGATAGGATAACCTGGTCTCTAGGCCTAATACTAACCCAGTTGCTTAAACATATTCCAGCTCATCTCACGAGCACCCAAATGTTCTTAGAACGTCTACGTAACGTGTCTCTTAATAACGCGTGCGTAATCAAGTCCTTCGATGTTTCCGCGATGTACACAAAAGTATCCAATGTCTCCACAATACAAGTTATCATCGAACTTCTTGTTGAACATGAAGGAAGAATAAATATGCATCGCTTGTCCATCCAGCAGCTAATGGCTCTCTTAAAGGAGTGTCTAAACTGCTTGATTTTCGGATGGTCTGGGAAATATTTCGCCCAAATAAGGAGGTAGGCAATAGGACAGCGAGTGACACCAAGCCCCACCATTGTGTTTATGTTTTAGAACCCTCTGTTCTCGATTTCTGGCCACTACTCTACTGCAGATTTGTAGATGATTGTTTTGTCGGCTTCTCTACGCAGGAAGAGATTGGCAAATGCTTCGAATTATTGAACGAGTAGTCTGAGTACATTAAGTTCGTCGAGGAGAAACCGAGAGAGAAACTAGCTTTCGTTTTTAAACATTCAAATAAACCTATCAAGTAGCGGTTACATGACGAAGTGGTACTGGAAGCCAAATAACAAGAACATCCTCGTTCATTTCCCCTCGTTCTGCCCTTCACACACCAAGAGGGCGCTTGTGAGGAACATTTTACGAACACCTCTGTGTGCACAGCCTTGGAACTAAAAGAGGAATCGCGCAACTTGGCTGAGCAAATAGTCATCTGCAATGGCTATGAAATAGTAATCCCACGAGATAAGTCTAGAAGGAGAGCGACTCCCCAAAAGAAAAAACGTGGTCAAGGCAAAGCCCCATTTATGTTGCCCTTTATTAGCGATGAAGTAAGCATAGCTATAAAACGATGTCGAAAAATGGCAGGTTTAGAGGAATCGGTAGCGCTAGTTGAAATAGTGCCCGATTCCGTTTATCGTCAATTAGTTCGTAACTATATTATCGTCTATGTGAAACATAAAATTGCGTAATCTGCCCTTATGGCAGAGGTGGTTACAGCATGAG